TTCCACATTATTGACGTCACTGACTAGACAAAGTCTCAGGGCACCGGCTCAGGAATAGTTTCCGAAACACGCCCATGCAACTGATTGATCACCAGAAGGCATGAACCAACGGAGAGGTCGGTGACCCGGGCACACCAAAAGGCCCTGCAGGTTGCGTCTGTAAGTCAACCGACGTCTACGTAACAATCGGCAACCTCTCGGCACGAACACCCGAGGCAAGGCGGCAAGGCCGTACCCTGTCGGGCTGTTGCACTCCCCCTGCAGCCTGAGCTACCCCACCGAGGCGCACGGCATGATGCAAGAACCAACAACGCCCTCTGTCAACGTTCATTGACGAATGCATCCAACCGAGGGCATCGGAGCTAGCTGTTGGGTATCTACGCGGGCTGGAGTTCTAACCCCCGTCGAAACAATTGCATGACACACAGTGCTGGGTCGGCAACCCTTCCTCTAGAAGCGCCGCCTTGTCGTCTGACACTAGACGGCACTCCCTCGACTTGTCAAGGACAAGGAAAATCGGCGAACTTCAAAGTGAGCACAACCCCCCAGTTCGCTGCCACGTCGCTGCCATGGTGCTGCTCACCTGCTGCCCGCTGGCGTCGAGGCGTGCGTCCGCGCCGCTGCCGCGCCGCTGCTGCTCCGCTACGTTGCGAGGGTGGAGGCCTGGTGGGGGCGAGGCGCGTCCCCGGCCGAGGCTTGGCGTCGAATGACGGCGCAGGGCTGCCTGGGGGCGCGGGGCGGCAGGGCGCACGGCGCGCATAGGGCCGGGGGCTTCGAGCCAGCGGGGCGGCGCGGCGGCGGCGCGGCGGCGGCGCGAGGGCGGCACTGCAGGTGGAGGGGAAGGGGCGGCCGTCGACGCATGCAAGTACGCACTCGTCACTGAGCCGCACGCAGTAGCACGCAGTCGTTGTCGAGGTCAAGAACAAGCAATCCCCCTTCCCCACATTGGTTCATGCACATTGGCACTCCGAGCCAAGTGGATCGAAGTTTTTAAAAAATGGATTCATTCTTTTTGGCAGCTTCCACGTTCAGAGGCGTACGGTCTGTTCCTCTACCATTCCTCTACAGCCTGGAGGGCGTAGATGTAATTCCGTTGTGTTCATTTGAGAGGCGTGTTCGCCTCTTCTCTGTTGAAGATGATTCCAGCAGGGAGGCGACATCGACATCAGCAATGGCCGTTTCTTCTGAAAGGATGTGCAGTTTAGCCCGGCCTCCTCGTGGTTCGGCGCCGGGCCACGCCGGGCCGTAAAGGGCATAACGAGCACGTCGTCGTTGATGTGGGTCCGGCACGCCGCGGCGGACAGCCCGCCGGCACGCGAGCACGCCCTGCACGACCTGCACGCCCTGCAGGGGCGGACGGTGGCGCTGGACGCTGCACTGTGGGGCTGTAGGCGATGATGCCTGGAGGGCGGAGCTGGCGGAGCGCGCCTCGTCCAAGGCCTCGTCCCCGCGGTGACGGCCAGGTGACGGCCATGACGATGACAGGCGGCCTCTCCAGGGACACCGAGCTCGTTGGCAAATTGGAGTGCAGCGCGGCTCTTACCTGGAGGCGTGGCGCCGCGGGCACGAAGGACTCTCTGCGGACCTACCTGCCAGTTTCAGCATCGGCCCACGCACCCGCGAACAGCGTACCAACCTGCGGACACAGAAAGACAAACAACAACTGTTACTCTGGTTGTTATTGTTATTATTGGCTCGGCTCGGGCCGCCTGGGCCGCCGGGGCGAGTGACATGTGACTGGCGATGGCACGTCGAGGCACGTGACGGGACGCGACCTTGGCAGGAGGCAGTGCCTCGTACGGACTCGATGGCGCGGAGGAAGCGCGGGGGCGGCTCGGGGGAGGAAACTTGAACGCTTGCTGGGCCCTTTCTTGAATGAATGAATGAATGAATGAATGAATGAATGAATGAATGAATGAATGAATGAATGAATGAATGAATGAATGAATGAATGAATGAATGAATGAATGAATGAATGAATGAATAAATGAATGAATGAATGAATGAATGAATGAATGAATGAATGAATGAATGAATGAATGAATGAATGAATGAATGAATTCATTTTCGTCTTTTCGTTTTTGTTTTTGAAAACGAACGAACGAAGGAACGACATCGGTCCCGTGCCATGTGTGCTTTCTCCGATGGTGACATTTCCTCCCGATCGACTGGCTCGGCGGCCCGGTGACCCTGGTGACCTGGTTGTCATCGCATCGCCGTGCCATGGCTGTGCCGCCTTGCCGCCTTGCCGCGCCCCGTCCCCCGCGCCGCGCCGCACGCAAGTTGTCATTCCCTTCCCGCTGCGCCTTGCTGCGCCTTGCTGCGCGCTGCGCCGTCCGGCAGACGTCTCCAGGAATCGATGTTGTTGTCGGAGGGCGACGATGATCGCTCGAAAACTGCAACGTCCGGTCCGCCACGTCTCTCCGTCCTTGCTCTTGCTTCATTTGTGTGCGGCGGGCATTTCTGCTCAGGGAGAAGTTGTCTGGCTGCTCCGTGACGTGACGATGTGACGTCACTGCGAGTTGGCGGGACGGTGGGACATCCTCATCAAGGGTGGGCGTCGCCGCGTCGCCGCCACGCCGCCTCTCATCGGGCAGCCTGTTGCCAAAGCGCAGCGCGCCGCGACGACGCCGCGAGGAAGGGCCGTCGGGGTATCGACGCTCGGCCGCACGGCCCGCCGTGGGGTATCCCCGGCGACGGCTACGGCGACGGCGTCGCGACGCCCGGCGCTACACCGCGCGCTGCGCGGGTGGTGAAAGGCCTGACGGAACGGCGACGCTGGCGCCCTCTGCGGCCGAGCGCCGCAACTCGGCCAAGCCGAGCGACACGCCGCCCCACTGAGGGGTGGGGGCGGGGCGCGAGAAGGGCAGCCAGGGGGTGGCCGGGGGCGGGGCGGGGGCGGGCCAGGGGCTGGTGAAAGGGAACAAAGCCCAGCTCGAAAGCGGTCGACGCCGTGCCGCCCGCCGTATCCAGCGAGAGGACGACGAACTACAGAGCCGGCAAGCTGAGGCAAGCCGAGGCAAGCGGGCAAGCATCGGGCAGGGCGGCAGGGCGGTGCGGTATCGCGGTATCGCGCTGCCGTATCGAGTGGTGCGGTCGCCGTGGTACTGCGGCTAGAGGTAGGGAGGCTGAGGCCGCCGCCGTCCAACCGCGGTATCAGTTCGGGGCAGTCCGGACTGGCTGCTGGTAGCCCTTTGCAGGAATCCTGGTCGCAGAAATGGAAGACGGCGAGCCCCGCGTTGGCGGCACGCGGCACGCGGCAGCAACGGCAGGCAACCCGCCGGGTTCGCAAAGCAGGATGGCGACGGCCCCCAATCCGGACGCTGCAGTGAACTGGCCCCCTCCTCCTTGATCCACGGAATCCAGAGGGCCGCGTCCAGGGCGGCGCGCGCGGCGCGGCGTGCGTGCCGAACAGTGCCGATCTGCGCGTGCGAGACGAGGAGACGCCGTCGCCCCGGACGCCACCCCAAGGAGGCTGTCAAATCGCTGGGGGTGTGAGGGGGTGCGCGCGCAGAGCAACAGGCATGGGGAGGGTGGCGCAGTGCCGGGCGGGGAGAGGCGAGGGGCTGCGGGGGCTCGGGCCGGGAGGGGAGGGGGTGAGTCACCAAGTGTGTGTGCTGCTGCTGCTCAAGGAAGTGGTTTCGCTCGCGCATATAATGGACGTTTCGTCCCGCAACACACCACCCCTTCGACGCCCCGCCACCCGCCACGCCCCGCCACGCCCCGCCGCGCCTTGCTCCGCTTGATCGAGCCGCGGATCCACATCCGCCCCCTCTGCTCCCCGGTCGACGCGCAGCTCGCAAGCGTGCTGGCGGAGGGGCACCTACCTAAGAGCCTGAGCCGCCACATCTGCAAGATGCGCTGCGTGTCGCTGATCGTGAACGTGGCGGAGGAGGCCATGGTGCTGCGCACTGGGCGGTCCTGGGTCCGCGACGACAACGCGACGACAACGCGAAGACGCACTGCGGTCCGCCGCGCGCGCAACTAGACTGGCCGACATGTGCGATAGTTTGTTGTCCGGCCCGACGGCCTGGGCGGCCTGGGCTGGGCGGCCTGGGCTGGGCGGGCTGCTCCAGGCGGAGGACGGCCGGGCAGGGAAACAGGAACAGAGTCCCGGCAGGCTGATTCCGAACAGTGCTTCGTCGCTGTCCCTCTCGCTCCCCAACGGAACGCCTCGTGAGAGCGAAAAGACAAGGCGACGTTTCGAATCGAATCAGTCTGTGGGCAATTGCCCAAACGATGGGTCTCATGTTGTGACAATGAGGCCCCGGCACTGCTTGGCCGGCGGCCGACCACACCCGCGTCGTTGGCCTGCACTGCGCCGGTGCGCGCGCCGCGCGGGCGGGGCCGTACGTCGTACCCCCGCGCTAGCGGTCCTGAGGTGAGGAAGCCTCTTCATCTCTTTCGTTGCGTTTCGCTGGCAGCGCCTGGTGGCGCCTTGAAGGCGCCTAGTCTGGCAAGTTCGGCACCGCCTGAATGGCCGACCGCAGCCCTCGCCGCACCCACGCCCGCAGCGGCCCGAAGCCACACACAGCTGCACCACGTACTGGTAATTGACCAAAGTACTGCAGCAGTCACTCCAAGGACAAAAAAAGACGACGACGCGGCCACATCTATCAGAAAAAGCGGCCGAAAAGAGAGCATCGCGCGCGCTGCGGCATGGCGATGGCGCGCACACCGTGATATCAATTCCACGTTGCGGCGGTGACGTCATCGTGCTGAGCCGAGCTGAGCCGCCCCCGCCCCCAGCTTGGCCAGCTTTGTGGCAAAAAAACAAAACGTAATCGTGTTTCGGACGTTGCGTGCCGCGGCGCCTCGCCCAGCCTGGCGCAGCCCGGCGCGGCCGATGAAGGCGATGAAGAGTCGCCACTTCCTTTAATTATTTGATTGCGCGACTTGGTGGGCCTGGCTGGCCTGGCCAGCCCGTCCCGGAAGGGTGTGTGTCAAGTTGGCATCCGTGGAGGTGGGAGGAAGCAGGGCAAAGCAAAAAAGGCGGCAGAGGCATTGTGGACGACCTTTTTATTCTGTCGTGATTCAAACGTTTGGCACGGAATAAAACAACAGATTTTAAAGTCGTTTACAAAGCAAATCAGTAAACTGGCAAACATGAGAAAAAGAATTGTTTCACAAGGGAAAAATGGATAATCTTCTAAATATTGGTCAAGAAGGGGGAGAACTACAAAAAGAGAAATGTATATAAAATGAGATCAAAAAAATAAATTAGTTGAAAGACTAGGATAACATATAATTTCTATCGTTAACAACGAACCGATTTAAGTTCCATAACAGACTTATATAATATCAAAATTGGCAATGCAATTAGATAGTGGCCGGCGCAACGCCCTGAGGACTCGCGGCTCTTGGATGACAAGGCAGAGGCTACTCAGAAGACTTTGAAAATACCATGTACGGTTGAAAGAACTAGACCTGCATCGCTACGGACTGATACATGTTAAGATGCAGGCCGAACTTCTAGTGCAAGAACTGTATAATCGATATGAAAGGATTAACTTTAAAACGAAAAAGAGACTTGGCGCATCTGTCGTATTTTAGAATATACAAGAGTAGTAAACTGATACGTACTAACTACTGAATAATAATAACAATTGGAGGAAAAAAAGATGTATCTAAATGTTAGAGTAGAAAACTGCCGCAGCATGTGGCATAGGCACAGAACACACATCGTCCAATTCGTCCAAATCAGCCTTGAGTTGAGAGGGGTGGGGGAGCGCCCGGGGGGGCAGCCACCGCGGCAGCCACCCTGAGCGGGGCCCTCCCTGCCGCCCCCCGGCGCCCCACCGCGAGCCCCTCGAAACCCTCTCGTTCGTCATTTCTCATAAAAACATGATTTATAAAAGTGATGCTCCGTTTAGTTTACTTTGTAATGTTAAGGCCCACGCGCGAAATACGCTAAAAATATTGTTTATTCGGGAAGAGTTTAAAGCTCGCTAGAAGTAACGTTATTTAAAAGTTAATTGATTCCCTTTAGATTTGTCATTATTATTTCAAAAGTACCGAAGGCGTTTGCGCGAAATGAGAACAACATTCTTAAAAGGAAGTAAAAGCTTACGCCAGAATCACAGATTCCTATCACCGCCGACATTCCAATTTCAACTTTTCTGGCACTTTCTTTTTAACACTCTCCACCTCTCCACCACCCGCTGCACCCTCGTGTAGGTTCACGGCGCTAAACCCTTGATAGTTTAAATTTCCGTCTGAAAGCCCTGCATTAGTTTTTGGTCAAAATGAATTTGTAAAAGAAACGAGTTAGAACATTAAAGATTTAAGGACAGCCGCTTCGGTGACACGAAAGAGACGCTAGAGATGCTTTGTAAGACGGCTAACTCGATCACGCCGCCTGACATGAGGTGCAACCTCCCCTTCCCCTCCCCCGTCCGTGGGGTGCATGGGGTTGGCCAGGTTATGCAACCAGCCCTCGACCGACTGGGGTCTTTATACACAAGGCGACGGGCTCGGCTCGAGTAAGGCTTTAGAAGCTCCTGCAAAGGAAATTATATCACCTTTTTTTCCCACCTCCCAACCACGCAAAAGTTAGCCAACACGCACCCCATAATCAATTTTGGACTTTTAACCGGTCGTTTGTCCACAAAAGCTCACAACCCATAAATTGACTTGGTATAAAAGTAGGCTTTTCCGTTCGAGGACTCATCTTCCACTCTTAGTGACGGGCGCTCACCACAATATATTGTCGTATCTTAGCGTAGTTAAAGCATGGTCATCACAACTTCTCAACTTATCTTTTAATATGGAATTTTTTCGACAGGAGTATTGAGCATTTTAGCACGCATGTTTTGAGTTTTATCTAGCGCAATTATATGACCATAAATTGCTTCCAAACCTGGCAATAGTACACAAGGTATACAGAAAAATTATCACATATTCTTTGGCTTTTTTTTACGTCTACTAAAACAAAATTGGCAATAATAACAATAATTATAAAGGCTAGTGGTTGCAGAAAATTGTCGAGCATCGTTAGACCCTTTGTGGCAAGGCCTGGGGTACACCACGGGCCTGAGTGAGCCCTGAGTGAGGCCCAGACAGGACTGGGTGTGCAGGCCAGGGGCCTGGATGCAGGTCTGTGAATTGGCCATGGGCGGCCAGGGGCGGTAAGGATGGAGGCCTAGATGGAGTTGCGGTAGGTGGGCACGGCGGGCCAGTCGCACTCGTTGGCCAGCCTCTTGGCGCGCATCGGCCGGTCCCGCTCCATGAGCAGGGGCATGAGGGCCTTGAGGGGCGGCATGAGGTGCGCCGTGTTGTGCGCGATGCCGTGGCCGAGGGACGGCCGGTGGTGGCGGCTGGGCGGCGGGCTGGGCGGCGCGCGCGGTGCGTGGCGGCCCAGACACCCGCACGGCAGCGAGCACACCGAGGCCACGTCATCGTCCATCTCCACCAGCTCGGCGTGCTCCACGTGCTCGCCGTGGCCGCCCTGGCCGCTCATGATGGAGCCGTTGGCAGTGATGACGTCACCCTCGAGGCGCACGGCGCCCTGCATGGCCTGCAGCGCCTCGGCCTCGTCGCGCCGCTCGTCCTCCGTGTTCATCGTCACGAACCGCAGCACCAGCAGGTTGAGCGACGCGGCCACGATGGCCAGGCCGAACAGGATGAAGATGAGCGCGAAGGCCACGTACTCGGGCTTGGTGGCGAGCGCGTTGTCCTTCTGCAGCGCCACCATGTCGCCGAAGCCGATGGTGGTGAGCGTGATGAAGCAGTAGTAGACCGAGTCGAAGTACGTCCAGCCCTCGTAGCGGCTGAAGGCCGCCGCGCCGCCCGCCACCGTCAGCCCGGACAGCGTCGTCACCACGCAGATGAGGTTGATCTCGGAGGCGTCCGTGTCCTTGCAGTTCATGACGCGCTTCACCTTCTTGATGACATGCGAGGAGAACTTGTTGAGGCGCTCGCCGATGCTCTGGAACATGACGAGCCCCAGCGGGATGCCCATGATGGCGTAGAACATGGTGAACAGCTTGCCGGCCACGGTGGATGGCGTGGAGTGGCCGTAGCCGATCGTGGTGAGCACGGTGGTGGCGTAGTAGAAGGCGCCCGCGAACTTCCACTGCTGGCCCGCCTTGTGCGGCTCCGACTTGAGGATGATGGTCTCGAACAGCTTGAAGTCGTCGTTGGACACCGAGTACTTCTGGATGAGCTTGCGCTCCACGTAGTCCAGCACGTCGCGGCGCCGCTTCTCCGTCTCGGACTCGAGCGCGTCGAACACGGCCGCGCCGATCAGCAGGTAGGTGAAGGTGCACACGATCAGGGAGAGGGTCCGGACGTTCTGCTTCTTCATGGCGGTCGCAGGGCGCGGCGGCCCGACGCCCCGCCGACACCGCCGTCACCGCCGTCAACGGACCGCCGTCAACGGACCGCACACCCTCGACTTCGGCTCGGCTCGGCTCGGCTCCCTAGCAGCCCGCACCTGCGCACACATACAGGGTGGTTAGAGAACAACCGAGTAAGGACCTTTTTCTGCGGCACAAGATGCATGTGTGCTACGTGTGCGCGGCGGTCCGAGCCGTGCCGAGCCAAGTCGAGCCAAAACCCTAAAACCCTTTCAAAACGCAACCAGACCGTAATGCCCTTTAAAAGTAAATATCCGAGAGGAGTGCCCCGCCCGCGGCGTGCCTTAGTTACACGGGCCACTGCGCGCCACTGCGCGGCTGGCCCGGACACACCCCGTTTCCTCCTCGGCCTGCCTTGCCTGCCGCCTTGCCTGCCGCCAGGACCACGTCCGACCCTGTCGTCAAAACGGCTGGAAATGCAGGCAGCTCATCTTTAATGACTCGCTGGCCGGCGGAGCGCGACGGGGACGGGCCGCTGCCACACTGGTGGCTTGCGTTCCATTTCGATGAGGCTCCGGCCGCCTCGCTCTCAGGCCTGTCGATGCAGACGCACAGCGCCAAACGCCGCACGCAGCGCAGTGTCTCGGTGAAATGGCAACGAGATCGGCCACGCCGGGCCACCACGCCCACGCGTCCAAGACAGTGGCGGTGCTTACATCATGCTGCCCTTCCGCGCAGAGCAGCACAGACAAATGACCCTCGAGCGGCTCCGACTCCGTGACTCAGTGGAGCGCCTCCCGGTGGACCTGCCCGAGCGGCCCGAGCGAGCCCCCTCCCCTTCCCGGCCGCTACCGACCGCCACCCCTGCTGCGCCAGCAGAGCCCGCCGCCGAACGCTCATTCCGAACAGTGCTCTCTCTCTGTCTCTCTCTCTCTCGCTCCCTCCGGGGCGCCCGGGCAGTCCGGGGAGTCGGGGGACTCAATGGCCCAAAGGAATGGCGTGTCATGCTCACACGTGCGCGCACGCCCGTGCGCCGACCGGCAGGGCGCGGCCTGAGTTACGGACTGCAAGCACACCCTGGCCTAACCTAGCCGATCGGCCGTGTGTGTGTGTGTGTGTGTGTGTGTGTGTGTGTGTGTGTGTGTGTGTGTGAGAATGTGAATGTGTGTGTGCAGGTGTGTGTCTGTGAGAGTGAAGGATGGACCGCGCCCGTTGGGGTGTCCCTGCGCCCTTCTCGCCCTCCTCGCCGTCCGCTCCCACACACTCCACCACCGCTCCACTCCAACGCCCTGCTCGCTCTGCTCGCTCTCTGCTCGCCCGGCTACGCCCCCACCCTGGAGTCCGCAATGCGCAACTGCTGTGTATAATCCCGGCCGGGCTGCTGGGAGTGCCGGGAGCGCGGGGAGCGCCGGGAACGGAATGCACCGGCAAGCCGCGGCATGCAGGCCCGGAATCAATAGAAGGCGTCGAGGAGGCCCTTTGTAACGGGCCGCGAAGCAGCGAAGCCGCCCAAGCCGTGTCACCGCGTGTCGCGCTCGTGGAGATGAACAAGGGCCTGGCGGACCTGGTGCGCGAATAAAAAGGGGGAAACGCGAAGGGGAAAAAACAGCACAACACACGCACTCCGTCATGTCCTCGCGAGCACCCGCCCTTGCCTCCAACGTGCGCCATGTCAACTTGACCGCGTCACCGCGTCGCGTGTATGCAAAGCCTGCACGTTTGTGTGTGTGTGTGTGTGTGTGTGTGTGCGTGTGTGTGTGTGTGTGTATATATGTGTGTGTGTGTGGTGACGTCACATGACGTTGGCGCACTCCCGCAGGGTGGGGACAGCGGGCCTCGGGGAGGGGAACGGTCTGTGTGCTCAGGATGTGCAGGGGGAACACAGTGTGGTGGCGGGGAGGGTAAAGGGAACGCTGCTCCCCCCCTCCCCCCTCCATTTTCGCCCCGTCGCTTTCATGGCAAATTGCCACTCATAGTGCGACAGAGCATTTTGGAAAGGAGCGGAGGCGGGGGACTTCCCTTCGCTGGGTGTGTCTCTGTGCCTCCCTGCAGGCCGATTGCGAAGAGTCGTCTGGTCGCACTGTCCCCGTCGCACTCTGGCGTCGCGTTAGGGGTGCGAGAGAGACGGAGCGGCCTAGGCTGGCGCGGGCTGGGCCGCTGGGCCGCTGGGCCGCTGGGCCGGGCGATACGGTCGTTGAGTCGCCACTCATCGGCGTGGGCGGCCGGCCGACCAGGGGCCGAACGCGGCGCGGCAATCTGAGGACCGCGCCGAGGAGAGGCGCCTCGGTCTTGGAGTCGAGTCGCACTCGTGCCGAGTCGACTTCAAGCCGAGTAGAGGGGCCTAAATCGAGAAAGCGAAGTCCTTGCGAGGCGGGGCAGCGCGGCGATGCTGGATCCACGCGTGGCGTAGTGGATCTAGGCACGGTCCTTATGAATGGTCACGCGACGCGCCAGGCGTCCGTTGGCGTGGCGTGGCGCGGCGCGGCGTGGCGTGGTGGGGTCACGGTGTGGGTGGTGAGGTGTGGCTGCAACGTCTTCACGCGGCGTGCGCGAAGTCAAGTCCGTGCGGCACTGGTGTGGATTCTATCGCCTCTGCTGTTGCCGCTTCACTCAAGTCCCTCTCCCTCCCTCTCTCTCTTTCTCGCACGCTCGCGCACAGCACTCACACACACGCACAAACGAGCCATACTGTTACACACCGCTGCGCGAGGCTGTGTGCGACACACACACACACAAAGTGCCCACCACCTACAGGATGTCCCAGAATACATACTCGGCGCGCGGCGGCGGTCGCTTCTTTTCCCCTCCCTTCTTTCTCCGATCGCGTTTTGTTTACCTTTTTACCCTTTTTGCTGACGCAGAGGGCGGAATTGGCGCCAGCGGCGCTCTCTCCAGGCGGGGCGCGGCGCCCATGGGAAGCGCACTGCGAGCGGACAGGCGGCGCCTGGGACAGTACGGACCATGGGGACCGGGGCCACCAACATGGTAACGAATAAACGACAAAGGTTCTCCAACGAAACCACCAGATGAGGGCCATCGGTCCATTGGTTCGTTCGCCCATTCACCCAAGAAGTGAGATTTGTTGTTGTTTGTCGTGGGTTTTTCAGTTAGCACACTTTCTTCCTCACAGTGTGGTAAGTAATGACAGTGGCGCCGTCATTGTGTGGCTGTCGTCCCTGTCGGTGGCGTCTGAAGTCCTGAAGTCCTCTGAAGCCTGGTGTGGGACTCGGACAAAGGGACGCAATTAACAGTGCACAGTGCACCGCGTCATAGCAGCCATGGAGTCCCCTCTGGTCCCCTCCCCGGGGCGCGGTGTGGCGGCGCGGTATGGAGACAGACAGACAGACAGACAGACAGACAGACAGACAGACAGACAGACAGACAGACAGACAGACAGACAGACAGACAGACAGACAGACAGACAGACAGACAGACAGACAGACAGACAGACAGACAGACAGACAGACAGACAGACAGACAGACAGACAGACAGACAGACAGACAGACAGACAGACAGACAGACAGGCAGGCAGGCAGGCAGGCGCCGCGCCGAGTGCTCTGGGACTCAGTCCGAATGACTCGCATGCCCGCGGCCGGGGCCCGCCCGTTTTACTTTGACGGTCAAGTTCGCCTGTCCCTGCCTCTCTGCCGCGACGCCGCGACCCAGGCCCCGACCGCCACGCCGCCGCGGTCCTGGCTCGCGAGGCCTCTACGTGCTCGCCAACATTGCGCGCGGGTTTCTGGCTTCCTCGGTTCGAGCAACCGCACACCAACTCCTTTCACTGTTTTTGCGCGTGTCTTTTTGGGGGGGTGAGTGTACTCGTTTTTCGCTTGCTTTCGTTGTTGTTTGGTTGTTTCCGACCCTCGGCTTGATCATCGGAGACCTCCGATATTTGGACGCGGCCCAAATTGAGTCACCCCAACGCTCCAACGGCCGCACTGGGCGCACTGTACAGCAGTGCTGCACGTACTGTGCCAGGACAACGGGGAGCCAAAACACCGAAAGCTCGCTTCTTTTTGCGGACCCATTTTCCGTTCGCTTGGCCGGCCAGGGCGACCCGCCCCGCGGGGCGGAGTCTCCCCGACGACGCGGCGCGTACACGCGTGAGCGTCGCGTGAGCGTGACCCCCGCGGGGACACCGCCTTCTTTCGAGGCTTATCTTGTTGGAAAAGAACAGCAGGTGCAGATAGTGTGAGCCTCAGTGGCCCACTTACAGTGTGCGCTGCACGTTGCAGTTGTGCCATGCCACCATGCCGGCTAGGAGCAGGCAGAGCAGGCGGTACTGGTACCCTCCACGCCCCGCCCCGCCGAGACGGTCGCAGTGCAAAATCGATTAGGCGTATTCAATTAAGCTGGTGGGTCCCTGGGCCCGGCCCTGCCCTGCCCGGCCCTGCCCGGCCCTGCCCGGCCCTGCCCCGGGGCGTGGCGGTGGGAGTCTCCGCCAGCAGGGCCAGCAGGGCAAGCGGGGCCACCAGGGCGCGGCGACTAAACTGCGACGGCGAAATGCGCCATGAATGCACGCGACAAAACTAATGTCCCGCTGCACTGCACGCCAGGACACCGCGGAGTGGAGCCCAAAACATTAGTCGCAAAACACGCCGATTACAAGCATTAAAAGGCCATCAGTGACAGGCGGGACCAGACAGGGCCGGCGATGCCTCCGAGCCCCGCCCCGCTCCGCCACGCCACGCCCGGTAACGTGACGTGCCGATGCCCAGAGGATCAATCCCGATCTAGCTCATCATGTTCGCTCCCGCGATCATGGGGCGCCCGGCGAGTGTGCGAGAGAGACAGAGACAGAGGTGATGGAAATCACTGCGCAGGACGCAGAGTGTGCACCACGCGATCGATAATTCCCGCGTTAGTACGTTATCTGACACGCCGGGGCTGCCGGCATGCGGCAGTGCCGGTGCCGGCGGGGGCCGCCCCGCTTCCGTGCTGTTTGCGCTGCTGCACTGTCAGGCCCTCGGTCAGGCCGGAGGAGTGATAAAGATAAAGAGAGACAGAGCGAGAAAAGCGCTGTTTGGATGAGCCGGCCGGCGGGCGGGCGAAACCGCCTGCCGGGTCCGGGGTAGGCCGCCGAGCCGCACTGCGCCGCCGCCGCGTTGCCTGCCTCCACGGCGCTCGGGCCGCCCTGGCCGTCCCGGCCGTCCTCGTCACGGACCAGGGACGGGGACGACACGCGCCCGTCGATCACGTCAACGTGTGTGCCGACGACGACCCCCTTCCCACCCGTCTGTTCCGCCGCCATGGGAAGTTCCAAAGCTGCACGTCGGAGTGATAACCGCCCCCGGCGTGGCCGCGGTGCCGCGGTGGCGGCGCCCAGCCCAAATCCAGGACGACGTCTGGGCTGGCAGGGCTGTCGGGCCGCACCGCACGACCCTGCAACATGCATGCAACGTGTCGTGCAGCGCGGCACCGCGGCACCGCGGCGGGCTTCCGTGCCATCCAAGCCGCGCCCCTTCTCATCGCCCCGGTCCCGGGTTCAACTACCGCTCGAGGCCGGCTCCGTTCTTGTTGGCTTTGCCGATGGTTCCGGCACGCTTCGTTCGTTTACACTGGGAGGCCGCCGGCTCGGGCTCCTCCAGGCTGGATTAGACGGGCGAGTCATGGAGGAAGGGTGAGCGCGGACCGCGGGGCGGCCGCGCGGTGACCACGGGGGCCGCCGCGGCCGCGGTGGCCGTGAGGCCATCGGCGGCCATGGGGCCGTGATGGGCGAGAGGGGACGCTGCCCTCAGGGCGAAGAGCGATTTGCCAGAAGCCCACGGGGGCCATGGAGAGCGTGTGGTGCTACCCGCAGGGGGCCATGGGGCCATGGAGGCCCGGCGGAGTGTCGCAGGCTGCGCGCTGCGCGCTGCGCGGACTCTGGTCCACGCGGGCCGTGCCCGCCGTGCCTTATCGATCCAGGCAGGCAGCCAGCAGGGCAGGACTCTAGGCAGGGCCACCGGCAGGGGGTAGGGCTAGGGCTGCTCCGCCTTGCTCCGCACGGCGTGGCGGGGGCAGCGGGGCCCGCGGGGGCAGCGGGGAGGAGGGGAGGGGGCACACTCGGCCAACCGGCTGGGCTGGCTGGGCGCGCCCTCACCCCTTGTGTCCGCTGCCGTCCTGCCCGCCCCGCCCCGCCACCCCGGGGAGCGCGCCCACCGCGGCCCCCGCGGCCAAACGGACGGACACCCTTCTGACCGACAACTTTTCTAGACTTGGTCGTTTGGCCGGAAGTTGGCAGCCACCCGATTACACTGGTGTGCCGCCGTGCGGTGGCGGTGATCGCGGAGGCCCGGCCAGTGTCCTGCAAGGGGAAGCGTGGCGCCGGGGTGCCCAAGCTTGCTGTTGAGCACACTCGCCGACGACGTGTTTTTGTTTGCCAAAAGTGGTCCCACTGCACTTCCCCGAGCTGCTTACCTTTGTGCGGCGCTCTGCTCTCCCTCATCGAGGCCCCAGAGGACGCCGACGTCGGGGCACCTGGGGCGACCGTCGTCGTCATTTTGGCGTGGCGGGCGGGGCGCGACTCGGCCGGGGGGCGACCAGCTGCCAACAACGCGGACGTTCACCGGCGGGGCTCACTCGGCCGCCGCCATGGCGCCCCACGAGGACAACGACGGTCTCGGCGAGGCGCGGCGCGCGCTGGGGCTGCGGCACGCGTTCGCTGACCACTCCGACCGCCGCGGACTGGACTGCCGTCGACCGTCGGGGACAGCGGCGAGGGCTGGGGGGCGTGGGGGTGCGTGGGGCCGCGGGCACGGCAGGCAGGCAGGCGTGGCGAAGGCCCGCGCAGTGGCCCACTCCGCGGGGAAGGCAGCGAGAGACTGAGCGAGGAGCGAGCGAGTCGAGTGAGCTGCTGCTGCTGTGGTCGCGGGCGCGGTGGGGCGTGGTGGGGCGCGGTGGGGCGCGGCGGGCGGACGCAGGATAGATCGTGTCGCGTCCCGTGCGCTGTGCGCCCACCCGGGGCTAGGGGCTACCCGGGGCCCGGGATGGGGGCGGAGGCGGGGCGGGGCGGCGGAACCGGGGAAGGACTAGTACACCGTCCTCCCACCAGGGGCCGCGAGGGTCGGTGTGTCAGTGCAAGCAATGGAAAGCACAAGCACGCCACCGTTGGACTTAACCGCCATGCCATATCCTAGGCCCTGCACCCTCTCCTCTCCTGCTGTGCTACCACCCTAAGGCACCCGCGAGTACCCCCAGGCCCAGGCACCTTTAGGGTCTCTAGGCGTGCCGGCAGACTAACTTACATCGTGCCGGTGTGTTCGCGTTGGCGGGGGGCGGGGCGTCGTGAAGCGGGAACTGCTCCATCCCACTACGACCACGTGATGCAAGTGCGTGCAACACGAATGAGAATGAGGAACAATTAGGATAATTTTCGTACAGTTGGAATCGTTTGAATAAATAGCGGTTTGATGGTAATTTTAAGGAATGGACTTATTTTTAAGCAGTATTTCTGCTGACAACTTGTTCATGAGTGTCGGAGCGGAGTGCTGCCTGTACCTCATCCCTCTGTTCATTGATGGGTGACCAACACACACTCAACACAAGCTCTTCTATCCTGGAAGAACGCAGCCATTCTGTAAACTGTACGCAAAGTCTTAGGGTGGTTCTAGAGCACTCCTGCCCTGACATGCAAATGTTTCCTCAAAGTTCAGGGTGTAATTGGTGAAAGAAATAACAAGAGACGACAATTTCTAAAGCCCAAGCTTAACATTTATTAAACTTGACATAAAAATTTGTACAAGGTGTTTCATTTTAATTCATACATCACTTTGATGACTGTATACTGGACAGGTAAATCCACTTGCACATGAACCTAGATAGCTAGGCTAGGTGGAATAATTGAATTATTGCAGCATTATCAAAAGACTCCCCGCTGACTACTAAAGAAAGCCCCACTAAGCAGAAGCGGAAAGAGATTTCAAGTCACTAATGCACTTCTTGAGCGCCTCAGCTTCCTGAGCAGGAGTGATGGATTTCAGGACATTGTTAGTGATCCATGAGGACATGTTCTTCTGGGCAATGCGTCGTTCAACAGTAGCAAGGTCGACCTGGTAGTCCAACCTCTTCTTAGCCTGAAATGATAATTAACACAAGGAACATGAAAGGGGGAACTTTCAGCAGCAAGTGAAACATTCCAAGAACTGAGCACCAATGTTAGTTACCTCTTGGTAAGCAGTGACCTGCCACTCTCGGTAGAGTGCTTCCTGAGCAGCTGCAGCAGCCTCACGGCGAGCATTCATGATGTCCTTGTAGACATCCAGCTTGCTGTTGTAATCATTAATGTCAGCAATAGTTCCCTTGATGTCCACCTTTTCCTGATCCTCAGCTTCCTTGGTATCCTTGGACCATTGCTGCAAACACAAAAATAAAGTTGGAAAACAGTTGCAATTTAATTATTCATAAGAACATTGAACATTTGAATATCTTACATCAATTTGCTTATCAGCCCATGCTGCAATCTGGGGACCCATTTTGTTGTGGATGATGGAAATAATCAACAACATGGAGAGACCGTTGTAGAAGTTGTGCTCCAGAACGTAGATCTCTTTGCTCAGCAGCCATGTCCAAATACCAATGCCAAACATATAAGGACCTAAAGTTTATATTTAAAACAAAAAATAAAAAAAAAAGATAGGTTACATAGGTTTAGATTGTGGAAGATCATAGTAATAATAACACTTCATGTATCAATAAGTTCGACGCACCAGAAACACCAGTTTTCTTGTAGAAGAATTCAAAATATTCCTCAGGAATGAATGCTAGGCGAACAGGATCAGGGTGCTCCTTCTGCACTGGCCTCGGGAAGTTAACAAGATCACGTTCAGGTCCTTCTTTGTTCAAAGCAGGAACAATCGGAGCCTTGTCAATGGGATCCTCAAGATCCTCAAGCTTAGGGATAGCTGGGTTCGGCTTGGCAGGGGCAGGTGCAGATGATGCCATCTGCACACTGACAACCAGTGGGCGACTCAGCATTGGCTGACATTGCAGCGCTGGAACACAAACAATGACAAGTTGATTACAATCACCGCACTCTTGTTGACAAAAAAAATATACAAAACACTAAAACTTATAAACATGTGTCACATGTCATTGGAGGGTAAATCAAAAAATTCAGGAAGAAACAAGATGAAGGGAGATTGGGGCAAAACAGACTGAGGTACCAAAAAATTATTGAACGTGTCAGTGCTTTTTTTTGCAAGAACTTGCCCCATTAGATACGGGTCAAGCAAAACGACAGTCTGTCAGGGAAGAAATGATATTCTCGGGCAACGCTCCAATCGAGGGGCTCAAGCCAGAGGGGCGCAGACAGAGACGACGGGGCACCACAACCTTCAAATGACCCACTACGGCAACGCCGACTTTTGACAGGCGCAAGACTTGCCAGGATAACAACAAAGAATACTCTGCAGGATAAAGTCCTCATTGATGGATGCAACAGATCACAGGCCGGGCGACAAAATTATTTCAAGGATTCAAGCAACTAAATCGCTGTGCAGAGGTTAGAGCGGCCCGCTACACTTGAACTCCGAATGGTCCATGGGTACGACAAAAGTCTGGTTTGACGTCAGCGACAATTTGCGTACAACGGAGGCAAGAAATATTACCTGCCCTGGACGCCAATCGGGAGAGCATTTTGGGGCGCTCTAGTTTTAAAGTCGGAGTCGATCAAATAGTCTTCTGCCCCGAGCACTTGCAGACTGCTCTCAGCTGGGAAGAAGATCGGGGAAGAAGAAAAAGAACCCGATCGACTTGGTCAGGTTTGGTCACAAATAATTCCGTTTTCTAACCTGCCAAAAACCCGAAAACGAGGCACATCAGGACAGATTTTGGTTTCAAAATTGACCAGATGAATTTTCTGACACGATTCAAGTCCGGAATAGCTGGCCGCTAGCCGCCGGGGCAATGGCGCCGCAGCCAGCGATACCCCGTGCCCTTCCAAGGGCTGCCCCGCTCACCCCTCCCCTCCTCCTCGCCCGGAGAAGCGCCGAAAGCGACGCTAACTCCGCGACCCGCAGTCGCCCTCATTTCAGAAAATTGTGCCGCGGCCCGGAGTCGGCCCCGTTACTCTATCTCCTCCACTTAGAGAAACTCTCGACGGACAGCGATAGAGACGCACCCTGCTGCAGTAGGCCGCCGTATCACATTGCCACCCACCCTCGCCCCGCGCCACGCAGCCTCCGTGTATAAGCCGGTGGCCGCCGCCGCGAGCCAGTTGGATGCCGAGGAGGCCCGCGTCGTCTAGCTCCGGCACTGGGAAATGGCGATGTCGTCGGCGGCCGCGTGGCTGCTGTTGGTGGCTGCGGGGTGCGCCGTGGCGGTGGACGCGGTCGGCGGGCCCCCGCCTGTCGACGGTGCGTGAGTGTCTGTGTTCTAACGCGCGAGCGGCCACAGCCGAGCTTTAACGTTTTTAACTGCTCCAGATCGAATTCGCACCGACATCTTCGCGAGAGGGCTGAGGCCCCGCTTCTCGCTGCCGAGCAAGGAGGGCCCGCAACTGCCTCTGGAGACTCTCAAGGCCATCGACAAGCTGTGGGACTTGCCCTTCTTCCAGGACGACGACGAGAACCTCAAGTCCGTCCAGAACATGGTGACAGTGACCACGGACGACATTGACAAAGCCGACAACGTCATGCATCCGCCTCTAGAGTGAGTGGTCCTGGAGGGAAGCGTCGCCATATCTGGAACTTATTTCTTTGCAGTGTTTGCATAGTTTGTGCGCTTGTTCAAGGTACTCGGTCCCCGAGACCTTCCGGCAGCCCGATGACGCCTTCTTCGACTCGGTCGCGGACACTGAAGCCTGGGACTCGTCGACCGAGGCGGCCGAGGCGGCAGACGAGTCGACGCAGGGCAGCGACACCCGTCGCCTGGCCGACTGGCTGCCCGAGGGCGTGCAGAAGTACCTGCCCAAGGTGCCCACGCTGTCCTCCATCCTGCCCTCCTACATCCCGGGCGTCAATCTGCAGGCCGAGGTGCACCGCAAACCCATCCGGCTGCCCGTCATCCCCTCGGCCGCCGACGTCAAGGTGTACGTCAACACCCTGCTGCAGAGGGCCTTCGACAACCTGCACCGCAAGCAGCTGCAGCTGGCCGAGCTCATCAAGTGCTCATGCCCGAGGCCTGCGCGCTGCGACGCCATCCTGGAGGTGAGTCGCCGCGGAGCCGCGGTCGCCGTCCATGTCCATTTCATTGGCTGGCTGACCAGCGCGCCGTGCCGTCCGTGTTGCAGGAGTTCCTGGACGGCATCAAGACGAACAAGAAGCCGTCCTCGCCCTCCGCCGCGAACATCGCGACCCCAGCGGGTGCTGGGGCTGGGGCCGCCACTGGGGCGAACGCGGGCAGCGCGTCGCCGCAGCTCAGCTTTTACGCCGGACTCACAAAGCCTGACGGTGAGGAGGGTCCCGGCCTCGGTTTCTACGTGGACCAGAGCGGTCCCCACTTCAGCCACCACAGCCCGCAGCACCAACAGCAGCACCAGCAGCACCAAGCCACCGCCCAGTCACAAGCCTCGGCCACCTCGGCCGCAGCAGGACCTTCCTCATCGAAGCCACCGGTCCCTGCCGGTTCGAGGCCGTCAAAGCCGTCGCGGCCCTCCGGATCGGCCGCGCAATCGCAGGCCTCGGCCACGTCGGCGGCGCAGTCACAAGCTTCGAGGCCCTCCTCCTCGGCCTCTGCCCAGTCCTCGGCCCAATCCTCGACCCACGCTTCGAAGCCGTCCGGGCCATCGGGGTCGGCCTCGTCCCACTCCTCCGCGTCGGCGTCCTCTCACTCTTCCGCGGCGTCCTCTCACACCTCCGCGTCGGCGTCCTCTCACTCTTCCGCGGCGTCCTCTCACTCCTCCGCGTCGGCGTCCTCTCACTCCTCCGCGTCCGGCTCGGGGCCGAACGCCTCGGCGACCGCGCTCTCCTCCGCGTCCGCGTCCGCGCACCGTCAACAGCTGCAAGGTGGCGTGTCTGTGCCGCCGGCGGTGCCGCCGGTGCCGACCCCCACGGAGTACACGGCCACGTACGGCGCCCCCACCCCCACCCTTCCGCTGCCCACCTTCGCGGCCCCGCCGACCGTCGGACGCGCCCCCGCGCCCATTGCCCTCGGTCTCCCTTCCGACACGTCTGACGATTATCCCTACTCCTTCAGCCCGGACGAACCACCAACCACCACAATCCCCGACCGCGCAGAGCCTTCAGAACCCTTGTACCCGTCGCAACCAGACCCGGAGACTGCGACTTCCCCCATGACCCGCGAGTAGGAATGCTGTTAGGAAAAGTTTCACGTTATCCTTCTAAGTTTATATATTTTTATATTTTTTAGTTCAGATAGTAATTGTGATATTTTTAACTGTAAGTAGTGGCAATAAATTTCCTGCAAAGCTCTGCAATCATTAAGTGCAGAAACAGCCAAAACCCTCACTCTAAAAGCAAGTAAACAAGGTGCAGACGATTCTTGATTATAGGCAGTGTACACCCGAAGCGCTATTCGCAGTCAAAACTCCCACGGCCTCTCCGTGTGACGTCACGAGAGTTCCTACCATGTCCCCCGAGTTCTCGCCAAGTTTCACTGTCTCTCTCTCCCTCCCATTCATTGGCGCATTCTCTCTTTCTCTCTTTTCCGTCTCTGTTTATCATCTAGTTCTATCTCTGTCTATCTCAACTGAGTCAGCAGCCATATTGATAGGTGGAGCTGGGCCGTGTTGATGTATTTGCTAAAATGTTGGTGGGCTGCAAATTGAAAGCCTCCCACCCAATGTAAGCTCTAACTAACAATGCTTGAAAAGCATTTTCGCCCCCAAACTAGCCCAGTCGAAATTCTGGAGTTTGGGCCGTCATTTGTAGCCTTTTGATCACAGGTGAGTTTGGAGGACGTGTTCCAAGGAACAGGTTGACGATCTAGTTATCAAGAAAGACCATGAAAATATACACAAATGAGACTTCAGTTAGTAGCGGCATTCTTGAGACACTTTTCTAGTCGCTGCCATGTGCCTAAGCACTGTGGTGTCGATGTACAAACATCAGGAAAGGCAGACTTGACCTCGGGTTGGGGTTCCCACCTTCTTGACGAGGAACATAACCCTGATCAGTGAAGTGCTCCCCTCAGCCTATTTCGCTTCGTCTTATATCTTATCTCCTCGTTCTATGCCTGTGTACTTTTCGATATTTAGCAAACAAACGAGTGCCAAGTCTTTGGCATGTGTGTGTACCGAGGAAATAGTTTGACTGGCATGTACTACAAATTTTCTAATATTTTCCCTCAATTTATTTTATTTTGATTGTACACCCAACTCAACGCCACTGTTGTCTTGCAACTATTGTTGCAGCAAATAAACACATGCTCTAGTTGCCTTATTTCATTTCATCTCTTGTTAATGTATGTTAGGGCTCTTGCGGATGTTTATTTTCTCCCATATTTGTCTTTCCTTGTGTGTTAATCTGTTCTCATATAGTGTGGTTTGATTGTTACTTTAGGGTTTGTCGGCACCAAAAGCAAAATGCCGCCTCCTCCCCCACCAGGACCTCCGCCTCCACCAGGTCCACCCCCTCCCCCTGCGATGCCATCTCTGTCGCTTGGGGGGTCAGGGGGTGCTGATGGCCGTGGTATGCTTCTGCAGTCGATCCGAGCGGGTACCAAACTTAAAAAAGTAGAAACAGTTGACAAATCTGCCCCACTGATTTCGGGTATGTAACAAGATATTTGTCTTTCATATATTCCAATATTTAACATTGTTTCCAAATCTGTTTTACAAAATAATTTTTGTTTTTAGGAAAGGTTGGTGGGAGCAATGGGTCACCCTCTCCACGTGTTGCAAGCGGTGGTAGCCCTGGGCCTGGGCCAGTGCGTGCACCTCCCAACGGATTGGGAGGGCTTTTTGCTGGTGGCATGCCCAAGTTAAAGCCCACAGGAAGAAGTCGAGGTGACTTCTCTTTCCAGTTGTGCTTTGACATTTTCATAGCTCAGCTATAAAACTAACTTTATTCATTTGTTTTTCTTTTGGAGGAGGGGAAAATGCATCAGCATCATCTCCCGCTCCTTCATCTCCTGCTGCATCAACGCCTCCACCCCCTCCATCAGAAGCTCCAAAAAGACCTTTCCCGGGCGATGTCAAGAATAGGGGCCCTCCCCCACAGCCGCCTCCAGCAAATCAGAAGCCAACAGGGCTCGCAACTGTATGTCCAAACTTTTATTATTTTTTTGATTTATTCATTTACTTGCAGCTAATACTGTTGTCTTGTTCATGATATTTTGTAGAGTACTTCAGATTCAGTTTTAACTGACCGAAGCCAAAGGACTGCTCCTGTTCTTCCTAATAAACCACCTGTAGGGGGTTATGGAAAGCCTAATGTTGCCCCAAAACCACCTGGTATGGCACCAAATCCTCCCAGTACTCCTCCTAATACTGCATTGAGCAAACCATCACCACCAATGAAGAAAGTAGCAAACGGTGGTCCTAAACCTGCAGTGACTAGGGCGCAGAGTGTCAGAGTGCCTCGGTCACCACCAGTCGTACCTCCCACTGGTAAATATGCTGGGGCCGATGAAATTCCGCAGAGTCTCAGGATTCCAGCGGGCTTCTATGATTTTGTCGTAAATTCTCATAGTTATAATGTATATTTTTTTCTCTGTGTCTCGCAGGCCCCATGTTCCCGACTTCACCTGCCAGCCAGGGGGATTTGAGCAGATCGGGCCTGCCTTCTTTCCACCAATCTCAAGACTCCTTGCACTATAAAGTCTCCAATCCGCCTCCCCCTCCAAGAACAGCTACTTTGCCTCCGAACTTCCACAAACCCACAGCGCCGGCCCCACCTCCGCCCACGAATCGTCCCCGGCCCCCTATCGCCCGCCCCCCGCCGCCCCCGACGAGGCCCGTACCACCGCACGTGCCTCCGCCTCCGCCGCCCACCGCGGCGCCGCCCCCGCCCCCGCACCGCACGGCCCCGGTAAAAGCCTTCCCACCTCCGCCGCCCGTAAGTATCTGAAAATCAAATGGAAGTAATTCCTTTCATTGCAAATGTGGATCTTGTTGGTAATGTCCAAATGTGTTTGAATTGTTTAGAGTCTCAATGTTGCCCCACCTCCACCTCCCACAAGGAACTCATCCATGAGAAATGGATCGTCCACGTCGAGTTTAAGTAAGTCGTCCTCCCTGCATCGTCGAGAATTGACCTCCAATAGACCTTACTCTAAATATGTGTGCCACTTTTGTCTGATTTAGGTGACTTAGAGGCTCGCTTTTTGGATTCATTTCATGGCATCCATGAATTTCCTGCACCACAACCATTCAAGAACTGTTCCAAAATATACAATAGCAGAACAAGTATGTTGATATCAACCATGTCTTTAAAGTTTTCTTGATAGAAATGCAATTTTGATTTGACAACTTATTTTGTTTTGCAGCTGCCAAGCAACAGGCTCCTCAACCTCCTTCACATCATTTACAGCTGTCAGGGGCCTCATGGGGTCACAATACATCAAGTTGCTAGCATCGGCTTGAGGCACCGCCCCAAACTACTGCATGCCAGCAACTTTGGAAGTGTAGGCAATGGTGGAGTCAGTGTTTGCATTTTAAATGGAGGTGGTGTCGTAAATAATTGTCAGTGATGCATATCATCGAGTGCAACCCATATATATATATGTGCTACAACTGCAATTACTTGAGATGGTTTAAATTGCTCAAATGTAAGATGTTTTCTGTTATTCTCTACATCACTATGTGAAATCTATTGAATATCAGTGCAGGGTACATTAGTTTCCCAGCAGGTCAAATGTATTTCACAGATGTTATTTGTTTCAAGTTTTGTCAACTTACACGATTTTTAAATCTTACATTTGAGCTTGAATGGTATTGTTGTCTTCATATTAAAAGCAGCAGGCTCTGACGTTGTTGGAATGCCCTTGGCTTTTTCCATTTTTCAAGGCATCTTTTGTACCCATCAATTTTTTTTTTTAAACTTATTTATCCTTCCATATATTGTATTAGAACTACCCAAGGTCATAAGCAATATTAGCATAATCTTTTAAATGATTACTTCATTCTTATTGGGACTTTCAAAATTGGTGTTACCAATAGGAATTTTAAGGCTAGTGAAAGATGCCAAAAGCTTATATTCTGCCCATCTTTTGTCATGTGAATGACTTAGTTTGATGTATTCTTCTGTAGGGTGTTATGTTAAGCCATCCTCCCGACTACCCTGTTCACTGGGTTTTATTTCGCTCTTTCTTTTCTGACCCATTTGCCTTTGAAGGCTTTTAGTTCTGGCCCAGCAAAGGGTCTGTTTGTCTTGTGCTCACATATATGCATTTTCTTTGCGCTGCAGGCTTATTTATTTCCTATCTGCTTAGATATAAGACTTCTTTGTAAATTATGTAAATAGTTTGTTGTAATGACTGTAACAGATTTTAAAGTTAAGTTTGTTGTACTAAATTTTTGCTCAACATGTGAATGAGTTTAAACATAATCAGGATCAAATAATTCATCTGAAGACTGCTCTTTTAAAAGGAATACTTGTTGTTGATGCTTCAGTTGATATTCAACTGCAAAACTTTATATTGTTGTTGAAATGTTAGAAACCTTCCCCTTAAAACTGGGTTGTGCTGCTTTGATCGCAATACTGACATTGGCTTTAGTTTCTCATATATATGATGTCTTTCATGGAATCTGTCTGAGAAACTGACTGCTTTTATTGACTAACTATTCTTCTATGAAGTTGACAGGTGACATCTTATGCATTTGTTGAACAAAGGTAAACTGTGCAGTTATGGCTGTGTTAGATATTATTCTCCATTTGTTAAAAGCTATGCACAAAATTAAAAGCTTTATGTAAGCTTGACTGTTATTAAGTTCACTGTATTTAGGCTGAAATTGTGTGTGTTCTGTGGATTGGTTACTGCAATCAAAAGTCGAGGTCCTGCGGCAAACTCTTTGTGAAGCATAAAGTATCAAGAGTTGGTTGTAAACCACCCTGTTAATAGTTCTCTACAGATTTTTTTATTATTATTTATTTTTCCAAATTTTGCACTTTATTTTTCTTTTTTTGCTCAAAACTGGTGTTTTACTCAGTTGTGTCAAATTAGAACAGTGTGAACTCTATTTATTTGGTGTACAGTATTCTTTTATAGATATATAAATTTTTTGAATCCAGTACCTTTTGGCATTTTACAATTAAACTATAAGTGCTATATAGCTCTGTATTACAATTTTTATCCTAAACAATCTTGTTTAACGTCTGAGTATTTTTGTTTTCCTCTTGAGGTGGAACATAATAGTATTTTTGAGTTTTGTACCACTGCCGAATATTTTGTCTTGAGTTTTTTTTTCCTTAGATACGCTTTCATTTTTGGTCCGAAGCATCTCTGGATGATGGCACAATTGCTTTGTATTCTGTCTCTGACACATAAAATACCTGCACCTGAGTGTAGTTTCATAATAGTCATCAAAATTGATAGGTAGTATGTTTTTTTTTTAAATCATGCTCTTTTTGTATTAGTTTTCAGTGAAATATGGCTTAGCTTCTGTAACAAGCCTTCTTCATCTATGTTTTTCTGTTTTCAAGTTCAATTTCGCTTTTTTGTTTTGACTGAGGTTTTAGAGTGTGTTTTTACCTAACTGCTGGTACCTTGATACTTATTCAATCAAGTTATTAACCATGGAAGTGGTTAACGTTATGTTGGAAATGTTTAGAAAAGAGGTTTGAAAATGTGCTAATAGGATCTGGTTGGTTTGAGGAACATTTCACTCAAGTTCCTGATGTTTTCCCCAGTGCTTAAGTGTTAAATAGTTGTTACAATCTTAAGAAAGGAATCAGACCTTGTGCCTTTAGTTTAATTCTGTGATGAGAAATGTGGATGGGGTACTAATAATTATGAGTAAGAAACTTCTCCTACTCAGTTAAAATATTTGCATTCTACTAATTCATTCCTAATGTGAAAGATATTCATGTGCCTGGTAAACGACCGTGTCGGATATGAGGGTTGGCATTCATATTCTGGCATGCTACCTTTATGTACCTCATCTTAAGTTTGTTTCTAAAAAAAAGTATTTAAAGTAGACTATTGCAAGTATAGAGACCTTCTAACTGTCACTTTCATTCTTTCCTATATAGATAAGAATGATTTGTGTTTTGAAAGTTCAGTGGACATTTCAATTTTGGTCTGCAGGGATGGAACGGAGTAAGATATTTTGAGGTGTCTCTGAAATGGTGCCAGTCCAGTGCGTTTGGTTACGTCTTGTTAGTGATACTTATCTAGCTGCATTGTCTGCATGTATGAAACGTGGACTTCTTTCAAGAAATCCATTGAATGGCATATGCCCAGTGTGAGTGCCACAGCGCCACAGAAGGCACAGCACCAGTAAGCAAGCCTGAGGCCACTTTCTTGTTTTGTAGGCCCTTTTCTTCAGTCCTGTTTTTTATCCAGGCTTGCTGTCAGGTTTGTGGCAGTGTGTGATTTGTGACCAAGCTTCTGAAGCAGCAATGCTTCACCTAGTCATATTTTTTCTCTTTGCAGTATAGGGTAAACTATACAGTTATCGGCAGGGGTACAGTTATCGTCATCTCGGCAAATAATTGGGTCCTGCTCCTGCAAGTACGCGTCCGTTAGTGATGCGGCCAATGCAGGTCGCTAGAGACACCTTTTGAGCATGCAGGACCGAGACAGCATCGCGTTTGACTGAGCATGTCAGCCAACAGAGCCACGTTTCTTGTCAAGTGCAGAATGAAGCCGCTTCGGCCGCCCGTTCTTATCTTCTATGCTAGGAACAGGGGTTCAATCTTTCGTTAAATTCGTGAATGTGGGCGGGAATAAACTATTCTCTTTGCCAGGTTCCTTCTCCCCATCTATTGAAGAGGGCATACTGTGCTTGGCGCACAGAAATTCCTCTTGCTTGTCTTCAATCGGGGGGTGCCGATAACTGTACCCAAGAAATCACCCCAAACACAGTTATCGTCAGGGTGGCCTCAAACTTCTCTGCTGTTTCGGGCATCGTTGGGGAGTGAATATTCTGGTTCATTAAGACCATAGGAGGACCCCTACTAAATTTGAACGAAATCGGATCACTTTTTCCCAGTGATCTACGTGATTTACGAGATGTCCTCCTCGGTGCTTTGGAAGGTTGTTATTTCGCAACTCATGGTGCTAGTAGTCTGTGAGTCTAAAAAGAAGAGCCCAAGAGGCATAACAGAAGAGAGAGGGGGTTCGTGACATGTCGAGGGGTGATATAGAGTGCCTGTGACGACTGTTAAAAATTTTCGTCGCTTTCGGTCATGTTTTGCCTTTTAAACAAGGCGTGCCGATAACTGTCATATTGGGTGCCGATAACTGTATTTTGGCTGCCGATAACTGTGTTTTCGGTAACCATTTTCTCAGGTCAAATAAGAGCGACACAAAAAGTTTTTCGTGAAATCTTTATCAGCCACTTCGTTGACTAGATCCTTGTGAGGTGTCTGGAACAAGTCGCACGGGTCTAAATGTCATAACCTACCCTAGAGGCCCTTGAAAAGAAAGTGATGCTCTTAAACTGACGGTAACTGTATACTTTACCCTACCTTGGCAAATTGTTAAGAAGTTGTAATATGTAGCGCTGCTTTCGCAGCTTTTAAGTCTTAAATCTGACCTGTATAAACAATTAGCAAGCTCTAGAACATTGTAAATAACCATCGAATTTTGTACAGTGATATAATAATCCATGCATGTAATCAAATGTGCAAAGGGTTAAATTCTACTCTTATTTTTGTTCTTGTACTCGAGCTAGATATTGTAATATATGTATCAAATAAATAAAGTAACATATCTTGAGTAAGAATGTCAATTTTTTATTTTAAACATTGATCATTGCTTAAGGACATGTATTGTTCACTTTTTTAATTCTCTTTTATTTTTCCTAAAAATTTTGCACCATTACAGCTTGAGATTCAGATTCGATAACTCATGATGAATTGCTGCTGCTGGCAGGAGCAGATTCAGCAGGAATGCAAAGGACAATTGACATCCCCCGCCCCACCCTTTGGCCCCTGGATAGCAACTTTGCCCCTGGAAGTAGGCAAAAAGTGCTGCATTGCCCCTCCCTCTCCCTGAGGCCGTCTCTGGACCCACCACTACTGGCAGCTTATGTCATGTCACCTATTTGATTGGCTGTCATTCATATTATTTGAGTTGTGAGAAAAATTGAAGGAAACTTCTTTTGTTGGCAGTGGCTGTCCTAACATGATAAATAACTGGTCAACACTCAAACTTGACTTGTTAGCCAGATTTTCCAGTTTGATCATGTCCTTGGTTACATCATCAACCTGAAAAAAATTAACATCATTAATTAAAACCAACTATAAATTAATTTGAAAAATTATGTTGAGAACAAAGTTTAACAAAAGACAGAATTGGAAATGATTGTATTCTTACAAAGTGCCCATAAGTCTGAAGACGCCCGAATTTTAAATGCTGGTGATAGATGTGGCGCATTTGCTCAATTAGAAAGCATGTGGCAACAAGGGCTAATGCGATGGCAAGGAAGCCTAGGAGACGCCTTGTCAGACGATGAATGGGCACCAGCACCATACGGCAAAAAATGCTAAAAGCATTATACTTCTGTTCAAAACAAAAGCAACAATCATTTTAAAAAACGCTGCATCACAAATAAATAGTAAAATTAATCAATGCCGAATAGTTAGTGCCATGATATGGTAGCATGAACTTCTCCACCAATCATTCTCATTCTAAAGAATTAAGCAGACATTTGCATCCGGCATCACATCTTTACTTTCATTACGTGTTGGGTGCATGCATTAAATGCCTATGAAAGGAAAAAAATCTTCAAAAATTCATCTGACACAGTTCTGAAAAGATGTTGAGATGAAAGCTACAAAACTGATTACTGTGACTAACAAGTTCAGCTCGAGGGAATGTTTCAGTTTCTGCAGATTTAACCTCCTTAAGATGAACTACATAGAAGAATGTGCATACCTTGTTAAATCATCACGCATCCGTAATGCATGAGAGATAGATTAGTCAGAGACTATACAATGGACTTTACAATCACTCAGCGCAAACATTCTTATTTTTTGGATACAATATGATTCCCGCAATTAACAATAAATGAGGAACACGGAACAACATAAACCAATCCTGCGAATAAAGGAACAGGGAACGCCGGAAACAGAAGAAAGTCTTTTGGTTATTTGCAGTCGTGGTTGCTATAGCAACCAGCGCGCCTTATTTGTAAACATTCATGTTTGTGTCAAGACTCAAGAGTTTGTTCGTTTCCTCGTCTTCCAAGAGCTAGTGTTTTGGTCTTTTCACCATGGCTCCATGTACAACAAATCGCATAGTCCCAACTAGATTTCTCACTTTGATCTCACATTTTACAATCGCAGTTATCGCACTGTGGGCAAAGGTACTCTTTAAATCCTTTAATTTTAATTAAATTTTCTTCAAAGAAATTTTTTAAATTTATCTTATTCTATTTGAATATTCCATTGCAGGATGAAAATGTCCAAGCTAGTCTACCGGTAGATCACACTGCTAGTGATTTCAGTGTAAAGGCTAATGAGTATGGATCTCTGTAAAAAGACAATAATTTCATGAATTTGCCCAGATGGTGACTCTTTTATATTTTTATTTTTTTGTCTTTCAGGATGACTGTTGGTCTGAGTCTTGCTATTGCCTTCATTGGCCTGGAGCTGGTTGGATTTCTCTCAGGAGTTTCGTTTTTTATGCCATTTATCAGTCTAATATGTATCCTTTTTACGCTTTACCCAGCTAGGTGGGTAAAGTACTCAAACTTTGAATTAAATTTGCATCAGCTTTTGGTAAGATTATTCCTTAACATTTTGCAGCTATTGCAGCTCACTCCAGTGCAACTGTGCTGCTTGCACATTTTTTATTTGATGTGTGGAACTGTGAAGTATATTGGTGGATTTTTGCATTCTGCAGTGCTCTGCCAGCAGTCCTAGAAGTTGGAGCTTTTATGAAACTTTTGCAGCAGCTATGAATGATTATGTTGCTTCCATCAACTGTGCTTCCTCACTCTTGGTTATATTATAGATTAACACATTTATTAATGCCATTGTTTACTTTAATATCACTTTATATATACTGACAGCTTTGTAAATATAACTTTTGTTTTAATTTAGAATTTTCAAATGAATTAGGGCTTCATCTCTGATGTGTCACTTTTTGTTCCACTAGTACCTGAAAATGTTGTTTAACATTAATGACCAAATATAGATGATTTCTTACTGCAAACAAATTGCATTATACCTCCATTTACCTGAGCTTGAACTAGTGCTGGGCTGATCAGTCAGTAAGTCTGGTCTTATGTTCCCTCTTCCATATCTCCAACTACTTCGAGAAGCAATTTGGCTGGTGGAGTTAAACTTTCTCTGCAAACCATGGGTCCCTAGAAAAAGTGCATTGCATAAATTGTCTGAACAGGTATGGCCCTCATGACTTCCAAATCAAGGCCTTGTGATTTCACTTACTTCTGTTTGGGGTCGAAAGAAAGGATGACTGGCTTTCCCTGGTAGTTATCTTAAGCTGTCTCTGCAAAAGTTTGACAGTGATCAGAATAACTAACAACAAAGATTTCTTCCACAACAGAGGTCATCTGAGTTAACATACCCTTGCAGACAATGGAGTATGAAAAGAGCTGCTGCTCGAAAGAGTGGGGGATCCTTTCATCTTTTGGCTTGCTTTTTCTGAACACAACAGATGAATATTGAGACGACAGATTTTATTGGATGCAAAATAGTAGGATACAGGGTCACTTACCAGTATTCTTGATGTGCTTAAACAAAAACGCTTTATCCTTTTTCTCCTGTATCAACATGTTGTTCAAAATTTCCACTTCAATGGTATATGCTTCAGCCTTTGCTCTGAGTATGTAAGTGGCTATACTGATAGGGAAAATAACAGTATTGATGAAGTGCAGACTACTAAGGCGAACTTGGATTTATATTAAATTATTCCACATGTTACTCACCACATGGCAATTAAAACACCTCCAATAACACCAGGTTTAGCCAAGAATAAGACAGTTATGAAAAATACATTATCATTATGCAATTGAAATATCCCACTAAGAATGGCCTCATACATATACTTGAACCCACTAAATGGTCCACATTTTGAAGGTGAAACACTGCAAAAGATCACAGAAAAAGACACCAATCACATATTTTATCAAAGTAGTAATGTAAGGCAAATTTCAGGTATAAACCTACTAGACAATAAGGTAGCCAAACACCAAAAATACTCCCAGGAGTGCAATGAAGGTGAGAATTAAGAATATGGTTTGAGTTTGAGCAGCTCTCCAAGATTTTTTTGGAGCTTGGCAGTTGTAGAGGGCTCCTGCCTATCAAAGATTATCATTTTTTTACAAAAATCTAAACAATAAACAAGTAAGTTCAATTCAAAATTCTATGCATACCTTTTTGATGTAAAATGTTAAGAAGAGCTTTATTACAATCACAACAGAGAGAAGAGGACTGAAATAAAATCCTACTAGGAAAAGTGTTTGATTGTAAATGAGATTGAGTGTGTTCCATGCTATGTTAAACTCCGGCTGAGAAGAAATCTTAGAGAATTTCCTAATAATGGAAAAGGGAATGTCATTAAGTTTTATAGTGACTGATGTATTATTATATGAACACCCTTACCTTCGTATTATTGACCAGAAAGTCTCAACAAGTCCCATCAAAAGGACAGATATTATAAAATCTGTTATGAAAAGACGATAAACTTCCTGACCCAGAGCAGTCTCCCAACACTAGAAGTTAGATAAGATAAATTTAGTTTGCATGCACAAGAGCTGTGTACAACAAGTTTATTTTATATATTACCTCATCAGAGTGAGTTAGCCAGAATGTTGCTGTTGTGCCAATAACAACAATATTTAAAATAAATGTGCGAAGCAATGTAACGTACAGAGCTGTACGAGGATTGCGATAATCTTCATACCTGGTCAAAAAGGAACCATAAGTAAACACAATAAAGTTGCAGAACATTAGGCAATATAGTTATTCTTCAGAATAGCACAGCTTCACCTGACAATCCAGGAGAAACCAATTGGCAGTATATTCATTACTAAAGAAGTTACAATGGCCATGGTCATGGTGTGGCTGTTTGATGTGGAATCGGAAAGGTAAGCTGAGTGTCTCCCCAACAAATACCACATTGACAAGGCAATTCCTGCCATTAGGAAGAAGAACATAAAGTTAAGAGTGAATTGGACTGTTATATTTGTAAAACGCAATAAACAAGATGTATCCCGCTTCTGAAAGTCCTCTTCATTTAATGCTTCCTGTACAAAAGAAAAGAAAGTTCACCATTCGTCAGTACACACAAGGCCGAGCAAAGAGTAATGAAAAAGCAGGTGTTGACCAACCCAAACCTTTATTTCATTATAAATGCGCCGTTGGTTTAGAGAGGCTGCTTTAACAGTTGCTACACTATAGTCCCAGCCTGAAAATACTTTCAAAGCAAGGCTTCCCTTATGAGTTCCTCTTGTTTCAATGTATGTTTTTCTGTATGAACGTGCCATGCTGCAAAGAAAAATCTTCAGATTAATTCAAAATTCAAAGAACATTCATAATGAGAGATAGACAAAAATATGGAAAGACTGGCTTACCTGACTGACACGGTAATTAAAATAACCACATAGCATACAAACATGGAGAAAAAATATGCATTTGGTAAATCATACCGATAGCCTTCAAACAGTTGAAAAGTTTGATTTCCATAAGAGCCATAATACATTGTTGTGGCAGTCAGAAATCCCTAATCATTGTAAAAATAGTGTTACAGTAACCATATTACATCTGAAGAAAATTTTAAAAAATGGAGTTTACCTCTCCTGTAAATAAATCAGTGATGCTAAACTCAGCATGAACCCCATACGGATTAGTTCTATGCAGAAGAGATGCAGCAGTGAGAGGTGGAGGAACAGTTCCATTGGCATCTGCATAAAGAAAGGCAAATAAAAAGTAAGTATTGTATTTTCAATCAACTGAACTGAACCACACCAGACCAAACAGTACAAATTAATGATTAAGCCTTACCTGGTATATCAAAAAAGCTTTTCTCCAAGTAAGTACCACCATTTTTGGTAACATCGGGGACTTCATCAAAATTATAATAAAACTGTCTGAGAGTCTGGGGGACTACCAAGAAGCTGACACTGCAGACATAAAGATGAAAATGAATACACATATATGAAGCTGCCAAACATTTAGAGAAGTTTGTGAAAAGTAGTATACCTTATTATGAGTGAAGACAGATTTAATAACAGAAGCCATCTCAGAAATCTGAAGTACGATGCTACGCCACTCCCAAAACTCCCCTCTATTAATTTAAGACTGCCATACCATAAGTCCATCGAGTATGCTACAGTTATTACAGTTTCCTTGAACTATTAGACAAACAGAAAATAGTTACTTTGGGAAATTATATTAGAAGGGTCAAGTAGTCTTGTGATAAATGCTGGAAATACCTTCTGGAGGGACATGCTAATACTGTATTTTGTCATAGCAAATATTCCAATAGTTTGTTCCTTCGATCTTTCACTGTTCCTTCGAACAATCTCAGCCTTTTTTTCTCTCTTCTCAGATAGGGTCATCACTGCATCACGACGAGCACTATCTCTAAAATTCAGAAAAGCAGGTACTAGGTAGGGACTGCATTCAATGATAAAGTCCACAATTTCTACATCAGCAATCACTTACATTTGTTTAGATAAAGAACCATCATTGCCATTGTTATCCGTTTTATGAGGGTTGGAACGAGATGGAGATTTATTTGGTACATACAAACCCACTTCAAAATCAGAATCTGTAGGCAGAGAAGACTCAGCTAGTAGGGGGAAAAGAGAATTGGAGTACGAAAAGCGCAAGATGATTTATGATTACTTACACATTTCTGGTACCCTATGGTGGGAAACACTCTCAATTCCTGAGAGACATGAGTGCTGGGAGATTAAAGAGTTTCTACGAGATAGGTTATTGTTATTTGCTCCACATAAATATTGAGACTCAGGACTATCACTGGATATGCCAATCGTGTCCACTGAATGAAAAAACAAACCTTAGAAACCATACTATGCGGAAAATAATTAAGAAGTGATACTTGTTACACTCACATCTAGCCATTGGTATTTCTTCCACTGATGAGCTATGGTTGACACCACGTTTCATTTTGGTGGTTTTTAATCCTTCTAGATTTACATTGAAATTTCTGCTTGGGAAAAGATTTTCTCTCCAATCCAGGCCATCCTAAAACAAGCAAAAACATGAACACTTTGTAGGGGAAAGGCTCCTTGGATGTTGTTTTCAATTTATGAATGCCACTCATGCCGACCTCACTTTAAATTATCTAGACCAGCTACTGTGCTCATAAGATAAGATTGAAGTAAAAGATGCATTCGTTTAGAATAAAACTGAAAAAGAATGATAGCAAATTGCAAATAAAGTCCCACTGAATATAAAAATCCCTGATTAAAATCAGGAGGGTAACCTTTGGTCATGCATGAACAGCTTCACTGGCAAGAGATCCGCTGAGGCAACAAAGTTCGCATAGTGGCCCGTTAGTTGAGTAAACAAGAGGCAGCTTCAATAGTGACCAGCAAGAATAATTATTTAGAATACTGACATCTGTAATATTAAAATTTCCATTGCACAATTTGTACAACGCAAACAAATAAATAAATTTGCTACAAGAAATTTAACCATCAACAATAATGTAAAGAAAGTTTAATTTTCCCAACTTGGCCGTAAGCCTTAGAGTGTTTTTAAAAGTGGATCAGTAAAAATTTCGTTAAATTACCCGATGAACTAACCAATTTGACAACCGGACCCACCTCTAGTTCAACGACCTGTTGACGTTGACGCACAGATCCGTCACGCCGAAAAACCATCCTACACTATTTTTCGGAGCCTCCTTGGTAAGAGACGTCAACACAGAGGCAGCTACTTAACCTTGGCAGCGGTTAATGGGAGCGCTACCCCCGAAAAACAACTTAACAATGCAGTCATAACCGCACGCTGATTAACAGGTAGGTTGCTTCTGCTTCGGCAGAGAGCGCTAAAAATCAAAACAACAGCTGATGGCAGTGTGAGCAACACAATAAAACTATCTGGTCTAAAAGCGGTCCTCTCAAACCACATATCAATCTAAAAAACCAATAGGCTAGTCAGGCTACTTAATCAAAAGTTAAAAAAGAGTTTAAAACTTATTAAGAAGCCCTGCAGATGCCATTGTTGGAGCGCAAAAGAACGGAGTGATATCGCTATCCAGTGTTGGCAACGTCTCCCCCCACCACCGGCAGGACTCGTTGTTTAAGGCATCCTTGCTGTGCATCCTGGTTTTATTCGGATTCCCGTTTCGTTGCACAGGAATTTTTCCTTGATTCACCTAGAAAACCCGTTTTGGAACGAAGTTTCATCCCGGACGTGCGACCAATCATTCCAATGAACCGAGAGGCCGTTCGAAACTGCGAGGCAAGTGCTAGTTGAGGTTATGGGTCCGTCGCCGGAAACCTTAAAGCTACAGCCACAAGTGGGAGGGAAAAGGGAGGAGTAGGGGTTGCAGAGGACTCGCGGTATGTCGGGGCTCAGCAGTTTCATCTTTTCTCTCCGCGTCTTACAGGTTAATCCCTCTCAAGTACCCTAATGTTTTCGGCAGGCCTACCTTTTGGTACTTACCGGCAAACAAGGTCTTTATTAAGCAACTCAACAATCCAAGGCTGGCGGCCCACTCATCCCGACGATCCCGGCAAGCCGTGGCAGGGAAGACCAAGGCGGTGGGGGATGGGGGCACAATCCGCGAGGGGGAGGGGGCGGGGCGGGTGGACAGGGCCGGCCGGGCCGCGGGAGGGGGGGGGGGGGCTGGGGGGCTCGCTGTCGGCCTGTCGGCCAACGAGGCCCGAGAGGGAAGCGGGATCGGCGATCGGCGAGGCAGGGCGAGGCAGGGCGAAGCAGGGCGAAGGCACCCCCAGGCCAGGCCGGCCAGGCAGTAGCCACAGTGCGGCAGTAGTCGCCGACCAAAGCCGCAGTCGATCCCCGTGCGCGCGTGCGTGCGTGCGTGCGTGCCCCGTGCGGTACCTTCTCAGTGCAGTGCATGTGATCGTGCCGCACGCTGCTGTGGCCTGCTGGCCCGTGCGACGCGCTGCCCGCTGCAGCAGCCAGCTTGGTCCAGGACACTGGACTGCGGTCCTGGACTGCGGTCCTGGACTCTAGTCCCCGCCAGCGGTGCCCAGCCCATCGGGTACGGTAGCCCCAACGGCCCCAACACGGGCACGGGAGCCCTCGCGGCCTCCCGGAGCCGCACCCCCGGAGTCTGACCCCCGGCCCGCTGCCCCGCGGCCCCAAGTGGGGCTGTACCTACCTGCTTTGGGCTGCTAACGGACGCGGCCCCACGGCGCGGCCCCACGGCGCTGCCGTCGCCGCCATACCACCGCGCCACAAGTCGGCTCGGCTCGGCGTGAAAATAGACTCGGCTCGCCGCGCGCCCGTGTCTGTGTGTCTGTGTGCACGCGAGTGTGCGTGTGTGTCTGTGTGTGTCCGGCCGCTTCTGCAGGGGGCCGCGTCTGCCTAGGCCCTCGGCGTGCCACCGGGAGCACGGCGTGGAGCCTCCTCAGCAGCTGAGCCCCCTCGAGCCCCCTCCCCCCGCATGGGCCCCTGTTGCATGCCTGGGGCTTGTCCTGTGGAGCCCGCGCAGCCCGACGCGGCGTCTTGGAAAGTTCAAACGTCACCGAAAGTTCGTCGGGAAGCTTCCCCGCGCTACCCCTCTGGGCCGAGGCTGACGCGGCTGAGGCCCTTGATCTGCGGCGCGGTGCGCACCTGGGACCGGCCGAGTGGCGGCAGGCAAGCCGCGGGCCGCGGGGCTGCGCGGATGCGGTACACGATGCGGGGCACTCGGCCAAGCGATTTGCACTCTTGATATGAGTATACAGTCGCCAGCCTAGTGCTGGGACTGGGCCCGGCTGGGCCGCCTAGCCAGGTTGCGGGGGCAGCAAATTCGCCGAGAGTGAGTGTGCCGATTCCTTGGCCTCAGGTGGCTATTGGCGGTTATTGGCACAAGGGCTTGCCCTGGGCTGCCGAGGGGCCCGGCCCGGCCCGGCACAGCACAGCGCGCAGCAGCCCTCGCTGGCAGCACGCTGGCAGCGCGCCAGCCCAGTTGTTTCCACATTCCTCCTGGGCTGCACCCTGCACCGCTCTGCACCGACCCGTCGCGCGGCCAGCACGTCGGCCAGCACGTCAGCCAGCACGTCGGCCAGCCCCCGGCAAACCGGCAATAGAGTCCTAAAGGCTTTAGGACTGGCAAGGGCTGGGGCCGCCACGGGCGCCACGCCGCCACGGCAAGGCCCTCCCATCCCCCTCCCCTTGCCGGCGCAACAGGCGGGCCTAGGCTGCTAAAGAGGCTGTGGCAGCTGAAGCAAGGCAGGCTGGCCGACGGCGCCGACGGGCGCTGGCGGCATGCTGGCGGCGAAAGGGCGTGGGCGAGGCGGCGTGTCGTTCCCGCCACTCACAAGACCAGGACCCCGTGCCGCGCGCCCCGCCGCGCACAAGACCCTGGTCAGCGGCATGGCCACGGCCATCTCGGGGCATGACGCCGTGATCACCCTCGGCCTGCCCGGCCCTCCCTCTCAGCACTCTCAGTGCCCTGGGCGTTCTTGTTTTAAGCCCGAGCCGTGGCTGTGCACGCACCTGTGCCGCCACGCGCCGCCACGCCGCATTGTGTCGCCGTCCCCGCCGGGCTGCTGCAGCACGCTGCCTGCCTGCAACAAAACTGCAGCAGAGCGAGTCCGAACAGTGCCTCGCCGCTCTGCCCGTCTCGCTCTCACTGCGCGAGGCAGGGAGTGCGAGAGAGACCGAGCGACGGAGCACTGCTCGGTATGAGGGCCCGAGACCCGTGGTACTGCGGCCACGATGGCCACGGTGGCCACGGGGTGGCTGGTGGCTGGCTAGCTCCCGGAGCGGGAACAGGGACGACTAGAGACCCTCCCGTCAGAGATGCGCAAGGGGGGGCCCTCTCAGCCAATCACAGACGATTGGTAGTCCCATGCGGAGCGGGAAGCCCGAATTCGCCCCGCGCGAGGCTACGCAGGTCAGCATCTGGTGCGGCACAGCAGGTATACGGCGGTCGCCCGCTAGCCTGACTCAGGGTGCCTTTGACTACACGGGACTACCAAGCGCTGGCTTGCGCATCTCTGACGGGAGGGTCTCTAGGGACGACCCGTCACGTGCTGGTGAATCACCGACATGGCGGGGCGGGCCCGAAAGGCAGACCATCACTTGTGGTCCAGCCATTAGTCGCAATCGCAATCGCCCGGCGGGTGGGCAGGCCCGCCGGGCACGCGTGTTCCGCCGTTGCCTACCCAGCACGGCGCTCTCGCCGGCCGGCATCACCGGCTGGCTGGCTGTTGCGGCTCCAGCGCGACGCGTCTGCGTCTGCGTCCGCAAGCCTCCCCTCCCCCTCCGTCTCGGATCGGGTACTTCGCCTTGCCTCCCTCGCAGCCAACCCACCAGGCGCCAAACAAAACAGTGTGGTGCTTCAGCGACAAAGTCCGCACTCTCTTCCCCCCCCCCCCGACAAAAACAAGAGAAAGGAAAGGAAGGGACCAGCGTCGCGTCGCCGACGTCACGCCGAACCTTTCCACCGCGCCGCCCCGACGGACCGACAGGCCGACAGGTGGGGCTGGCCTGCTGCGCGTGCTGCGCCTGCCCAGTGCCCATGCTGGTGACGACTGCTGCTACCACGCTACCGTGCTACCGAGCGAGACGCCATTGATGGGTTACTCGGGGCGTGGCCGGGCGTGGCGGGGCGTGGCGGCCGTGCGGGGGTAACCTAAATAGGCCGAGCGGGCCCTGGGCTGGCGCGGCGTCTTTAGCTGACATCGAAGGGGTTGCAGGGAAGGGGCGGCTTGTGGCTTAGTGGTTAGGGACCAGACGAGGCTAAGCCGGCTGCAGACTGATTTGTAACACTGGCTTCGTCACCGCGTCTCTCTGGTACCCCTACGTCAGCGGTTCTCAACCTTTTTCGGCTCGCGACCCCAAATTCGTAGCCAAATATTTCCGCGACCCCCAGGAAAAATTTCGCAACCCCACGGGCTGACTTTAAGCAGCCTCTGCGTCCGATCCGAGGCGGGCCTTCGTACTTTCTCAACGGTCAATTGGCTTTTGGCCCTTCCTTTAGCATGCCTTTGTTACGGAGTGCGATTATGCGCCTTTGTTTGGGAGCAGTATGGGCTCAAAGTTGATCAAAACAGTCAAAAATGCCTTTGAAAAATCGTGTTTTGGGCCAACTTTAAGCAGCCACTGCGCCTGATCCGAGGCGGTATTTCGTCCTCCCTCAACGGGCATTTGGTCTTTGGACCTTCCTTTAGCATTCCTTTGTTACGGAGTGCAATTATGCGCCTTAGTTTGGGAGCAGTATTGGCTCAAAGTTGATCAAAACGGTCAAAAATGCCTTTAAAGTCGGTTTTGATCAACTTTTAGACAATACTGCTCCCAAACTAAGGCGCATAATTGCACTCCGTAACAAAGGAATGCTAAAGGAAGGTCCAAAGACCAAATGCCCGTTGAGGGAGGACGAAATACCGCCTCGGATCAGGCGCAGTGGCTGCTTAAAGTTGGCCCTAAACACGATTTTTCAAAGGCATTTTTGACTGTTTTGGTCAACTTTGAGCCAATACTGCTCCCAAACAAAGGCGCATAATCGCACTCCGTAACAAAGGCATGCTAAAGGAAGGTCCAAAGACCAATTGACCGTTGAGAAAGTACGAAGGCCCGCCTCGGATCGGACGCAGTGGCTGCTTAAAGTCGGCCCAAAAACAAGGCTTTCTAAGCAGTTTCCGCGAATTCCCGGCAGTGCTCGGCATATGTAGGCCAGCCGGGAAACCGCTGCGACCCCAGGCGACCCCAGCCACCTCGCCGCGTCCCCTCAAAAGGTTGAGAACCACTGCCCTACGTGACGCCCCATGAGTGCGAGAGGGACAGAACAACGGCATCAGCCGTCTTAGTGCGCCTGGGCCCCGCCACGTCGGCCACGTCCTCCGAGGAGCCCGGGGCTCTAACGACTGACGTGCACCTCGATGCCGGTCAAGGCGGCCCCGGCCTGCTGCATTGTGCCTGTCCCCGTTCCACATCGGGCAGCCCTAGGCCCCCTGGGCCCTGTGTGCACCCTAGGCCAACCCTAGGCCAGCCTGGCAATTAATCCCTGGGGCCGGCGGGGAGGCGGGGAGGCGGGACTTGGAAGAGGGCGTCTGGCCATGGCTGGCCATAATGGTCGTAAACGAGTCGATGGCGGCCGCGGGCCTGCCCTGTCCAATTGCTGCCGCAATCGCCACTCGAACCCCCGACCCCCACGAAGGGCTCGCCCTTAAATCTGCAACGGGCCAGGAAAGCTGACAGGAAGTTAACGGGCCGCTTGTTGCAGGAGGCATGCACCACCTGTACCCCTCCACCAAGGGGGACCCGCTGTGCCCCCTCGGATTCCACCCGCAAGTCCGCTGGCCCACCCGGTGCAAACGCTGCTTCAGGTTGGTGGTCCGAGTCGCGGGCTTGGCTTCTCTCTGTCCTCCTTTGGCGTTGTTAACTTTGCTCCTTCCGCCAGGGACTACAAGGAGCATGGCAACCGCAGCAAAGAGCAGGAAGTCACCGCGTCGTCGCCCAGCCTGTCCTCCTGGAGCTCGACCTCATCGCGGTGAGTATGGGCGCCGTCGGGGCCATCGTTGCCACTGCCGTCGTGCCGGCGAACTTAATGCCAGTGGCTTCGGTGGGGATGGACTCGTATCAATGCCAATGCCCCCAGCCAGCCCCGGGAGGGTGGGGTGACTGCGGCGCCTCCCCGCGGGGCTGTCCGCGACCTCCGCGACGCACCGTGCGGCCGCCAGCCGCCAGCACCCGGGTGGGGCTGGCCGACGTGAGGAAGGCCTCGGCCAAGCTCCCCGCCGGGGCGGCCAGGGCGGCCAGACATTACCTCTTTCTGTTGACATTGACTTGCCACCCCCGGCGTCGCCGTGCCCCTTGCCCGCCGCATCCGCGTGGCCGGGCGTCGCGCGGCGGCAACATCGCCGTGGCGTTTTGCGACTTCGCGCTTCGCGGCGCCGATGTTGGCAACGCGGCCGCGGCCTCCCTTACCCGCGCCCCGCTCCGCCCGCCTGCCGCCACCCCCGCGTGCCGTCGTCGCCGCCGTCGCCGCCGTCGCTGCGTGGGACTCGTGGGTCCGACCGTGTGTGTTGATTTCGGCTTGGGGCGGAGGGCGGCCGTTTGGCCTGCTGGGAGTGCGCGGACGTTCGCGGACGCGGCACGGTCCGCGTGGCGGCGCTCCAAGTCCGCCCGCGCCACGTCCGGTCAGTGCATGACGGCAAGGCGGCAAGGCCCGGCACCGCCGTGGCCAACGTGGACATTGTGGCTGGCGAGTGAGGCCGGGTGGGTGAGGCCGGGCAGGGTGGCAGCCTCGCACCCCGGCCCGGCCCCTGGCTCTGCCGGCTCTGCCTGCTCTGCCTTACCCCAGGCTTCATCAGCGTCACACCTGTCACGCCGGTCGCCGCCACCAAGCCGCCACCAGCCCGGTGGGGCTAGCGACGCTTCACGCGCTAGCGACGATTCCGACGCTCGTCTCTCTCGCGCCCCCGCGTAGCGCGGCTCGCCTATGCGAGAGAGACAGGCCGACGACGCAGTGTTGAGAATCAGCCCGCAGGCGTCACGATGATGAATGCGTCGTTCCCGCGAATACGTGTTGCAATCGGAGAGGGGGAGAGGGCGAAGTTTCGTTTTCATCGGGCTGCTCTCTTTCTCTAACACGCTGCAGGCGACGGCGGGGCGGCACCGAGGGGGAGGGCCACGCCGACGTTCGTGACGTCACGGCGCGCCGAGCGACAAGCACGCGTGTCGCTGCCGTGGCGTGGCGTGACGCGGCGTGACGCGGCGTGCCGCGCTGTCTCATTACCACCCATGTCCTCCGTCACACCCAAGGCAGTCCAAGGCCCTCCGGCTGGCAGCGTGCTGGCAGCGCTCCCCGAGTCTCCGCTTCTCGGCCCGAGACCGCCGAGACCGGGGGAGCTAAAATAACAAAATAACAAAAGCAGCAGGTGCCCTCGGACGGTGCCGAGTGCTGCGGGTGGGGTGCGGGGCTTTGTCCTTCCCTCGCCGCTGCATTTCTCATTTCTCGTGTGCCGGAACTCCGCCGCCACCGTCGCGCACTCTCAGAAGCGGCAGTGGTCCTCGTCGAGGCCGTGGGGGGCCGCGGACTGTCCAACGTGAGGTCGTACAAGCTGTTCAATTTGGATTCTGTTGTTCTGTCGGCGTCCCAGCCTCCGCGATGACGGCCGAGGCGACAGTGGCAGCAGCGCAGTGCGGTCGGCCAGCAGCAGCGTCGGGCCGGTGCCCGACACCAAGACCAGCTCCAGCAGCAGCAGCTCGTCCAGCGAGTCGAGGTGAGCGGGAGGAGTCGCCTCGCGCAGTCCCCACGAACAGAAGGAAAGTTGCACCGAGGGTACGTTTGTTACTATGTTGTTGGTTTTTAGGTTTGGGAACAGCAGTCTTTCCCGGCCGGCCTCCTCCTGGACGTCCACTCCAGACCTGGGCAACCTCAACGATGACAACCTTACGACCACCGTGAGCATCACGCTGCCCAGACGTCGACCTCAGCCCCAGAGCACGGAGAAAACACCGGCCCCTACCCCGACCACTGATACCGGCCAGGGAGAAGGTATTTTCCTCTTTCAAAACACAACACACAAACTTATTGTAATTTTGTTCATGTTCTCTTTAGTACTTCACTGTGTCTGCTCAGAACTCATTCCAAAGTTTTGCTTCGGGTTTGATTATACGGGTAGGGCTGTCGTTGTCATCCACCATCTTGTCTTTTTGCCAAAATAATTGTGACTGATCAGCTAAATTTTGTTTGCTTTTCTTCATTCACCGTGATTTCATTGTCAAAGTTTTCATCAACTATCATATTTTTAAAATTGCTTGCTGCAATATTTCTTAATAGGCCCATGGTTTATTTATGTGCCAGGAATTTGAAGTTGTGATTAACATACATTGCTTTTCTTTCAGCTTTTTCGGTAGAAAATTATTTTTTGCAAGCCACTTTTTGAAACAGAATGTTTGGTTTATGCCATATAAAATTTCAAAATATTTAAAAATGTGTAATCAAACAGAGGTGGCACATTTTTTTGTCTTTGTTCTTAATGAAATTACCTAATGGGCATTTTTTGGACTTTTCCATTTTTCATCTAAATTTCTAAGTTTCTTGAAAAATAATTTATCTACATTTCTTTGGTATGTGTTGCTGAATTCTGGTTTGCAGCTTTAAATGTTTGTAATTCAGGACACAAGGCTTGAAGTTGACGAGCCAATCACCCCACATGTTGCTTGTGAAAAAGTGTCTGCTTGCTTTGCAATGAAGTTCTCCTTTCAAGCTGTAAGTTGTTTCTTTCCTGTGGACAGATAACTTTCGAAGTACAAGTTTCACCGTTCGGAGACGAACAGCTTCTCCCTCTGTGTCTGCTGGCTCAACTCGCAAAAGTTCATGGGCCTCTTCTTCATATAACTCAACTAATGATACTAACAACAACAATAGCAACAACAATGAAAGTAGCAGGAATGTCAAAGAAGACGCATTATCATCCAATACCAATAACCAAACCTTATCAGGCAGCGGTGGTTTGCGAACTAGACCACCCGCTGCCCCCTCTGCAGTTTCCTCTGCGTCAAAAGCCACCAAAGAGTTATCATCCAAACCACCCATGAAAAATCGGGCCACTGGACTCAAAGCTGACCAGAAGGATACTGTTACCAGCCCTGATGTACAATTCATACTCCAGGTATATTGTACTTTAGGAAATGTCCATTTCTTGTTTGTATTTTTATTGCAATTGTAATTTTCTGTTTGATTTCAATCTCTCTAATCAGGTAAAGGGATCAAAAGCAACAAAAACAAAGACTAAACCCAAGGGGGCTAAAGTTACCAGCTTTTCTTCAGTAAACAATACGCATAGCTCCAGCTCAGGCGAGGATAGCCTGAATGAAGATGATGATGACATCAGTATAGCTGGAACTGAAACAACAGAAACTACTGAAACTACTCTTGTGGACAGAAACGAAAGTGATTTGCAGGTACATAATTTATTTTATTTTGTCTTTACTCCATATTTCTTGTGGCCTTTGAAATAATTTTACTCTGTGCGATGTGTTGTTTATTTCAGGAACAAATTGAAAGTTTGAAGGAAGAGCTGGAGACTGTGAAGGCCAGATGTGAAAGAGTAGAAAGAGAAAAAAGTGATATATTACTGAGACGACTCGCTGCAATGGACACAGGGCCAAGCAAAACTGCTGCATCAGAGGTGATTGCCTTATTGTGTATTCTAATATCATCCTTTCGGAACAACTGCTTTTTTAATGGACTTTCAGAACTTTTGCTTTTTTAATTTAATTTTTTATCCTTTGAATTAAAGGTTTTGAAGCTGCAACAAAAAGTAAATGAGAACCAAACCAGGATAGAAGATTTACAAGATGATAAGAAAACTTTGGCACTAAAAGTGAAAGAGCTAGAGGAGGAGCTTAACAATAGACCTCCAGCCGGTACAAATCAGAGAGGCATGGATGAATTACGGTCCAAGCTATTGGCTGCAGAAACTCTTTGTGAGGAGCTAATGGATGAAAATGAAGATATGAAAAGAGAGCTTAGAGACTTGGAGGAGGAAATGGAGGAAATGCAAGACAATTTTAGGTTGTGATCATAGAGAGAAATTTGTAAACTTGACCCATTCTTCTGACTTCTACTGTTAAATCTAAATATCCATGTTTACATTTCAGAGAAGATCAAGCAGATGAATATACATCACTGAAAAAAGAATTGGAACAGACTGCAAAGAACTGCAGAATTCTGTCTTTTAAACTGCGGAAATCAGAGAGGAAGTTAGAGTCATTGGAAAATGAGAAATCAGATTATGAGAAGAAGCTTCACGAAGTGAGTTTGTTGGAAAGTATTTCATTAGTTCTTAGAGTTTTTTTTCTGGAATCTTCGATGTGCTGAATGTGATGCTGTGTTTAGAACACCATGTGCATGTGTTAAGTTTTGCATGTTTTTACCTTCCCTTGATTTTCCTGGGCCTCCCCTTTACATCATTTTAATTTCTGGGGTTTTGGAATTTTTCTTTCCTTTTCACAATTTTTACCACAGCACATGTGATATTTACAACACACACCATTCTCCATCCTACTCCAGCTGACAATGTCTCAGGCAGGTTTGCTGCTTCGTGTACCTGTAGTAGCAAAAGCGCTTGGAATTTCAGCAACGAACCCTATGCAGTTTGTAGAAGATAAAATTACAGCATCGCACTCATTTCTACACAGTGTGGTGAGTCCAGGCAAGGTCACATAACACAAAACATAAACATAGGATAAAGGATAAAAACTAAATAAAAGCTTTACACATTAAATGAACTACAAATACTTCTTTTTAAAAGTACCACTAACTTCCTTCCTCTTTCTACTGTTTTTTAATTGTTGCTTCGGCCCATGTTTCTTCCTATGAACATCAAAAATAAATGAGTAGAGTGAGTGCATGATTTTCCTATGTGACTAGAATTGAACTTTTCTTTTTTCCAGTTTCTAAATTTGTACGTCTGACTTCTTGTATGTATTTGTTTTATCATTACTGTAATTTTTTTTCAGTTGGGAGTAGGTGAAGATGTGACTGAAAAAGCTAATAGAATAAGACATCTTGAACAAGAATTGGCTCTCTCTAATGAGGTACACAGCTACTTTCCTTATTAAAAAGAAACCTTGATTCTGTTTTGTTTAACTTGTTGCTCCATCTCTCTCTTTGTTCAAGGTTTCTGCTCGATTGCAACGGGAACTTGAAGATGCTAACAACAAACTGAAAGCCAAGGATGATCCTAAAGATGAGAATAAACGAAAGGCACCTATGCTTGGCAGCATTCCCAAAGTTCCATCTGGAGAGGTATTGGCCTAATTTGAAATTTTCAGCTGAAGTTATGTTATGTTATGTTAAATTTAAAGTGGTTTTATCACACCAGAAAGTGTCTCGTGAAACACTTACTCGAGGGGGCTCTCAAGACGATCCAGCCCAACTCCTACGTGATCTTCAAGATTCGGTTGAAAGAGAGGCTGATTTGAGGGAGCAGCTCAAATTTGCAGAGGAGGAGGTAAAGTGTTTCAATGGCAACGGCTTTAATTTACATGGTGTTCCAAGCAATATTTTTTCAACGAGAAACAAATTTATTATTGCTACTTAAAGATTTTGACAAGTCTTTGTCTTAGACACTTTGTCTAACCACTTGGTCTCTTAATAATTTTTTTATTTTCTTTTGAATGTTGTGTCGGTGGTTACATTACAAGGAGAATGTTTTAGTTCATCTGTGCACAGAATCCTAGCTGGTAGTCATAGGGTTTTGAATATTGCTTGTGATATAAGCTGCTCATTTCACCAGATCATAAAACTTCAACTGAAGCCTAAGCCCAGAATGAGCAAGCATGCTATGATGAAAGCAAGATCGCAGCATGAGAAGTTGGAAGAAGGGGATGACCCAGCATTCTCTCTGCTGCCCATGCAATCCCACCCTTCCCTCCAATCCTTGTCAACACAAACTGATCCTGAGCTCGAATCGCCAATGTCAATGTGGGATACCTATGATGACTTGACTGATAATCAACCTACTTTAACAGTGGCTGCAGACATCTTCATGCTTTCCATTTCAAAACATGCACCAGGCTTAGCTCCGGCTGTTAGAGCTTTGTTAGATTCTCTTCTCATTTTTCTTTCAAATTTGCCCTGCTCTTTGCTCTGTGATGAAAATGCTGATGATGAAATGGAGGCTTTTGATTCTATTGAGCCATTGTATGTTCCTCATGATCTCCTTGCGCTTTTAAGAGTGTTCTTTGTGATAGATGAAGTTCTTACATCGAGGCAACTTGCTGTATCAGTTGATTTACCTAAAGAAGGATCAGAAATTTGCGAGATAGGCAGTAATTTGTCATCTGCTAAGTCTGCAGCCCCACCAGTTTTCAATTTAAACAAAGCACCAATTGAACCAAATGCCTTGTTAATTAAAAATACCCTTGTCAAAGACAAAGTAGATAGAGAAAATGGAAATTATGAAAATATTTTGGCCTCTACAACCCCATTAGGACCAGCAGTAAATTATAAATTGGACTCGTCTACTCAAACCGATATTTCTCATAAAACTGAAGAAGAAATCTTCAGACTGAATTCTTCCACTCAAACTGATAACTCTGCCACAGTATTCATGGAATTCTGCAAGTTAAACTCTTCTACTCAAACTGAAAATTTTATCACACCAGTCGCTGAAATTTTCAAATTAAATTGTTCCACTCAAACTGATATTTCTGCCACCTCTTCTGTAGGTAAAATATCTTTGAATGAAATAATAAGTCCAAATAATCAGATATCAGACTGTATGACTGATGCCTCAACTCAATGGGAACTGGGCACCAGTTTTTCTGAGTCTTTAGAGAACTCATGTGGCAGTCAAACCAGGGATGGAATGTCACAAAATTGTGGTGACAAACGTATTTGTGTTGTTGCACCTCTGCAAGATTTCACTTATCACATGGTACCACCAGAGTGTAATATGAATGACGTTGGCACACAGACAGACTCTCTCTCTGGCATTGTGGTTCAAGATGCTTTAATTGTTAACTGTAAGTCACCAGATAGTTTAGAAATGGAACGAAAAATTACCTTCTTATTGAATTCTTTAAATGTGATTGCCGAGTCTTTGGGCCATGAGAATCTTTCAGAACCTCAAAGCTTGGAAGCAAACTGCCTTCTCTCACAGATGGAGTCCACAATTCCCAGCCTGGAGTCCCTCTTTTCCCCCTCTATCTCCACTGAGACTTCAATTACAGACTGTATGAACACTGCTGACTCCAGTGCTACAGCTACCTATTTCATACTGGGGAACAATGAAAGTGATGCTGAAAGCAATTTTACTACACGAGATGCTGAGTTCTGGGGACCTCCGGCGATATCGGATATCAATGTAGATGATATCCTGGAAGAAAATTTACCTGACGAAATAGCCAGTCCTCCATTGTCGATGGACGAGTTTGCAAATCATCCAAGTCACCCCACAGCAACAGACAGCACTTCTCAGACTGGTGATGGGACACGTGTAGATAGCAGCAAGCTCCTGGCAACACAACAACACACTGGCCAAAGCCTTACAGATGCGTGGGCGCTCTCTCAGTGCCAAACCAGCCTGTCCCTCCCCATCTACTCCCTTGCATCCTGGTGGAGAATGCCGCTGTCTCTTGGGTGGGCTTTTCCTCCTGGTTTACTCTTTTCATGCAGTTCCCCAATGGCTGCCCTTCTCACTCCTCTAGGTAACACGCCACCCATTCATTTTTGGTTGGGTCAAGTGAATCTTGTGATTTTTAGTGACTCGGATTTTTAGTTGTACGTTAGGAATGTTTTCATATTTTTTCTTAAATAAAAAAATCTTTCCTGAATATTTTGTTTTGATTTTTGTGCTTTGTCTGGAGTTGCCTAAATCACAGGATTCACCAGATTGGAATGCTGTGTTTTAATGGCATGAGTAGATCAGATCCAATGGACCAGACAGTCCACTTGGAATGGCAGACAGTTTGATGTGGTTTTAGTGACATCAGGGCCTTATTTGTCCACATCCTTACCTCGTCCCCATGTTCTTTGTTTTTTAAGTAGAAATTATTCCCATGTGAATTTTGATTATGTTGAAAAATAGTTTTCTACCGATTGACTGTGTCTAACTTTGCCACCATACCTCTGCAACTTGATGTATACCTGCATCATAAGTTTTACATGTAAAAACGAATGAGAGAGTTGCTCGTTTTTCTTCTGGATGGAACATAAATTACTCTTTGATTATATCACCTGTATGCTCATTTATTTTTCCCCTTAGCTTCTGATCTTTAGTCAAAAAGTAATTCATTCAGGTAGCATCCAATATCCTCTAATTTTCTGTAGTTCATGCTTTAATTGTTGTGTTTGCAGGCGCAAATTCTGAGAAAGAAGGTCTCACGAGTTGAAGATGATAACGAGTCTCTCGTGTTGCAACTCAAGAAAATGGCTACCAAGGCTCGAAGTACGTTTCTTCAAAAGCAATAACTGCATCAAAAATTATACATTGTGTTGTAAATGGGACATTGTATGGTATTGAGTTAAGCAGAGATTTTGCTTTTCTTCCAAACCTTGATTTATTCATAGCATTTCTCACTAATCAATTGCTGCAAAGCTTACTACACTAAAGTTTGATGCTCTTGAAGATTGATCCTGTTAAAAATCTTCTGGCTTTACATTCCTCTTATTTTTCCATCTTGATAATATTTCCAGGTAAAGATAAATGTTAATGCTTATTGTTTTGTTCCAAGCCCTAAACTTTAAGCTGTACTTTGAGGTAAATCATTCATGCACAATGTCAACCTTGTGTTTTCTTCCCAACTGTTGAAAAGCTCTTAAAACAATGCCAGATTGGACGGGTGTGAATTTTTCAACACATATAGAACAACAGTACAGTTTTTGTATTTTCAAAAATGAGTATATTTATGAAGATTAGTTTTACTAGTCTTGTACGGTAGCTTGTTACATTTGTGCTTCATGTGCTTGCACTGCCTGGCCCAAGCATATGCATTGCCTCTTTCGAGAAGTGGGTTGATCGCAATGGAATGCAGCCCTATACTGTACTTGTTTTTGCCAAGATTTGCCCTGTGGCCTCATTTGCTATATGCTTGCTGTCCCATTTGTTCCTGATAGTAGAGGGTATTTTTTAGACATAGGTAGGTGCAAACCTATATATATTGCAGCCAAAAAAGTGTTTTTCTCACTATATATGACAGAGTTGGTAACCATTTTCTTGATTGCACTTAAGACATTCCTTAAAAAAAAATTGCACACATTATTCTTTTATAAAATATTTAGCATGGTCCATTTGTATTCTTTCTCTAATTTTGTGTCACTATTTTTGTGGTATGCCTTTACTCTTTCTTTCTGTTAGTGTTTGTGGCAAAGATCGTAACCATTAGATTGTATGACTTCACTCCACTTAGCTCCAAATTGCTCTTCTGTTACCTTGAACTGAAATGCTCACTGCATGCATGATGCAATTTTCCCTTGCCTTCTCACTATTTTCATTTGTAAGAAGTAATGCACTTATGAGTGTCCCCCCTCAACACAAATGTATAGTAATGGTTTGCTCTCTGAAGTATGTTTTAATTACAAGAGCAAACATGTTTGTGCTTTCTAAAATTTTATTTAATTTCTCCTACTACTCTTGCCTACTACTCTCATTGTTGTGTTGCATGTCTTGTACGTTTATGTGTGTGTGTGTGTGTGACAGCTCGGCGTCACAGTCCCACCCCCAATCGCCTTACTCCTGAGCCACCTGTCGAGAAGGATGAAGGCATCTCTGATGAGGAAGATCCTGCAGAGCTACGATTGCTTTTGGAACTGAATGAGCAGGTTTGTGTGCAGCAGAGTTTTGTTAAGGGTTTGTTTACTTTGGAGTCATTGTTTTTCTGTCCTAATCATAGGAAGCTGCTGTACTCAGAAGGAAAGTTGAGGACCTTGAGTCAGAAGGAGACAAACTTAAAAGGAAAGTGAAGGAACTTCAGGATAAGCTTACTGCAAAAAATAACCGTAAAGGCTCCATTTCATCCCTTGCTACATTAAATGAAAATTCATCAAGCACAGGATCCAATGCTATTCATGATAAGAAAATCAAGGTATAAGCTCAGTAGTTGCGTTCAGATGGTGATGACTATAGAGGCCTACAAAAGTGGGACTCTTGTAATAACCATGAGATTCAACAAATTTCTGATTTTTGCTTATTTTACTGATGGCTTTTCCATTCTTGGTCAGGTTTTGGAAGAGGAAACCACTGAACTGAGAAAGAAATTAATAGAGAAGGAACGAGAGTCAGAAAGGCTCAATGCTGAATTGTCTGTTTCTCAGAAGAAAGGAAAGGGAACACTTGCTAAGACAAAGTGGGTTACCATGCTGTAACTTTTTTTTATGGTCAAAAATTTCAAACTTTTAAAATAATTTATTAAAATTGGATATTTTAGGTCTTTAGATGGCCCTTCAGAACAGCAGGCTCTGGATTTAAGGCGACAATTGCAAGTAATAGAAAATGAAGCACTGGTGTTGCGGCAACGCACTCAAACCCTTGAGGCAGAGAATGAAAAATTAAATTCAGAAAACAAAAGGCTCCAACTAACACGCAATGCCAAAAATGCTCGAGATAGTAGTACAAGTGCCGCAGAGCTGCGAGCTTTAAAAGACAAGGTCAATTCACTTGAGTCAGAGCTGTCAGCTGCCAATCAGAAGGTAGAAGTTTTTTTATGTTTTTGTTTTATGTTTTCTCTGTTTACTAATCTGCACTGATCACTATTTATAAATTTTGTGATTGTAACAGGTGCGAGATCTTGAGGGAGAACTCATTAAACAAGGAAGCAAAAAGGCAGGCCTGAAAAATGAAGAGCTTGACAAAATGAAAATACAAATTACTAAGGTGAGACGTCAAACTTGTGTTGTTGTTGTCTTTTTGTGTTTGCACTTTTTTTGCTTCAATTTAGAATTATTTCAGATTACCAAAGAAAATGAGAAACTAAGTGAAACCCTCAGGAAGTTGAAGGATGATGCAGCAAACAATATATCAGAATTTTACAAACCAAGAGCCCCTAAAAAGCCAACTGAGGCCACTACTAAGCTACAGATGAAACGAATGGTGGAAGAATTGGAAAGTGAAATAGGTAGGTCAGAAAAGTAGTTTCATCAAGCAAAACAAAAATGTATAAATAATCTAATTTCCATGTTTGTTTTTGTAATTAAAATCTGTTTTTCTTTTAGGTGAAATGATTGTTGCCTTACGAATCTCTGAGGAGAGTAAAGCAAAACTTAAAGGGGCTGATGCTCTTGATGAACTCAGAGATACTAAACTGAAGGTTGATAAAGAATTAGTTGAAATCAGGACTAAACTTAGTGACAAGGAAAAAGAACTCCAAGAAAGCAGAGTTGCAGCAGCAGAGGGTGAGTAATCATAGTCTTTTACATCAGGGGTAAAATTAAACTTTTTTTTGTAAACCATTGACCCAATTTCAGCTCAAAAGAAGCTAGATGAAGAAATGGCTCGTGCTTCCAAAGACCTTAAGAAGATGGTTGAGGAAAAATCCAAGCTAGAGAAAGAAAAGGAAAAGATTAAGGAGGAGAACAACAAACTAAAGAAAGAGAAAAAGGATATTGATGACCAAATTGCGAAATTGCTGACTGAAAAGAGTAAGTACAGTAATAAAATGATGTAGTTTTATGCTTTCTGATGATTAATTTTTTGTCCTGTTCATTATTTTGTTTTTGTTTCTAGAAGCAGCCAGCAGCACTGCTCAAGGGGAAATGTCAGCCCTTGCTCAAAGATTAGAAGCAATCACTCGTCAATTTGAAGAAGAAAAGAAACAGTCCGCTCTATTAAAGAAACAACTGGATGTGGCGCAAAGAGCTGAACAAGAAAAGAACAAATTGCTCAAAGAGGTAAACATTTTTAAACGCACTTCCTCACCTGGCCAAGCTTGTTCTCACTTTAACTGCATTGTAATTTTTTTACAGTTGGCTGAAAAGACAAAACGCCTATCTGAAATCGAGCTTAAACTGAATGAATCAGAAGAGAAACTTAAAAAGACTGAGGGGCTTTTAAGTACGAGAAAGGACAAAATAACTAAGCTTGAAAAAGAGGTATGTATATTGATACTTAAAATAGAGAGAGAATAGAAAGTTCTGTGGGGGATTAGATCTTGTGATATCTTTAATTACGTTTTGCATAGCTACGTTTCTTGTTTACTTGCGTAATTTTTTATGTCGTAAATATGTGGCATGACACAATAACCAACTTATATGTGGAAAGATGTTGATAGATTTTCATTTTCTTAACCTTCTTGATGTTCTGGCTTTGAATGAGTTCAAACTGTACATGATTTTAAAAACAATGAATGTTGTGACATGTATATATCTTACAAATCAGCGAATTTTATTGTCATGTATAAGCTGGAAACTGAGCGCAAAGGAGCTACGGATTCTGCGAGCAAGTTAAAGGCTGATGGAGAGGAATTGAAAGACGTGCGGACGAAGCTGCATTCTGTTGAGAGAACCCTTGATGATACCAAAAAGCAACTTGCTGCGAAGACTGTTCAAATGGAACAACTGGTGAGCTCGCTGATGAAGTGTGCGAGCATCACTCTCATTTTAATCTTCGATCATACTTTCCCAGCTGCTTATTTCTTGTTAAATATGCATGTACTTTTCAAAGCTTTAAGCTTCTCATAATCACCATTTTCAGCACCCCCATATGTTTGCTTGTTGGATTAATTTTCCCTGGTAGATGAAACAATTAAAAGGGAATACAGAAAAGTTGATTTCAACTGCTGTTTTTTGTGATCAAGTTTTTATAGGAGTTAGTGGCCGAATATCCTCCAGGTTCCTAATTGGACCTCTACTATGCTCTTACTAGAAAAGATATTTTTCTTGCTCCCAGTTTGCTCAAAATATTTGGAGAATTTAGTTATCTCACAATATTTAAATTTCTCCTTTGGAATTTGTCTAACACATTTTTTCTGTAATAGGAGGCTAATTTAAAAGAAGAGAGAGAGCGGGCTACTGATGCTACAGTGAAAGCAGGTTCTGCAGCTGCAAGAGAAGTGAATGCACTGAGAGAAGAACTTGCTGAGGCAAAAAGCAATGCTCAGAGTTTGGGTGATCAACTGGACAAGGTCAGCCCAGTCCTTTCATTTGATATGAGATATGATTGGGAGTTTCTGGTTTGTTGATCATGTTCTCATCTATTTTATGTTTTCCTCTCAGGCTGAGAAGGCCAGGAGGAACACTGAGGAAAAACTCAAGCAGCTTGAAAGCCAACTTCTGAAGGAAAAAAGTGAACTTGAACGCAAAGTGTCTGACATGGAAATGGACTTACAGGTGAACCATAAAAATTGTTTTCCTATAAAATGGGGGTACATTTATTTGGAGTTAAGTTAATAATAAATTTGTTCTCTGAATAATTCAGGCTGAAAGGAAGAAAGCAGAGCGCACTCGACAAAACCATGAAAAGGAGGTCAAGAATAAGGACACTGAATTGAGCAACTTAAGAAGCAAAGTAAAATCCTTAGAAACAAATACATCTCCAGCCTCTGTTACTGAGAGTCTTCAACAGCAAATCTTAAGTATGATTAATTTTTATATCATATTAATTCTTTGGTAGATCACAGGTTTTGATATAGAATGTTACAATTTGTCCAATTTTCAGCACTCCAGGAAGAGTTAGGATCAGAGAGGCAGGAGTATGAGGATTTGACTGCCAAGTATGAAATTTTGGAAGAAGAGCATGTTGTGACTAAATCACAGTTAGTGACAGAGAAACAATCTCTCGAGAGGTAGGATGCATGGAGATGCACTAAATTACTTCATATTGTTGGGTTGTTATTGACAATTTTCTATATCATCGAGCAGACAGCTTGCTGCAGTTGGAACTGACTTAGGAGCTGTTCAGTCCCAGTTACGCACTTTGCAAGATACTTATACAGCAAAGCAAGATGCTTGGATCAAGGAAAAGTTAGACATGCAGGTACACTTTCATTTCAATTACTTCATGATGTGAGGTACCCATGCTTATGAAAGCTTTCTCATGAATTTTCAAAAAAAATCTAGGAGCAAATGAAGGAAACGATGGAGAAGGCAAAGCGAAGCAATGGAAATGGAGACACATGGCAACTGGAGCGACAAAAGCTCATGGCAATCTGTGATGAAAAGAGTTCTGAGCTTGATCAGCTCAAACGAGAGGACCAGGTTCTCCGAGAGCAAGTAGATCTCATCAGAAGAGAGGTATTTTGCTCTTCTCTGTTTTTTAAAATTAAACTACAATTTACTTCTAACAATATCCAATTTTTCTTAACTTTATATCTTTTAAAATTATTTTTTAAATTTTAAGTCTGAAGATATACGTCGAAAACTGGATGACTATGAAAAGGTGGCTGAAGTTCAACGGCGAATGACTGCAGACTTTAATGAAAAAGAAAATCAATTGAAGGAACTTAAGAATAAGTAAGTCAAATGTATTTGGAGGCAAAACATTGTTTATTTTAATCTTATTTGGTGCTAAAATGTGATGTTTGCTTTCAGGTTACTTCAAGAAGAAAAGGCCCGTAAGACTGAAGTAGGACAATTGAAAATGCGTTATGACAGTCGGGTATCTCTTATAACGGAAGAATTAAATTCCCTTCAATCTCAAGTAAATTTCAAGATTTCATTTTCTTTACCAAAACAAGTGTCTTTTCTATCCAATTAGTTCTTTTGCATCTTACTATTTTTTTTTTTTTTTTTTTTTTTGCGTCTCCAAATAGGTGACCAGATTCAAGCGTGAACGTGATACTTTCCGCCATATGCTTGATGGTGCTCAAAAGACTATTTCAGAATTGAGATCAAACCCTGGAGCAAATAAGCGTTTATCATCTATCAGCTCTAGTGAAGAGGTAACTACTTGGTTTTTTAAATATCTCAATCCTGAGAATTTGTCTTCATATTTATAATTTTCTGATACAGTCAGAGGAAACACGATCCAAGATAGCTGCATTAGAACAACAGGTCGGCTGTCTCGAAGATGAACTTTCAGAGTCACGTCTTGTGGCTTCCAAGCTTAAAACAGAGTTAGTCTCTGAAAGGAGTGCATGGGAAGTGAAACGGTCTGAAATGCAGTCCAAAGTCAATGAGGTACTGTTACTATCCCACAATTTATATATTGAATTACTTAAACTGCATTGTATGTCAAACTAATTTTGAACTTTTGAACTGACCTTTCAGCTTGAAGAGGACAGGCTTCTTGCAAGTGGACGTACAAAAATACCTGGAATGAAAACGAGAATGGAACTTGCATGGCACAAGGAACGAGAAGAACAAACTAGACTCCTCCAGGAAACATCAACTCTAGCTCGTGATTTGCGACAAACTCTTTTTGAGGCAAGTGAAAATGCATTTACTCTCTATGAAACCAATTTTAAAATTTGTTACTCTAGTTCTTAGATTTCCTGACTGTATTGTAGGTAGAAAGAGAGAGAGATAAGGAGCGTCTTGAAGCAAAACGAAGAATGGATCAAATTAAGAAAACCACTGAAGAAGAGCAAGAAGAAAATCGTAAGAAAGTCATGGAGGTAAGTAAGGTGACCCATGTTGGTATATTTTAAATACATCTGTACCTTAGTAATTATGTTTTTAAATCCTTAGTTGCAATGTGATTTATTGGAACTGCGAGACGCTCATGCCAAATTACGAACAACTAACGAAAAATTGCGTCGAGAGAAAGAGAGATGGGATCGAGAAAGAGATGACCTGAGACAACTTGCCTCAGCAAGACGTAGAGCTGACAATGATGAGGGTAGAAGAATAGAACTTCTTTTAGACCAGGTTTGTTGAGTTCTCTGAATAAATCTGAAAATTTTCTATGTTTTGTTCTGAAAGTTTACTCTTCCTTATAATATTAGGTTGAGGAACTTATGAGGTTGTCTCCCGATATGGTCTCCAATAGAAGAGGTTCCTCTCAAGTTATTGGTACACCAACTCCACCAGTTCGACTCAAGGTGCCATTCAAAAAATAATTTAAGACATTGTGTGAGCACTTTTTAAGTTTTCCCATAAGAGCTGACTTTTTTCATTTATTTTTCAGGGTCCAAAGTCAAGGGAATCTTCACCTCTGGCAGAACGAAAAGACTACAGTAGAGGTAGTGTACCTTTTCTTAGTTGTGAGCATATCGAATAGGATGTTATTATTCCTCATGTTATTTCTCTCCACCTAGAACAATCACAATCACGAGACGAATCAAAGACGAATATGCAATCTACTCTTCAAAGATTGATTGAGGTTACGGAAGAATTAAGAAGATATCAGAGAGCTGACAGCCAAGACAGGGAAAGAGAGAGAGCCAGACGAGTCCTTGGTCTTCGAAGGTACGTCAAATCATATTTTGACCATGTGAAATTTTTAAATCAGTCCATTAACTCAGTACTTTATTATGTCAAACAGAGCTGCGTCCACTGAGTCTGACACTGCAGCTGAAGTACCAGCTGACTCTCGAAGCAAGCCTAGTGTTGGCAGAGGGGGTGTTGGACTGCAAAGGAAGGGTAGTTTGATGCGCAAGACTCTTTCATTGGAGCAAACCAGTAATGCTCAGGAACAGGTACTTATTTGCCGGGTAATGATCTCAAAAATAAATATTTTGTGGGTTTTTAATTAAGGTTTTTTTTCTTCACCTAGAACTTTTGGAAGGGTGAAGATGAAGATGGGAGCATCAACAGCTTACAGAGCATTGATGATGACCCAAGATTAGCAATTAATAGACGAGATAACAGCATGGACAGGTACCAAGGAACCCAAACTGCCACTTAGTTGATCACGATTTGGAGTGTTTATAACAATATATTCATTTTGATTTCAGTCGTTTGTCAGGGGGTTCCACTCAGAGTGAAGTCCTTCAATCAGGTGATAAAAAAAAGAAGAAGGGACTTCTAGGGAAACTGACTAAACGACTTACAAAATCAAGAAGTGTGGATGAAAATGACCCTCGAGACCTTTCTTTAGAATCTTTGCATAATAAGGTGATACTTTCAAAGCCTACTTTTAACTTTCACTGTCTTTAAAAACATTATTTCATCATTGTAAAGTTTGTTTATATTGTCCTGCATTCCCTCTTCCCTTAGAATGGCTCGGATGCCAGTTTGAACGCCTCAGAAGATCCGAAGGGAAGTAAAAGGGATCTCAAAGAGCGGCTGTCAGGAATGTTCAAAAAGGGGTCGTCTTCCAGAAGCAACAGGTACGTAGATTTTAAAGGAATTAGGCTGTTATTCCCATTTCAAACCAACTGAATTTTAATCCTTCACACAATCCAATTCAAAGACCCTTTTCCACAATTTGTTCCACATGAAAGATCCCCTTCTTTTAAAATCATTTATTACTTTATTCCTATCCAGTGTTGAGGAAAGGCAGCCCTCAGGCTTGCCTCCTCCTCACAATAATTCCAGGTCATCAACGTAAGTTCAAATTATAAATATATATATATATATTATGTGTAGAACCTTTGTATTGATTTGGTCTCTGTGGTATGTTTGTGCTCTGTCATTCCCTTCCTTTTCAAAGACTCTCTTTCTCTATCAGAAATATATTTTTAACACATAAAAAAGTATGTATTTTTTTTTTGTTGTGTTTTTTCTTTTTTTTTCAACATCTTTGATGCTTGTGCGAAATTAAATGCACCCTGATGTCTCAGAAACAGTAGATGCTGTCTGTTACATCAATATTTTTGTTTTTCTTTTTGGATGCGCTTTTTGCAATTTCATCTTAAATCATCTGTGCCAAAATACATGGCATGATTTTCATGTTTCTATTTGGACTGTAGCATTTTTATGTGTCTCTGAGATCATACCGTATTGATGTGTTAGATTTTGGGCTGGTAGCAATTGTGTAGAAGAAATTGTAAGGATTGTGGTCCCTAGAATGTTGGTTTTTGACTCAGCAGAATCAAACTAGCCAGCAACCATTGAAACACTGTGTGCGACTGCCTGCTTGCCTGCTGATTTGATTTGATACAAGAGACAGATTGTTTCTGTAGTTTGGTTGAAGTTGAAGCCGTGCTGACTGGGTGCTGGCAGAATAATTAACAAACTACAAACTATTACAAATTTATTTTTGTGTATTTAAAAAAAATATTGTAAAAGTACAACCTTTTGATTTAATGTCACACAGCTTAGACTGGTAAACAACTACTAACTATAGTTAGTCCATTACAACACTTACTTTTTCACACAGTAATAACTAAGTTCAAAAAATATATTTATATACGACTGTTACATTTTCTTACTAGCCTTAAATCTTTAAGGTGCTTAAATAACTTCATTTTTGTTTGCTACTCTTTGTTTTTTCTTTTTGTTTTGTAGCTTGGAGAGAAATGCAAAACCTCCAACTTCTGACTCACACAAACGACCGTTAATAAGAGCCTCTCCCGTAAGTATTATAACTTATTTTGTTCATGAACAAATACAAATTTTTAAAATTATTTGGTTTTTGCAGGGAAGTGATGGTACAACATCCAGTGCTTCAAGACCTCTGGCAGCCAAGAAACCTGGTGATGTGTCAGCCTCTTCCACATCCTCAAAGAAGTCTAAGTGATAGTACGCTTTTCCCTAAATATGTATGTGTATTGCCACAATTGTGGAACTATGTGCATTGTCATAATATCATTTCCATTGCCTGTTCCCTCCCACCTACCACACCCATTTAAGTCCCAAATTTGTACATGTCTTGTTATCTCATTGTTTTATTTATTCACTGTTGTTTTTTTTTTCCTTTTTTAGACGATAAAGAAAAAAAGTCAAATTCTGTTGTTTCTTCCACGCCCTATCCAAGACATAATCCTTATTTGCATAGTTTGTAATTTTGGTATATTTGCTATCACAATCTGCGAACAATTAAAATGCACAAAAAAATGGACGAGTTGACATGGATCTTCTAGAAGGAGAATCACGCTTTCGGTGCCTCCTGCAACAAAAAAAGGAAAGGGCTGAGTTACATTCGACAGCGAGACAGAACCCAGGCTTTGGTCAAGGTCTGTACGGTCAGTTCAGCTCTATTTTTTTTTATTTTTTTTTTGCAAGTTTGCGTCTATGCATGGTTTTGTACGCCGCCTGCGAGTCTCAGGATAGGCCATCCCGCTCGGCACGCAGGTCGCGCGGTTGCCTACCAGCACGGCTGCCAGACGCGTCGCTCCGTCGCTACGGGACGCTCCGCGAGTGCGAGGGAGACGGTGCGAGGAATCACGAGCCGCCCGTGCCTGCCCCACTTTTTGTTTCTGCATAGTGCCTGAGGGAAATTGCGAGCACGAGGAGGGAGGAGACAAGGACTGGGAGAGGTGGCGTGGCGGGATTAGAGGAGAAGAGGCTGAGCGGCGAGGCGCTCCGCCCAGGGCCACCGCCAGCCAGCCAGCCAGCCAGCCAGGGGCACAAGCCAAACTGATTGCTAATTACAAGACACCGCAACCAGCAACGAGTGCTGCAAGGCTGCAGGGCAGGGCCACGGCGAGAAAAAGAATTTGAAGGCAGTGAGTGAGAGCCTCGTGGCTGCCGGGCCGCCGTTTGCCCCAATACTCCCGTCAAAATTTGAAACCCCTTTCCATTTTGTCAGCCCAAACAGCTTGGAGGGACTCTCTCGCGCCCCCGTGGCACGCTGGCCAATGGTACGACGCGAAGTAACCAGCCAGCGGGAGGCATGGGCGCGTCAAAGGCAGAGCGTTACGTAATTCGCGGACACGCGCCCCGAGAGCCAATTAGCACGGGGGCTGATGTACGGGACGGTGTCGCGCTGTCGCGCTGTCGGCCTGATGAGGGTGTGGTCAGTTTCCAGTTCCGACTTGGACCTGCCGGCATTTCTCAAAAAACTTTTTGCGGCGGTCCGCGCTGGTGACGCTTGTTGGTTCTCTGTTCTTTTGCGGTCGGCGCGTGTTTTGGACGTGAAACAATAAGGAACAAACCTCCGGACGAAATCACGCATCACGCCAGTGTCCATACTGTCAGCTCGTTCCTTGGGGCAGCCGTAAAAAAAATAACAATTTTCCTCCTCCGCAAAGAGGCGCACCCCTTCGCGGGTTAGGGGTGGGGTTGGGGGGGGGGGTCGACGCACCGCATTTTGCCGTCTTACAGGCGATTTTGTAGCGGCTCCCTCGGCCTGCTTGCCGCTGCTTGCCGTCGTCTGTTTTTTATGGTGGTTCAACGGCCGGCGCGCGTCACTGCGGGGCGCTGCGGGGCGCTTCCTACTCCAGATGTGTCATTGGGTCGGCCGGGCGAGCGCCAGCACCGCTAGCATCGTGTCCTCTGCCATTTGCCTCTGGTAACGGGCGGCGGGGTGTTGACGAGCGGCACACAGCGTGGTGGCGGGGCGGGGCGGGCCGTTATGGCGGCCGGCCACCGCGACTCACTTCATGGACAAGACGCAGGGCGAACGACCCAGCAGGGCCAGCTCGGCACGGCCAGGCTAGTGGGTCAAGTCCAGCGGCAGACACTGGCCCTCGTCCTCGTCCTCCCCGGCGAGGGCAGGGCATCACAAGTACAGTGCGCACGACTGTAGGGCCGGAAGAAGGGTCCACCAGTCGCTTGCAGCTCGCAGCGGGTACCGCCTCGGGTACCGCCTCGGGTACCACCTCGGGCACCGCGCGGTGGCGCAGCGAGCCGGGAGGCGGGGAGGGGAAGCGCAGCCTGGAAAGCAGCGCGTCGTCTTTCACCGTTACTTTCCAGCCCCGCCCGCCCCGCCCCGCCCCGCCCCGGGCCGCGGGCGTAAAGCACCCTTAACGGCAGCGCTGCCGCCGAAGGCACCGCGCACCACCACACTTTAACCGTTTAAGCTCCAAGACCTGCGCGAGGGAGGTGAAGGAAGGGGGAGGGGGCTTAACGCGTCCGCCACACACACACACACACACACACAAGGGGCCGAGGCGAGGCGAAGCGCAGGGGTAGATCGGTCGCGCCGTCCCAGCCAGAAGCGCCAGAAGAGCGAGCGGACTTTGACGACGGAAAAAAGTCAGGGAAATAGGACTCCGGAAGGAGCGGCGAGAGAGGGGGGGGGATTGGAGGGGGTTGGTGAGTGCTTTGTTTACCTAGCTCGGCGGGGTTGTGGTCCGAGGGGTGTCGCGCTGGCCGCGCCCAGTCCTGCAGGCTGCTTCCGAGCGGGGGACTTCTCTCTCTCTCTCTCTCTTGCACCCATGGGCCGGGCTGTAGGGGTGCGAGAGAGACAGGCCGACGGGACGTCCCACTCAGCCTGCAGTCCAGCAACACGTGCGGGGCGGGGCGGGGCGGGGCGGGGCGGGGCGGGGCGGGGTGAGGCCTGCGAGGGGCGATAATGCTGGCGGCATTGGCGGCCAGGCCGACGGCCAATCTATCACCCCGCAGTGAAATGCGAGCCGTCACACACCACACTATAGCTGATGGCAGCGAGCCCCCCCGCCCCACAAGCCTCTTATTATCAGTCGCAGATGAAATGCCGACTCTGATAAGGACCGCGTTGCTCTCGTGCTCGCGGTGAGTCAATCATTGGTCCCGTGTACACCGTGTGTACATCAGTTGGCGTACCCGTATTTCTCAGAAACACGGATAAAAATATTGTGTAAATATTCCTCTGGAAAGTCGTTGTCGCTTGAGTTTAAGTTCTTCCCTATCGCCTCAGCCGGCCGACATTTTAAAGTCGTCCGACGGGCCGCGAAGTACGCTCTAGCACGGGCTGTGTCATCGCTCGCCACAGCGTGCGTCCGAACGGCTTCTCTGCGCCGCACTCCACTCCAGCCCCGCGGTGCGCTCGGCCCCCTCTAGCGCCCGCCGGCCGCCGGGTAGGCAGTCCCGCCGCGCACGGCTGCGGCGCGAAGGAGCAGGCTGCCTGCTCTCCAGGGGCTCGCCGAAGACGAGTGGACTGCGCGCTGCTGGACGGCACGGCCAGCTTGAGGGAGGAGCAGGCGGAGTTTTACTGCGGGGAAACATCCGCGCAGAGAGCACGCCCACAAACGTCCATTCACAACGGCAACAACAAACACTCACTTACTGGTCAAGTATTTTGCTCCGAACATGCCACTCTCTTTTCGGTGTAGGACGACATGACACAGTTAGGTCGCCAGTTTGTCGCAGCCGTTCAGGCCGAGCCGGGCCGAGCAGTAAAGGGTGGTCGACCCCACCCCGAGCGCATGCGGGCAGTGCGGGCGTCACTGGGGCGGGGGAGGGGGGGGGGCAGTTTACCGGACGCGGCGGCGCGTGGCGGCGCGGCACTCACCCGCTAAGTCCAGGCAGCGCGTGAGACCGGCAGGCCGACAGGCCGTCACCAGTACGCCCTGCAGTTGCCCTTGTGGTCGGCGTCGGTGCCGTCGGGGCAGGTGGGGCTGTTGGGCTTGGGCACGAAGCGGCGCGGCGCCTTGATGAGCACCGTGGTGGGGTCGCGGGGCTCCAGCCGGGTGCCGTCGGCGGCCGTGCGGCCGTGGCCGTGGCGCATGCCCGCCCCCGACTTGACCGTGATGCGGAGCTTGTCCCACGAGTGCACCACCGTCCTGCCGGAGGGGCCTCCGCCGGCGGTGTCGTTGGCGTCGACGCGCGGCGCGGCGGGCAGCCCTTCGACAGGGGGCGTGGCCGTGCACAGCAGCACCGCCCCGAACAGCAGCAGGAACAGGAGGCGCGCGGGGAGCGGCATTTCGACTTGGAGGCGCGCGTCGGTGCGGGGTCCGGCAGTCCGGCCGCGAGTACTACATCGTCACGTGGCGCGTCGATCGCCGCGCGTCGCCTAGGGGCAGCCAGGCGCAGCCAGGCGCCGAGAGGAGGGGGGACGCGGCCCGCGGGCAGGCCTGTTCCGTCGGGGACTCGGTGGTCACTGCTCACAGAATCCCAATTCAAGTGTCAACGCCAAGCCTTGCCCCTTTCCCGCCGCCTCCCACCGCAAACCGAGTGGACCACCTCCCTCACTCCCCCTTCCCTCCCTGTGCCCTGCCCTGTGTTGCGGGCTATTGCGCTGGAAAGCCAGCCAGCCAGCCGGCCGGCCGGCTGGTCATGTGTTCTTTCAAGTGCGCGGGGACTTGGATGTTCGGGGAAAAGGGGGGGGGTGTATACTACACAACCGGCTTCTTCCCGCAATCGCCAAGCCAAAGATAGCTTTCGTGGCGCAGGCCCCAGGGGTCATCGCCAAGGACTTTTTCGTTTTTTTTATATCGAAGTTTGTTTATTTGATTTCTCTGGCTTCTTGCAGGTTCGGCGTTCGGTAACTCGCCGCTGTGAGAACAGGACTCGCGCCACTCACATCGATTTGTACTGCCCCCTATTTTCCCTCACGAGGCACTCCCTCGCAGCGTCACACTCACAAATCACACACACACGCGCACGCACACACACACACACACACACACACAGACGTGCCCAACACACAGACAGAGGTACCATACACAAACTGGCTGTAGTGGGACACGCGACTGACCTGTCCTAGGCCTCCTCGTCGGCGTCCTGGTACACCTCCCTGCACCGGCCGTTCCTGTCGGCCTTCATGTTCGGGCCGCAGCGCTTCGGCGCGCCGATCAGTGTCCGCGAGTCCGGCTTCTGGGTGGTGGTGTCCGGGAGGTTGTCCGGGGTCGTGGGGGCCGCGGTGTCCGGCCCCGTGGGGGGCTTGTTGGCGGTCGGGTCCGCCGGGGCCGCGGCAGTGGTGGTTGTGGTGGAGGGGGCTTTGCTGTGATGGTGTGCCTGCGTCGCCTGCGAGCAGGGCAGCGCGTGGCGCTGTCAGTCTCGACGTCGCGCCATTTCATTAATTTTCTTTTTGTTAGTCTGTTTTGTTAGTGTTGTTAGGTCCATCATGCAGCAAGTCGGGGCCCATGCGAGTGTTTGTTTTTGCCCCGGGGGATGCAACATGCCGTCGGTGTTATGTATTGGGATTGGGACGCCCTGCCAGGCGAGCCGGACCGGCGGGATGCCGTTCAGGACGCGACTTAGCTTCCGCTTGCAGCGTCATAGCACTCATGCACCGCTGGGTGAGAACTGCCGTCTTACGACCCGTCGATTGCAGCAACACACACTCTCTCTCTCTCTCGCTCACTCACACCCACGCATGCGCCCACGTGCATCTTATCTCCATAGGTGATTTGCCACCGCTCTCGCGGCTCGGCGCTGAATTTCTCATCGTGCGCCGAAGCCTCATTATCGGCGCGACTTTCACCCGCAGCCAACGGGGCAGCCAAAGCGCAGCCAAAGCGCAGCCCGCCCCGTCATTCGCGTCTATCACGCGCCAGACGAACAAACGGACGGACAGACAGACAGACAGACTGGCCAGCAGTTGACCCTCAGCCAGGCCAGCTTGCCAGCTTCAAGACGCGTTTGGCGTAAACATTACGTCAGCGTGCGTGCACCGTGCTCCGTGCTTGGCGTTGCGGCGTTGCGCCAACTGCAGCCGGTACGCGGTACGCGGTAGGCCTCGCGGTACGCACCTTGGTCGTGGTCTCCACGCCGGAGCCGGTGGTGGCGGTGCCGATGACCCTGGCGATGCCGCCGCGGACGCGCTCGCGGAGGGCGCCGGCGTTCTTGCGGAAGTTGTCCTGCAGCGTCTTTACGCGCTCGGGGGCCTCCTTCACCAGCGTGTCCAGCGCCTGCCCGATGGGGCCGATGGGGCCGACGACACCGGACGGCGGCGCTGACGTCGTGGTGGCGGCGGCGTCCTCGGCCGGGGCCGCGGAGGCCGGCGCCACGGCCAGCAGGCAGGCCAGGATGGCGGCGACGACGGGCAGCGCGGAGGTCTTCATGGCGTCGGGCTGCGCGTCGCTGTGTGGCGGAGACGAGGGGAGTCTGCTTGCTGCTTCGCCTCGCCGCGGAATGGCAAAAGTAGTAGCGAACAAGTCGTGGATTGGTACCGGACCGAACCGAGCCCACCTACACCCCTGCCCCCGCCCCGCCCCGCCCCGCCACCGCGAGGTCGCCGCGCCCCGCCCCACCCTTCCGCGCGCCTTGCCGGCGCGGTTCCAGTCGCATCGCGTTGTGCTCATCCATATCCGTGCCGTATTGGCCGCCACGCCGCGCCACGTCACGCTGCGCCGCGCTACTCCACTCCGAGAGCGGCGGCACGGGCTGCGAATGACTGTCTAGGAATCGGAAATAGTAGGCACTTCGTGTGCGACTTGCTCATCCACCAGACTGATTCCGAGAGTCGTTTTCGTCGCTCCGTCTTTCACTCGTGGGGCGCCCCGTATAGGTGTGAGAGAGACAGCCGGAGCAGGAAGCCCCGAGCCAGTCCTTCTTAAGCTGATAAAACGCCCCGACGAGGATGATGGTCTCGGTGTTGCGGTTCAGATCTGCCAGAGAAGAAGAAGAAGAACAACAGGAGGCTGGCTGGCCAACAGTGTAGGCGAATGTCCCAGCGACGCGGCAGCCTACGGTCCCGCCTGCAGACAGATTCCGAGGGTCATTTTCGTCGCTCTGCCTCTCTCGCACCTATACGGGACAGAGCGACGAAAACGACTCTCGGAATCAGTCTGCTGGCGCTGACATGGTCCGGTCTGGGTCTGGGGAGGTCGACGCGAGCGATTTGTCTGGCGGGAACGCAGAGGCAGGAGTCGCGTTGCTCGCGCGTGACGAGACGGGACGCGAGGAGTCCGCGAGTGGGATTCGGGAAAACGGCGACCGTTTCGGCAATCACGACAAGCTGCGGGCCAAAGGTCCTCTCGGATATCGCGCTCCGCGGAACGCGAACGCGAACGCGCACGCGGCGATGCTCCCGCGAGTGGCGAGGTTCCCCGGCGGCCCGGCGAGCCAATCTCGAGCCCGAGGTGCAGCATGCGGCGGCTTGCCTCTGTTTCTAGGCGCCAAATCCATGGCAGTGCAGTGGCAGACTCCAGACACCTGTGGAGTGCGTCAGCGTTATGTTTCGCTCGGCGCGGGAATGAACTAGGCTCTCCGGTTATGCTTTCTTTGTATTGTTTTAATAAAAAATAATCACAATCGCGGCGAAGCGTTATCGTATAAAATGGTCATCAGTCTCTTTAACGTGGTGGTAGGTCTTGTGTCTTCCGCACGACACAGGCGTGGCAAAAACAACGGCACATCGCAGTCTCTTTTTTGTACGCGTTTAATGTGAACCCAGCGAGGAGTGTGCGTTCGCCTCTGGGAGGGCCTTGGCGGCCTACAGCAGGCGGGCCAGGGGCAGCGCCGCGGCGGAGAGCAGCGTCAGCAGGGCCACCTGGACGGAGACCGCGCCACTGTTGTCGCCGCTGTCGCTCCTGCCCTTGAAGGGCCCGATGGCGGCGGCGTACGCCGCGATGTTGGGGATCATGTTCTGCTCGTGCACGCCGGTGTACAGGTGCGCCCAGGGGCCGCGCGCGAAGATGCCCACGTCGTCGGCGCCGTGGGTCTCGCTGTTGAGGTACGCCGTGGCGGGGAACTCGTAGTCGTTCTTGTCTGGAGGGGGAGGACAGCGTTAGACAACGGAAACCAGGAAGGAACCAGCCCGCCACGTCAGACGTCAGTAGACTGACTCCGAGAGTCGTTTACGTCGTTCTGACTCTCTCGCACGCATGGGGCGTCCCCTGCAGGTGCGAGAGGGACTCTGGGAATCAGTCTGCTGGCACTGGCCGGGCCGGGCAGGGCAGGGCAGGGCAGGGCAGGGCAGGGGCCAAGGGACTCACTGCGGTCGTCCTTGCTGGGGTCGTGGCGCGTGCCGTCCTCCTCCGTGGGCTTGTAGCCCGGGCCGTTGGCGTAGCTCAGCGTGGTGTACACCTCCTTGGACGTCTCCTCCACGCCGCCGAAGTCGAAGATGTAGTTGCTGCGCTTGGCGTACCCGGCCATGCTCATGGTGTGCGCGTGGTCCGACGTGACCGCGATCAGGGTCTCCGAGGCGCTCGTCATGTCGACGGCCTTCTGAATGGCCTTGGAGAACTCGGCGGTCTCGTCGAGGGCACTGTGAAGCGAGGCGAAGCGAAGGGAGGTCAGGCGCAGTCATGAGATGGACTCGAGGTTCTCGAGGCGCCGGATGGGTTGCCGACCCGCAGGCCCGCAGGCGTACAGCAGTGTGGGTGCGGCCGTGCGGGGACTTACTAGTGCGCCATGGTGTCGTGGTGGCCGTGGTCGATGCGGCCGCCCTCCACGAACAGGACGTAGCCCTTCTCCTGCCTGCTCAGGACCTGGATGGCCTTCTCCACCATCTCGGCCAGGGTGGGCTGGGTCTCGTCCGCATCCAGGTGGTACTGGACGTGGCTCCACTCGAACAGGCCTGGTGGACACAGGAACGGCGAGGTTGCAGTGTACGGAAGCGGAAGCCTTCATGAAGGGGGCTGAAGCTCAATTCGTTTGTCCGCACCCAGCAGGTAGTCGGTCTTGGACGCGTCCACGGCCGCCAGCTCGGTCTTGGTGGCGACGTAGCTGCTCTGGGCGCCGCTCTTGCTGGCCTTCCACGCGTCCACCAGGTTCTTGCCGTCCTGCCGCTTCCCATTGGCGTGCTGCTCCTTGGGGATGAAGGCGCGGCGCCCGCCACCCATGATGACCTGCAGGAGGGCGACAGGGTGACAGTGAGGGGTGGGTGGGGTGTGGTGTTTGCGGAGGACGATGGCGGCCGATCTACCCTGCCGATTATGTTGGCCGAGGGGCGGAAAAAGGACAATGGAGAGTGTACAGTGTACACAACGCCACGGCGGCCACGGCCCAGAAACTCGCCTCACAACAAACTAACAAACTTTTTGAGCTCGCCATACAATGCAGGGCGGTATCTTTTTTCCAGTGGCTCACCCTGAAGTCCTTGCCGGGCGCGTCCTCCACCAGCTGGCGGGCGATGTCCTTGCAGCCCTCGCCGACGAGGTCCTTGTCGTCGGTCATGTCCTTGTCGTCCTCCCAGTCGCGGTTGGCGGTGTGCGCGTAGGTGCCGCCGGGCGAGGCGTGCGTGATGCGTGTCGTGGTCACCACGCCGGCCCACTTGCCCGCCTCCATTCCCCACGCCAGCACCGAGTCTACGTGGTTGGCGGAGTCCTTCTGCTCGGTACAGTTGTGCCTGCGGCCCAAAGTGGCATTTGGTACACCGGGTACACGTCGAGAGCACACTCGTCTCACACCGTGGTGCACATGTAAACTCGCTCGTGGTCCCGCCGATGCGTGGCGGGGTGGGGTGGGGCGGGGAGGAGGGGCGCGTCGTGGCGTAATGGGTTGGTCGTGACAGGTGACGCCGTGATGTACCGCGTCGGAATCCGAGAGGAGTGGGGGGAAAATAGATTCATCAGCTTCCCCGTGGCGGACCGGGCGGTGGCCACCCCATGGTGTACTGTCGCGTCGCTGGGGGGCACTCCGTTGAATAACGGACGGCAAAGGGAGACTCCTCTGTGTCGAAGGGAACCGCCACTGGTTTGTAACCACACAACCACCGGTTTGTGATCGCCACTGGTTTGCGACGCGCCACTGTCTGGGGCCCTTCACGCGGACAAGCAAGACAGACGGCACGCGCTGCGGCGCGCGGTTCGATGACTTAAAAGATTAAAGGCTACTCGACGTTGGCGGTCAGGTGAGTCGGCGTCCGGCTCGTGAACAACAATGACGCCGTGCACGCCGTGCGTGGAGTAGGAGAAGTGGGACTCGGAGCGCGGTGACCAGCACGCCACGGGAAGTCGGGGCCGGTTGAAAGTGAAACATCGCGCCGGGCTGGGTCCACCAGTACGACCAGCACTCCGCCACTTGTAGGGGCCGCCAAGCCGCCATGCCCGAGTCCGGGTCGCCGATCTCGGCGGTGGCGTCACGGAAGTCGCGATTTTGGTTCATCCTGCTCAGGGCGTCGCGTTTCACCCCCGGCCCCACGACCGCCCGCCAGTCCGCCCCTTGCCGAGGCTAGTCGGCGCTTTTAATTGGCAGCAGGAGCGCCGCTTGTCGTGCTTGTCGTGCTTGTCGGCCACGTCGCGATAAGGGAAGTGCCGAACAGGGCCCTCGTCGCTCCGACTATCTCTCTCGCACCGGTGTGGCGCCGCCCGATGAGTGCCAGAGAGACAGCGCGGACGGCCAGGTGCAGGAGTCCGGACCAGGATTATCGCAAATCCTTCGCCAACGGCGGGCGGCGCCTAAAACAGCGCGCGGCGCGGGGCTCGCGGAAGGCACGTGATTTGGCCGGACGGCACGGCGGGGCCACCTGCCGCCTGTCACGGCACTCGAACACCACGTTGTCTGACATTGTCTCGATGCCCACCTCCCACCAGAACCGCGAACCGGGGGTCTTGGCGTAGCGACTTGACACCGACGCCCTCCCGGCGAACTTGGAGGCAAACACGGCGATTAAGCGGTAGACGGCCGACGGCGACCTGCTTGAGGCGCTGCAGGACGTGCGGCAAGGGCGGCAAGGGCGGCAAGGGCGGCAAGGGCGGCAAGGGCGGCAAGGGCGGCAAGGGCGGCATCCACTCACCTCGGCACTTTGGCGCTCACGCCCATGGTGCCCATGTTGGCCTTGACGCCGCACAGGTAGGCCGTGGCGCTGCAGGCCGAGTCCGCCGTCTGGGTGTCCACGCAGTAGGTCTGCAACACGAGCGGCAAGCCCGGCAAGCAAGGGGCGTGTCAGGGAAGTCCCTCGTTATCGGTTTTTTTTTGCTCCGGCTGCCAATGCTAGGAAGCCCAAGGACCGATCTCGAGTGCCTTGTTTGCTTTCTTTTCGTGTTCGAGCGCACGGCGCGCGCGCACCTTGGACAGGCCGACCACGGGGAACTTCTCGAAGCTGAGCTGCTCGTTCTCGTTGCCGAGGTACATTCTGGTGGCGGCTAGCGTGGGCACGGACATGCCGTCGCCCATGAAGATGATGACGTTCTTGGCCACGCCCTTGATCTCGGCGCGCTTCAGCAGGTCGCCCTCGATCGCCTGCTTGGCCTTCTTCATCCAGAACGCGGAGTCTGCAGGGACAACAACGGATGATAAGGAATGAAGGCACTTGATTATTTCGAGGAACTGCGATTTGATGCGCTCGTGCTACGTGCCTTGCTCTTCCACTGGGCCTGGCGGCCTGGGGTTGGATCCGTGGTCGTCGGCAGAGTCCCGCAGCACGTCATGGTCATGAGGCGCCTCGGGGTGCATCCACTTCTCCCCTGCGAACAATCAGCAGTGTTCCCAGAGAGCTGCTACCAAACCACACGCAAAAAAAGAAAAAACACAAACAAACAAACTTACTTTGGTCAAAAAGTTCGGCAGCGGCCATCCTCCTCTGAGCGGCTAGCCTGTCGGCCTCCGCCGCTTTGGCACCTGCAACACGCACACGTTCGGCACCATGAGGTCCAAGGTGACAACGAAGACGACATCAACAAACATTGGCAGTGTACTGACGGCTGGTGAGCACGCTGGCGTGGCCCTGGGCCACGAGGGCCGCGAGGGCCACGAGGACGAGGGCGACGGCGCGACGCATGGCGAGGGTGAAGGCGTTGTCCTGGTGGCGGGCGCGCGGGAGCGGACTTTTAAAATGTAGCCGCAACGCCCCGCCACGCCCCGCAACGCCGCGCCACGCCACGCCGCGCCACGCCACGCCACGCCGCGGTCGATAAGGACCAGCTTATTGGGCGGTATCGCGGCGAGTACCTAGCCAATCAAGGGGAATTAGCAAGCTTCGAACGCAGCGCCGCGGGCCGCGGGACCGCGGATCTTGGACTGCCGCGCCACCCGAGCCGCTCCCTGTGCCCCGTCGTCGTCCTCGGCGTACTTGTCGCTGTCCTGGACGGCGGCGCTGATTGCACGTCATGGAGGCAAAGCGCGACCCGGGAGCGGCGCCTCGGCCGACGGCGTCCTCCGGCGGGGACCGGAAGCTTCCCGTTCGATCGGACCCGATCATGCGATCGCACGCAAAAAAATGCTGGTGCGTCAGAGCGGACTCTCCGTCGCAAATAGAACGTTATAACCCACTCGACTCAAACGTGTCTTAAACTAATAATATTCCTATCTGCGGTGACAGATAACACGTCGGCAGATAATCGCATTTGCGGTAGCGCGGAATAACGGTCGGAGCTTTATCCTCGCCAGCGAGCAAATTGCGCGCAAGCCCCGCCCGGTGTGCAGTGCCGTGCAGCAGCCGAACAGGGAGCACGAGCGCAGGCAGGCCTACCGGTGCCGCGGCAGACATTGTGGTGGTCCGTCGTTATAACGAGTTGCTGCTGAACCCGACTTGTCTGCCAAGGACGCGCTGCTGAGCTTCAAATTGAAACGGTCACATCAAAATTGTGATCCGGTGTTCTGTGCGTGGAGGGCACAATGTACACGGGGAACAGCCAGAGACGCGCGCAGTGATAATTTGGAAATGGTCCTGCAAGGCGGCCCGCCGCGCCGCGCCCCAACTGCCGGCGTCGGCGTCCTCCTTATGGTGGGCGCCCGGGGCGACGTGGCTCCACACCATAATCATAATGTAGCCCCGCCACAGCATAACAGGGAGCAGGGCGTGCTTGCTGGCTGGTGCTGGCTGGTGCTGGCTGGTGCTGGCGTGCAACCTGTTGAGGGGCTTCTCCTACTTCCTGCCTGCCTGCCCTGCCCTGCCCTGCCCCCATGGGGCTGCTTGTCTGGGGCGTCGGGGGCGAGAGGGCGCGGAATGATTTTAGAAAAGTCTACCTCGAGAGGGGCTTCGCTCGGTGCCTGCCCACGAAGGGGGTGGGATGCGAACAACCGACACAATAACTCATATCCGGACCAACAGCGCCTCGAGTCGAAACGCACCGTGCGGCAGGGTAGCGGCGTGGCGGCGTACCCCACAGGGTACTCGATGTGTTCCAGAGCGCGCGCTCCAATTGGCTCGCACGGATAGAGTGAGGAGAGGAGAGAGAGGGGGGAGGGGGAGGTGAGGAGTCCAGGGTGGCAGCAAGACTGCGTGGGGCGGCGGGGCGGGGCGGGGCGCGTCGGCGCGGGGCCGTGGGGGGCCCGCTGGGGGTTGATCCAGTCATACTTCGGACGTCGAGCGGAACAGCGGAGTAGAGGAAGCGCCGCACAAGCCGTTTAAACCGGCCGGGCCCCGCTGAGCCGGACACGCGGACTCGCGGACTCGAGAGCGTCCCGGGTGTGTCACGGCCGAGACGAGGACGCCGTCGTCCGTCCGTCCGTCCGCCCGTCTGCGAGGAGGAAGACTGCGTCGGTAATGCCGCGAGTGGCCGCGAGTGCCTACCTCACGGCATGGACGGTCATGAACAAGCACACCAACGTGAACCGAACCAAAAGATTTGGCGGCAAAATCTTCTTTGTTGTTCCGGTCGTTGCCGTTGTTGTCATAACTCCTGCTTGTTCATAACCGCCCGTGGCCGCGTGCGAGGGTAGATGTGGTGCGTGTTTGTGCGTGTGCATGTGTCCGGGTGTGTGCAGCGTCGCCGATCTAGTTTCAGGGCGTTGAGCCTCCGCGCTGCTCCGCGCTCCGCGCTCCGCACCCCCGGGACTGTGCGGACTGCGGGGGCTCTCGGCGCACTCAGGCGGACGACCCCATCGAGTGCACCTCGGCGAGCGGATCGGCGCAGTGCGGGTCGTCTGGAGCGCCCGGACTCCCCCAGCAGGTGAGCAGACCAACATCGCTGTCGGGCCTCACGCTGCGACGCATTCAAAACACGGCGTTGCTCTCCGCCAATGGGAGTGCGACTGTCGGCTAGTGCAATCGGCGCGCGCAGACATTGATTACCAGCGTGCACGCCACAGCGGATCCAATTACTGCAGTGCCGGGCCCTGGAGTTCTGGAGTCCCTGTGCCCGCGCCGCGCCAGGCCCTTGACAGCATTAAGCACTGCTCAATTTAGGGGCTTCCAGCCAATTAAGTGCCTCGCCGCGCTGCCGTGCCCGCCGTGCCCGCCGTGCCCCATGCCGCTCGACTGATCTCTGCACTGCCCCTCGAAATAAGCGCATCCGGCTCGCTCGCTGCTCGTTCGCGGGTTCACTTGGCTGTGTAACGCGCCGCGGGGGCGTGGGAGTGGTGGAGGAGGAGGAGGAGGGGAGGGGAGGGGTGTCTGCTGTGTGGACCCACCCCGGGGAGGATGGGGCAGGGCAGGTGGGCTGGGGTGTGGAGGAGGCGGGCGATGCAAACGGTCTTAGAGGTATTCAGGTCTAAGCATGGGCAGGACTGCTCTAGCGCAGTCAGCTCCGAGGCCCCTCTTCCAGCCCCGGCAGGGCGTCCCCGCCCCGCCTCGGCCTCTCCCCGTCGCGTCGTCTGCAAACTTTGCCATCGCTCCATCCTCCATCCTCCATCCGGCAAAATGATGACTCCACGTTCCCCCCTTCCGCGAGGCACGAGGCGAGGGATGAGTTGTGAGTACGGCCAGTGCGGCAGGGGCGGCAGGGACGGGGCGGGGATGGCCCTATCCGAGTCGACCGCCGAGGACGCCGCCGAGGACGCCGCCGAACACACCGCGCGAAACACTGCGTCGCAGGTTTGCGCCACCATTCAAGCGATTCGAGAGCTTTGGCAGTGGAGCCCTACTTCACTTCGCCCCTTCAAAACGGGCCTTTTGATGTTCCTGGATGGACTGGCAGAAGCCTAGCCTCGCATCGGACGAGGCGGTTGGCTGCCACCGTCAAGTCCGCGTGTCCACGCCGCCCCGAAGCCCGCAGCCACCCGACTCCACACGGTGGGTCGCGATGGGTCCAGTTTCCAAGTTGGAAGTGTAAAGCCACGCCCCCTCCCCTGCCCCCCGTCCCCCCTCCCCCAGGCACACACCTTCTCCTTGGCCAAACTCATCAAGCTCCGCCCCGCTCCACCCCGCACACCCTCATTGTATTCTTTGATCTGCCCCCCTCCCCCCTTCCCCGTCCCTGGTGTCGCTATTACTGCGCCAATAAATTCCAATACCGTGGACACGTTGAAGCCGCGTCCTGATCGCCTGGGACAGGGCCTTGGGGAGCGGGCGGGGGACCAGAGGAGGGGGGGGAGCCTTCTTGGCGGTGCGGTGGATTAGCCCGGCAGCGACGCGAGGGCCGCAAGGGGCAAGGCGGGGCAAGGCGGGGCAAGGGGCCCTGGCCGACGAGGCGAGCCGACGCCGTGCCGCCAAACAATAAACAACTGGTACAATTCGAACGCGCCGTCAAACTCCGTGCTTTACCTGAGACCTGCGGCGCCACTGTGTTCAGGAGTTATGGATTCCCTTGGGGTTTCCCCCGAAAGACACCGAAGTTTCGGAAGAAATGGGCGAGTACTGCCAGCGGTTCTTTATTCGCACCGCCTCTCGCACGCGTGGCTTCCGCCATGCTTCCGCCATGCTTCCGCCATGCTTCCGCGGTCCAAGTCCAGCAAGCTGCGCGTGGGTGGCGGCGCGCGGCGCGTTGCCTGGGGCAGGCAGGGCAGGCAGGGCAGGCAAGGGGCACACCGCGCCCTCCCCCTCGCCGCCCCGAGCCGGACCGAACCGGAAAGGGAACGTGACAATGGGAAGACCGCACGGCGGACGGCGTGCGACGCCAGGGCGGCGGGGCGGCGGCGCGGCCGGGACGACGGCCTCCCGGAGCAGGCCATCAGCCGCGCCACGCTGGCCGCGCGGCCAAGCCCGCCGAGCCAGCCAACCAGCCGAGAGGAGAGGGCTTCATCAGAATCGGATATGAGGCGGGGGCGGGGGCGGGGGACGAGCCGAGGCTGGGCGGGGCAGGGCGGGGAAACCATCCGACAACACAACCTGACAAGGCGTGCCATACGCGGCGGGCCTGCTTTTGGAGACGGCGTCGGCGGCACTGTCGCAAAAAACTCCGTCTACGACCACACCACAGGAACGTGCCATGACGCGAATGGCGTGATGGTGAGGGCCCCGAAGGACCGCCACCGGCGACGCGAAAAATAAGACCTTATGGTTCCGAAGAGCTCGTGGCATTTAAATAATAGCGCATGTTTCAGTGTTTCTGTTTTGTTTTCAGCCGGGCCATGACGCTGTGCGGCAGCAACGGTACCGCCCCCAAGCCCGCCCCCGCCCCCCTGGCCGCCATCGCCATCCCCGTCAGCGTGGCCGCCGCCTCCTCGTCCGCACCCGCCGCGCCGCCCCTGCCTTCGCCGTGCATCCCCACGACGCCGGGCATCGCCGGCACGCCGTGCCGTCCTGGGGGCACGGGGGCGGCGGCGGCGGCGGCGGCGGCGGACAGCGGCTCGCTGCGATCGCTCAGCTCGGAGGACGTGGCCTCCGCCGTGGAGGCCGAGGCGGGGCGCCGCAAGTGCGGCTGCACCTGCTGGACGTCCAACCCGGTGCACGAGAAGGACCGGCAGCTGCAGCTGCTGCACATGCTGGCGCTACCCTTCATCCCCATCCTGGCGCTCATCGTGCAGACCGCCGTCGCGCTCAACGGCATCCTCATCGACCGCCAGGAGGTCGCCGACGTTGAGTGGCAGGTAGGGCACTCTTCCAGCACCCGCCAGTTGACTGATTCCGAACAGTGTCTCGCTCTCTCTATCGCACCCCTCCGGGACGGCCCACGAGAGCGAGACGACGGCACTGTCCGGAATCAGCCAGCAGACACATACGGCACACTGGCACACACACACGCGAGGGATTTGAGCTGCCGGTCCCTTTTTCCGCGTCATATTGCCGCCCCTAACAAGGGCCGGGGCCGGCTGGGGACGACTGGGGCCGTCTGGGGCCGGCTGGGGCCGACTGGGGACGACGCGTCGCTGCGTGCCGAAAAGGCCCTCAGACCTCGTGGCCCCTGCTATCTCCCACGCCGACAACAACGACAACAACGACAACAACAACCGAAAGGCATATCTCGGAGGCGAACAGGAAACTCTGTTGGCCGCGGTCCGCTGTTATTCTTCGCTCGCCACCGAGTTGCCGACGTCGACGTCACTCGCAGTGTATCGGTTTTAATTGTTTTCGCGGCTGGAAAGGCGAAGCGCGAAGCACGGCGGGGCAGGGACGTCGTCGGGGTGGCAGGACTTTGTCGGCGCGTTCCCGGATCACCACCACCACCCCGGACGAGGGGAGGGGGTCCTTCATTTTCCCCGAGCCACGGCCAGGCCACGGCCACGCCACGGCCACGCCACGGCCACGGCGCCGCACGGTCGCACAGCAATTGGCGCCGAGTGTCGATTTTCATCTTCGCTTCCAATAAGCGGCCATTCGAAGCAACGAGCGCCTAACGCCCGCCTGGCTGCTTGGCTCCTGTTGACGGGCTGACGGCTTGACGGCTTGACGGCGTCGAGTTCATTGCGGCAGTCGTTATGGTGTAACGTGGCCTGCGCGTCCCTACACGCTACGCGGCTACACGTCGACGCACACACTGGGAAGGGGAGCAGGGTGCACGTGTCGCCTGTCGGCCTGCGACGCCCTGCGCTGCATACACCACCCGTACGAATCACGCATTTACCTTTCGCGAGGCCTCTGTTCATCTCTCGCCGTCACCTTCCTTCGCGGTGGTTTCCCCCGATGTTCATCGTTTGTCCGACCTTCTTTTGAGTCGAACCCTAGCCCCTGCGCGTGATCATGATTTGCCGCAGTGTGGAGCCAGGAGTGAGATCGGCGACTCCGTCTCTAGAATCGGCGACGGCTGAGCGCGCAGAGGCGTTGGCCCGCACCTCCAAGGGCTAGGGTTCGACTCCCAGCAATTCTTTACATTTTAGGAGTGGCTTTCCTGATGCGGTTTGGACCCGTTGCGCCACTCGGATCACCTGGTGAGCCGCGCTGGCCGAAGGTGTTGAGATGTCTGAATCCGACACTCGGATCGAGCGATCGAATACCAGCTTCCCGCTATTTTTGTCTGACTATACGGTTCGGACCAGCAGCTTCAAAGGCTCCCCTTCGCTCACCAACACCTATGGGCCGTGGTGGCCGAGAGCGCAGAGGCGTCGGTTCCCGAATGCGGGGACCGGGGTTCGACACCCAATGCAGTGTCGAATATTTTGACCAAGCTTGTATCGCAAGAAGGCGGTTCAAGTATACAAAATCGGCCGGCGTTCAGTGTGCCTCTCATAGCCCAGTGGTTCCGCTGCTGGGCAGGGTGACGCAGACTCCTGAGTACCAGTAGCATGGCCCCTGAGTGGGAAGGGGGCCGGGAACGAAACCCGACTACTGGGAAAGGTGGCAGCCTGGCCTACTATGAGAGGACTCCTCCACATCACAGTTGACGTGACCAATGACGGGGCCACTGCGGTTTAACTCTGAGGTTGCTCCTGTGATGAGATGGGGGAACCACTGGTCCACCAAGCCAGCGGGGAAGAGGGCCGGTTCGCCGGGGTGCCCTCTTTCGCTGAAATTTTCTTTATAGTGTTAATTTAACTTCTGTTACTCTGAATACATTTTATGTCAAAATGTCTTTGGATTGTCCTGCATCCAGTCTTGATTGACATAGAGAGTGAGCCCCGGGTGTTAAGCGGCGCGGCCCGGCAGGCAACCAGCCCGGCAACCAGCCCCGGATCAACCGGGTGTCCCCTGTCCTCCGTCCGCGCATGCACGTCTGTCCTTGTCTCTCCCGGGAACCAATCAACCAATCATCGGCCGCCATCAACCCAACAAACTCATCAACCTCTTATCGCCCTGCTGCACTCGGTGCGGAGGGAAGGGGGAGGGGGAGGGGACGTCGCGGCGACGGCAGGGGTGGGGCAGGGCGGCGTGTCACGCGCGTGACAGGGACGTGACGGGCGGGACGGGGCGGGGCGGGGTGGGGCGGGGCGGGGCGTGCAAATGGTGTGCCTCATCCAGCCCCGCCAAGCCATGGCCCACGGCCCGCCAGTTTGGCGACCGATGAATCAATAAAACGCCAATCAAACGCGAAGGGCGCCCCGCCCCGCCCCGCCCTGGCCGCGCAGTGCGACGGAGTGTCCCGCGCTGCACTTCCTGCCTCCTCTTCTCTCCGTCCGTTGCTTCCCTGGTTCCTTGCCTTCTTCCTTCCCGCGTCTCCGTTTTCGCCAGTGCGCTGTGCGCTGGCTTGCTCTCTCTGTAGCGCCTGCGGACGGGCGGGTAGGCAACCCTCCACGCTGCCCTGCCCCGCACCGCCGAGCGTTGCCTACCCGCCGGGCGCTTTCCCCCCGTTCCGTCGATTCCCACCGGTTCCCCTGCCGCAGGTGACCATCGCCACGGACCTGGGCAAGGTGGTGACCGCCATGCAGCTGGAGCGCTCCGACGTGGCGTTCTACATCTTCGCCAACGGCAGCACCACGCGGCTCAACCTGACCAGGCGCTTCGCGGAGACGGACAAGGCGCTGGCCAACATGAGCTCCTGGCCCGAGATGGAGCTGCCGCCGTCCGACGAGCAGGACGACGACCTGGTGGTGGGCAACAGGTCCATGTTCGAGAGCCGCCTCAACACCTTCAGGTGGGTGTCTCGGCTTCTCCCGGTGTGGGAGTGAGAGAAACGCAACGCCACTCGGCGTGGTGTTTAAACTCATCGGCGCGGCCGGCTCGTTTCAAGTTGAGAGTCCATTCGCGCGCGCGCGCTTGTCACTTCTCTTTCATTTTTAAGCGGTCATCCGCGGAGCGGTGCGGTGCCTGTACCGCACAGTGCCCCCCCCCCCCCCCAGACTTGGACTGTTGTTTGTGCGACGCGGTAATCCATTAGAGCGACATGCTGCCCATAATGCATTATTCGCACGCCACAGTGGCACTTCAGCGCTCATCCGCCGGCGACGGCGATGGGCGGGGCAGTCGGGGGCTGTGCGAACTCCGGCGGGCTGCAGGCCGCGAGCAGGAAAAAGACACCCATTTTTCGCCGCGTCCCTCGCACTCGTACCGCGCACCGCTACAGCGGCGCGAGAGAGGGAGACGGAGCGACACTGTTCGGCATCGAACTGCAGGGAGCACTCCGTTTCGGACGGTGGCACACACAGTGTTCGAACCCCGCTCAGGGACGGCCCCTCGAAATGACAGTCAGCCCAGCCAGCCGCCACCTCCCGTTCATCCGCCCGACCCCGACGAGGGCGGGGCGGGGCGGGGCAGAGTAAACACAAACACACACCCCCTGCCCCCCGGCCCGGCCCACCCCTCACTGCGCCCGCAATATGAACAAGGGCATGCGAATTCATTCACGACTACCCACGCCGGCGGCGCTGCAGGCCGATTCCGAGTGGGGGGATTTTCCCTCTCCCTCGCACTGGTGGTGGCGCCGCGTAGGGGTGCGATAGAGGAGGCGCGACGGGGCCTCCGCGCGGAGTCATCCTGCCGGCGGCAATCGCGAGGACGGCGCCAAACCGTTCCGGGAACACACCACCGCACACAGTGGGCGCTGCTGCCGCCGCCGCTGCTGGCGGTGACACTGCTTGGAGCGGCGGCCTGTGCGTCCCGGCTGGACGGCTGGACTGCCGCACTGCCGGACGTCGTGTCTCGCTTGCTGGCTTCTCCCGTATTTATTCTACGGATCAGTACACCGCGCCGCCCCTCCGTTCGACCATTTGTCACTCCACTTCCGGCCGGCCGCTGTTCCTCCCCATCCCCAGCCTCCGCGCCCCGCGTGTTACGTAGTACGTACTACCCGCGGCCCGCCGGTCGGTCTTCGCCGTCTTCGCCTTTCAGGCAGGGTCCCAGGGTCCTCTGCGGCCTTTGGGCGGCCCTTGGGTGGCCCTTGGGTGGCGGTTCTCGGGGTCTTAATGAGCTCCCCAGAGGCGGGGGGCAGCCAGCCAGCCAGTCAGCCCCCGGTTGGACGGAACGGCGGCGGAGCTTCGGTTTGCAATGGCCTCACTCGTGTTGGAAAAGGAACGCTCCCGTCATGTTCCAGAGAAACGATCAGCGCGAGAGAGAGCACCATGAGCGGGGCGCTACTGTGGTACAACCGCGTCAACACCATCCTGCTGGAGCACCTCACGAGGCAGATCAAGGAGACGGACAAGAGCGGCGTCTGGAGGTAAGAGAGAGACACACACATTGCGTCCACGGGGAGTCGCTCACTCATCGATGTGTTCATTTTTATTTTTTTGAAAAAGGACTTGACGACTGGTATTTGAACCCGCGACCCGCAGGTACTTGATCGCTTTCAAGAACCTGCTGCGCAGCATCGAGCACACGGGCATCTCAATGGTGCAGGGCATCAACTACTTCGGCGTGGGCAGCCTCAGCAACGAGTCCTACATCAGCTTCGTGCACCACGACGCCATCGGGCGCGACCTGCTCAACGCGTCCTTCACCTACGTGCCCTCCATCCGGCAGACCTACAGCCAGCTCGCCAGGCAAGCGCGCCACGGTCCGCTGAAGCCGGCCCAGGTTCAAACACCGGGTGTCGGTCATTTTTTGTTTTGTTGTGTGCGCAGCAACCTGTACGAGTACGGCAAGCTGCGCGAGCGGCGCCGCGAGGTGATGGGCAACCGGCAGCGCAAGTCCAGCCTGGACGACGCCGAGTACTACTTCCGCTCCATGGGCAGCTACCTGGACCAGCTGCGCACGCTGCTCAAGGACCTCCGCAGGAAGATCAAGTAGGCCGTGCCGCCGCGCCGCCGCGCCGCCGTGCCCCGTCCATGTGCACTCGGCCGACGTGCGCTCACCAACCTCCTTGTTGCTCAGGACCTACGTGGAGCGCAGCCTGCACGAGGCCAGCAACCAGGAGGCCGTGGGCATCGCCATCCTGGTGCTGGTGCTCATCGTGTCCCCCGTCATCATCGTGCTGGTGCGCAACGCCGTGGCCACCATCCAGATGTTCGCCGCGCACCTGGCGCTCAAGGCGCGCGAGCTGAAGCGCGAGAAGCGCAAGAGCGACATGTTGCTGTTCCAGATGCTGCCGCCCAGCGTGGCGCAGCAGCTCAAGCAGACCCAGCAGGTCGAGGCTCTTTCCTTTTTTCATTTCGGTGAAAGAAAAGTGTGCGCCTTAAAGCCGGCTCTGGCTGTCCCTCCCTCCAGGTCCCCGCCGAGTACTACGAGGCCGTGACCGTGTACTTCAGCGACATCGTGGGCTTCACGGAGATCGCCGCCATCAGCACGCCGCTGCAGGTCGTCACCTTCCTCAACTCCATCTACAGGCTGTTCGACGCGCGCATCGAGTGCTACGACGTGTACAAGGTGGAGACCATCGGCGACTCCTACATGGTGGCCTCGGGGCTGCCCGTCAAAAACGGTGGGTGGCGATGTTATTGGTCTGGGCGTCGAGGAGGCGGCGACGCACAGTGGGCCAGAAGACCGGTCGAGGCGTCCAAAACTCTGCATTTTGAACTCCATAGTCGCTAAACAGGACTCGAATCGAACGTGCGGCCCCACCAATGGATTCCTCGTTCCGAGAGCAATCCATTGGTGGGGTCACACGTTCAGTTCGACTCTGGAGCGTCCAGAATTTTGGCCGCCTCCACCGGTCTTCTGGCCCACTGTGCGGCGACGTGACGGCGACGTGACGGCCCGCTCGGTTGCAGGCGACAAGCACATCTCCGAGATCGCCACCATGGCGCTGGACCTGCTGGCCGGCTCCGTCAAGTGCCGCATCCCGCACCGGCCGCACGACAAGCTGCAGATCCGGTCCGGGGTGCACACCGGCCCCGTGGTGGCGGGCATCGTGGGCTCCAAGATGCCGCGCTACTGCCTCTTCGGGGACACCGTCAACACGGCCTCGCGCATGGAGAGCACGGGCGAGGGTGAGTGGGGGAGGGGTAGGGGGTGCTTTGCAGTGCAGTGGAGCTTGTCGTTGACGCACGCCTCGTCCCGCAGCCCTGCGCATCCACATCAGCGGGGAGATGAAGATGGCCCTGGACGCGGTGGGCGGCTTCCGCACCGAGCACAGAGGGCTCGTCGACGTCAAGGTAACGCCCAAAACCAGGCCCGAGTACTGTGAGGCAAAATTGGTCTGTTTTGGTATTGGAACCCGCGAGCCTGTTCTGACGAGTGGCGTGCGCAGGGCAAGGGGCTGATGGACACGTACTGGCTGACCTGCAAGGAGGGCGTGCCGCAGGCGGACCCGGACGCCGCCGAGACTCAGGCCACCCTGCTGGACGAGACCTACGACTCGCAGCCCGCCTTCCTGCGCCGCCTGCGCGGCATGCGGGGCGAGCGCTACATCTAGGCGGCCAGCGCGGCGGCGCGGCGCGCGTCGGTCCGAGGGCGCGGACCAAGGCGAAACAAGACTCGGCGCAGTTGGACGCGAGACAGCAGCCGGCATCGCGCCCGCGGCCTCGCCGTCTGAGTTTCCAAACCTAAATAATGACTGAATCCTCCTTCCCGGTGAGATGGTCCATTTGCAAGCGAGGCGGCGCCAGAGGCCCTCGCCGCACTCTTGTTGTCGGAAGCTCAACAAATCAGCAAGTCTGACAAGGTTGAATATTTATGTCTTTCTCTTTTCCATTGCACTGAAATACTAATCTCGTAGTTCTTTATAATGACAAACGATAAGCGTTATGTACTTAGAGGTAACATTCTTTTTCTCTCCCTCTCTCTGTCTCTCGCTAGTCTTACTCATTTTATATTATACTTGTATGACTTGTAATGCGATTCTTTTGTAAATACAGTATACTTAAACATCCTTGGAGTCGGTGAAACTCTTGCCGTCTATAAAGGCTTAACCTCCACAGAGGCAGTAGGCCCTCCGTACAGCTCCAAGTCACTCATTCATTCAGTCAATCCGCTCGCCGCGACTGCCATTTTCTCGTTCAATAGTTCCCCTTCCCCCAGCGGCCCAGCGGTCGGTGGCATCGCGGTAGGCGCGCAGCAAGCTGCAGCAAGCACGGCGCTTCGCTCTTCGCTTTCTCTGGCCGCTCTGGCCGCGCACTGCACTGCCACGGCACAGCTGATCGTCCCGTCCGTTGCTCCGCGTCGTCCCGTCCCGTCCGCGCGACCGGCCGGCCGGCCAGGCCCTGCCAGGCCGAAGGCGCGGACGGCGGGGCGCGGGGCGGCCGCGGCCACACTCCGCTGCGCGCTGCGCCTCTCGCCGGCCTTTCCCTTCCCCGACACGCCGACACCGCCACCGCACTAGACATGCAGTCGCCAGGGCGCCGCCAGGACATCACAGGACAGCGACCAGCAAGCAGGTGCAATACATTGTTCGTTGAGCCCGCTAAGAAGAAAAAGGAGAAGAAGAAAGGGCGTATCTTGGACGGAAGCGTGGTCACTTGAGTAGTTTTTGGAACGAACTCAGACGAAGTTTTTCAAACTCTAGCTAACCACGTCCCATGCGGATGCGGGGAAAGCCACACACACACTTTGGCTCCGTGGCGCGGCGCGCCATGCAGATTGGCTCACGCTTTGTTTTCCCAGCGGCGCCGCGGGGCGGGGCGGGGCGGGGCGTGCCGTGGTGGGACACGGCGGAGTCCGCCACGCTCCGCGGATGGGCGGCGCGGGGCTGCGCGGGGCTGCGCGGGGCGCGGCGGCGGGGCGCTTGGCCGTGGCGGGGACGGCGCGCACGGCGGGGACGGCGGGCACGGCGGGGAGCCGCGCGAGGCGGCAGAGCAGTGCAAAGCCTCCAGCGCCGTGCTCCAGCAAACCGTGCCCCAGCACCGGACCCGCCTCACCGTCCAGCCGGTCCGCGCTGGCCCCGCCGCTGCTCCACGCCGCCGACCGCGCTCGCCGGCCCTCAGGGCAAGCCTGGCAAGCCCAGGTACTCGCCCAGCTCGTCGTCGACCGCGGGCCGCCATGACCGGGCTGCGCGGCGCCATCCTGGCGGTGCTGCTGCTGGCCGCGCTCGTGGCCGCAGCCTCCGCCAAGCCCACCATCTACGTCAAGAACGACAACGACAAGCTGGAGCCTGGTGAGTAGGTAGAGGCGCCAACGGCGTGCCGCGCGGGGTGCTGCGATGCCATGATGTCACGACGACTCCCGCCCCGAGTCGGTGTCGGTGCTGCCAGAGTACGCAGCGCGCTGAAACCTCTCCCTTCTTTGTCACACCTGGGCAACACGTTGATTAGCTTGGGTTCCATCTGTGCTACAGCCGCTGATATGTTTACTTTTGTGTTTGGCTCTCTGACTTCACCACTGCAAGCGTTCGCTCCGCTATTTGCGCCCCCAGCGCCCAGCAGAGCGCTCCCCTCCCCGCCCCGCCCCGCAGTGTGGCGGCACGCGCAGGAAACGCAGTGTAGTGTACCGCAAATCCAACTAGCTGGCCGCGTAGCCGCGTAGCCGCGCACGCCGCGTGCAGCCGATTCACAGGTGGCTGCCCATATGGGCTGCCCACGCCCCGCCGCTCCTTGTTAGTCCTTATGATTCACGGCCGGCGGGCCCGACGGCACCGGCAGCCTGGCCAGGGGGCGGAGGCCGCGGAGGCCCCAGTCCAGTCGACGACCATGTCCACGCAGCCAATCCGGTCGCAACATTTTATCACTTCGCCGACGCCGACCAGAGTAAGAGACGTCGGGAAAACTACAGAAGCATCGTTTTCGGAGATGCACAACGCCAGGCCATGCGACGCGCCACTGCTCACGGCCAAGCAGCAGTGACGCGGCGCGTCGGAGTGAATGAGCAATGACAGTCCAATGGGATGAAACAGCCGTCGAAACAAACACCAAACACGGCGACGTCTGCAGACTGCAAGACTGCAAGGTGTATCGCGGTAAGGCACACCGGGCACACCGCGCAGGGCCTTGCCTTGCCGCCTTGCGCAACGCCGCCTCGGGGACCCCCCCCCCCCCCCCTCAACAACAATATCAGCGAGCCCGCTAAGGCTTTCGCTAGGCTAAAGCGCGCCGCTGAGCCAAGCCGGGATAAGTTCAAGTACAGTCCGTAGCGTGTACTAACTTTCTCGACACAGAAAAAACTTTTAAACCTGCGCGTCTCCCGCGCAAACGCAAAGCGGGGCAAGGGCCTCTCTACCTGTTGGCCCGGGCCCGCCCGTTCGCCTGTCCTCTCCAGTCCTCTCCACCTGTCGTGCACTCGGCGCCGGGTTCGCCGCGCCCCGCCGAGGCCGCGCCCCGCCGCGCCCCGCCCCGCGCCAGCCACAACAATGACGTAAGGAAAGAGGACCCGGAGCAGCGCGGAGAGGACTATTGTTCCAGCGCTGCAGAGCGCAGAGCGCTCGCGGCCCCGCCCGAGTGGTCCCAATCCCCGGCCTTCCCCCAAAAGGCCAAAGCGAAAAGAGAGGGGAAAATGGATTAGACGAAACGAAATGCGCGGCCGGGCCGGAGCCACTTTGAGAGCCGTTCGTCGTTCCTGTCAGATCAGAGGAAAACGCGAAAACGCTGCTGACGAACTTAGCGAGTGATTGGCGCTGGCTGGCGCGCTGGATTCGACAGCGGCGCCTCGCCGAGCAATGCCAAGCAATGCCGGCAATGCCAAGCAAAGCCCATCGCCCAGCACAGCGCAGCACAGCGCCTGCCCGCAGCACGACACGCAGGCCGCGACGCCGTGCCGCGACGCCGTGCCGCGACCGAGGCGGTGGGCGTGATGCGTGTTGGTATTTCCGCGTTGGCCGCGCCGCCACTAGACCGTGCTGGCCGTGGTGCCGTGTAGTGTAGTGAACTGGAGTCAAGTACTCTGCTAACGCGCTAAACGCGGACAGAGAGAGGCGCCCTCGCTGAGCAGCCTCCGCGACCCTCCCTCCTCCTTGGGCTTTGACTTTACGCAACCGAGTTTGTCCGCTTTCGTTTATTCGCGTGGATCGATTTCGTTTGATTCTCCCCCCCCCCCCCCCTTTCCCCTCGGCCCGCCGGCCCCCTACGCGAAAGAGGTCCCAAGCGGCGGCGCACAATGATCCAGAAATCTCAAAACGGGGAAAAAAAAACCCGCGGGGGCCCAGATGGTAGAAAAAAGTTCTGAACTGGAGTTGTTACTAAAATAAGTATTTTAGGTCGGTATTGAGGCCGTTTTCGAAAAGGCACTTGAAAACTCTTTAAGAACTGAAAATTTTGACGCTTTTTCATGCAGTTTTTCACATGTTCCTTTTGAAGGAGTTGTCCTACAGGGCTCGTCTTAGGCTCAAACGAAAACTTATAAAATTTCCCCATTTTTTGACACCCCCCGCCGTAACGCTAGCATGCTTATATCTTGGCATTGCTTCAAAACAGTTTAAATTTTTTTTTTTTTCTACATTAAATGACTCAGAAATTTTTAATTACGTCGGAGCATAAAAATTTTTGGCCTTTTATTATTTTTTTTCAAGGAATCGAATGGGGTATCTGGAAGTCGGTACCAGCAAAAGGAAAGAAGTTATTAGACATTTCCGGACTTTCAACCCTTTTTGGGCCGATAAATCGCAATGGTGCTCCATCAAAGAGTGTCCTACGAAACTCTCAGTAGTATCAATCGAAAGAGAATACATTCCGCAAATTTTAAGACCCCCGCCGTTTTTATATTTATTTAGTTCTCGAGAAATCACCCAAGAATCTCTATTTAGGGGGATCAGACCCAACTTTAGCCCCCCTCCATCTTTTGTTCAAATTTTTTCCCCATCAAAACCATCTTGTCAACGGTCTTCTACTATCTCAAAGACTCCATTTCGCCTTAAAATTGGGCGTCAGAATTTATGATCCACCCCACTGAGGGCTGCGTCGTCTAACGCCATCAAGAGCAAAAATGCGAAAATTTTTAGTTTTTCTCTATCTTTTGGGATCAATTTAGGCCCAGAGCCGCAAGTGGCCGCACCCATCGTTGACGGATCCTTTTACTACACCCTAGTGGGAGTCAAATGTCACTTAGGACACAACAACGCTCACAACAGTCAAGAGATAGGGACCATCAAAAATCAAGATATTGCTTTTTTTTAGCGTTTAAAAAACCGCTATAGTTGCAACACAGACGTCCAAAATGTAAAAGCCGGCACTGGCATCTTGAAGAGGGCGTCGAGACGTTTTTGAAAAAATATAAACATTATGCATTTTGACTTTGCATCACAAAGATACACGAGTTTAAAATTAACACAAATTTACAACAATGCAAAGTATTAAAAAAAACTTAACTTTGAGGCCAAAAATCACCATATATGCATTCCCGAAGCTCAAAACTAAGTTCATATTCGTTTTCTCCAGAATTTTTTTTATTAAATTCACCACTTGGATTCATGAAAATTCCAAAAAAAAATTTGAGGTTTTTTTCCGCGATTTGACATTTCTGGATCATTGTGCGGCGCTCCCACGCACGACTCACAAGCAGCGCGCCAAACGGCTCTCAAGTTTGGCGCTCCTCCGTGGACCGATGATGCACACCCCGCGGCTGCCTACGCCACCGACCGCCATCGTGGCCAGGACCATGGCCAGCATGCCAGACGCCAGGACGCGTCCCGCAGCACGCCGACGACGTCAACACCGTGGGCGGACCGGTCGGTCGGTGCCGATCCGGCCAGTCATGGCGTGCCGAACATCGCCATGCATGTAACCGAGGAGCACGGCGGGCGCGCGGCGAGTCACTGGGGTTGCCTACCCTGCGCTCGGCCGGCGCGCGGCGAGCCACTGGGGTTGCCTACCCTGCGTTCGGCGGGCGCGCGGCGAGCCACTAGGGCCGGTGCCGAAGTGTGTCCAGTGCAGGTTTCGCTGGCCGCGCTGACCTGCCCCTCTCTGTGTTGCAGTGCTGGTGCCCGTCTCCTCCACGGTGATCCCGCTGCCCGTGTACAAGGTGGGCTTCAGCCTGGGCGCCACCAAGGGCGGCAAGGGGGGCGACAGGGACCGAGCGCAGGGCAGGCCCGAGGAGCCCATCCAGCTCATCACGGGTAAGCCAACCCCCAATGCATCCCTAGAATGCGCTATGAATCCTTTTAAATATTTGAATCTTATTTCTTTTTGTAGTGCATCATAAGAAGAAGGCCCTGGGTACAGTGACCAAGGAGAAGAGCACAGGCTTATCACCATAAGATACCTGAATATATTTTCCCTTAAGTGAGTGAGTGTTGTGTGTGTGTGTGTGTGAGCACCTATCAGGGAGTGAGAAATGGCATGAGATGGCCTCATAGAAAAATAGCAGACTGTCTAATGGCAGCTATCTACTTCAGGTTTTAGTACTGGGTCTAAAATTGTACTGTGTTTGTAAGTGTGACGTATGAAAGCCACAGAAGAATTGGACATAAAAACAAAAAATTGATAGTAACTTGAGAAAGTTAAATATATTTTGTATTTCTTAGAAAATAAATGAGCTTTTACAATATAATCAAATAAGTATGGTCAGTTGTGGTAAACAAATTCTTCCTTTCTCTGTCATATAGTAATTTAATAATGTATGAACCTGTATCTTAAAATAAAATTCCTCTTTCATTTAAGAGAAAACATACAAAATACTTATTCATTCAGAATCATCACTGTCTCCTGAATTTGGCCTATCTATGTCATCACTTTCATCCGCAATTTGATCCAAATCATCACGAGGCACGTCACTTGAAGGTGCTTCGATTTTTGGGCCTTGTAATAAGTTCTCTAAGGCCTCCCAAGGATCTTCCACCATAGATGGGTGGTAGTATGCGGATATTGGAATATCAGAACCCTTAGGGTATTTGGGATTCCTAGGGCCCTAACAGAAATACAATGGCAAATTAAAACATTACCAACTGAGAAAATAGAACAGATTTGATTCACAAAGAAGCCACTCACCTGCTGCCCGCGGAAGTTCTGATTTCCTCTGCCTCTATTTTGACCTCTCATGTGATGAGGATTATTTGAATAGAACGGTGCTTGGCTAGGTTCTCTCATGTGATGAGGATTATTTGAATAGAATGGTGCTTGGCTAAGTTCTCTCATGTGTTGCGGATTATCTGAATGAACGGGTTGGCTGGGTCCATCACAGAACTGTCTCTCGAATCTGTTGTACGACTGATGTATACCGCGTCCACGTCCTCGTCGGTTCCATCGCGGCCATCTCTGATTAGAATCGTCTGGTCCACTATTTGATCCGAGAGAGATGAAGTCGCCCCCCAAACCTCCAGAGGTTCTCTCATAACCTCCTTGGTCCTGTCTTCCGTCCATACGAGAAAATTCTGAGGAGATATAGAGGTTTTAAAACACATGGATTAGACAAAAACCAAAAGAAAATTATATTGAAAACAAGAGCACGCACTTCGCGGGGATGGAACGAACGAAATCTTCGAAAATTACAAATGAAGTACTTTGTTTACAAACTTTCCTGCGAAGTTATCGTCGTCTGCTGCCGCTCTGCGTGCGCGGCAACTTCAACTTTTCTCACCAGAGAGCGTTGAAGTCGAAGTGCAGCCCTCCCTATTCACAGGATTCATTGTAGTGCGAATAAAATACACTGTTTTCACTTTTCACAAACAAAGATAAATCCCAAGGAAGAGTCAAAAGATCAGCAAATGGTCACCAAAAGAAAATTTGAAGATTTAATATAAAAAAATGAAAACATTTTGAACTTAGACTAAACGGTCGGACACGACACATGTCTCGATTCTCTGAAGATTCCAGACCAGGATTTTAATTTAAATTATATCCGTAAATTGTGGCTATTGATTTGGTCCAGGAAATGTAATTCTCTATACTTTCTTAGGTTAACGGACCATTAGTATTCTGCGTCACCTGAGCGCTTCGCACTGAAAATCGCGCCCCGACCCGCCTAGCCGGAGAGTACCACGTGACTTCCGGTGAACTTCATTCGGGTCCGCTTCGGGAGACTTCGGCACCTCTCCGGCCACTTCGGCTATCTTTGGCGCTAGAGCGCGAGCCTGTTGTTCTTCTCCCCATTTCAAGGTGGTGTTGATTCTCGACCGTGCCTGGCTTGCGGTGTTTGTGAAATTGCTTATCAAAGTCAAGTGGACTCGCCGAAAATATCAGCCAAACTGGAGAACCCAAGTGTTAAGGTTGCCATGCCAAACATGCAGCTCCATAATGAGATACGCACCGTGCAGTCTCAGCTAAAAACGGCAATACAGAACCATCAGGTGACTACATTTTGCAATGTTTTTGTTTCTGTTTTTGTTGTTTACGTTAACAACCTCGGCTTGAAAGTCATTCCCTTGGTCTAGAGCATGACTTTTTGATTCTGTTTGAGTCATTTGCTAAATCACTTCTATTACAGTTTACTTTCTGTTACTTGGAAAGATTCACTTGTCAAGGTTAAGAACGGCATGGTTCGTTTTTACTTTAATCGCGTCATAAAACTCAATTCATGTCGTAACGGAAAAATTCTACTGTATGACACTTAAGATGCTGTCATGCGATTCCTCCCTATGTAAATTTGCATAGAACCAAGTCCAATTCTGTCATTTTGCTGCCTGCTATGAAAGAACTTGCAGAGAAGCTACAATTTCTCTATGTACTTGTTGTTTGTTCTTTAAAGGCCTTTTAATTAACATGTCTTTAATTTTGACTATATTTGTTAATGTTTAAATTTCTCATTTTCTTTCTCATAGATAACACAAAACTGTGCAGAGGCATATGTAAAAAATAATTCTTAAAATAATTTTATTTTCAGATGATAGTGTTTAAGCTGAAAGACCGTCCTGTGGTGAGCTAATAATATCCCAATTTTATTCTATGTACTGAATATAAATTTGCATTGTCAATTACTACTTTTGTTATCATGTTTGTTCATTTGTTTCCAGTCTATCAAACTCAGAGTACAGATGTGCAATATCCAGAGACATATAGTGAGTCTAGGAGAAAGACAGGTAAGTTTTAATTGGTTTTTCTGTCTCTGTTAATTTGAATTTGGCACAAACTCCTTTTTAAATGTATTTCACTTTCAGAAAAAATTATTGACTCAGCTGAGACAAGAGTTAGAGGCTAATGGAGGGTCAATGAAAATGTCGCCTCTCCAAAACCTCAGACCAAACCCACTATATCCTCAGTTGTCTTCTAAATCACAACCGATCAAAAAGGAGCTCATCAATATAAAATGTGAAAGCATCTTAGATGGTTATGAAAATACTAATAATATTCAAGCAAAACCCGAGGTACCTCATACTTCAAGAAGGAAGTCCAAGCTTGTTGCCATTACTGACTTGCCTCTTACAAATGGACATAGTGTTCCATCACCAACTCCAGTACTGAAAGAAAACACTCCGTCTAGCACACCCTCATCTTCACCAACGCATAGCTCCAATCCTGTAAAACAGCCAAAACAAAGGTGCATATGATGCAGTGTTTCTGGAGCTTTAAGATGTTTCTGCTTTTATTTTAAATCCTTCCTCAGCTCAATTTTTCCACATGCGAAGTCCTTTAAGATATTAGATACTTTGACTGATGCTTTCCATCTGTCTCTTTTTTTTTCACAGGACAGCAAGAGTAGAGAGTATCCCTACATCTTCTGTCTCAGATGAGTCGCAGGATGCATTTGTCAATCTTCCCGCTGACCCAGAGACTAGGAAAAAGCTCCAGTTCATGACAGCTCTTAGTAAGTAATGTTTTTACTAAATATTGTCTGTCTTATTAAGGTGGTGTGAAATGTCAAAATTAAAATTCAAGAAGGTAAAGGGTTTATTAACCGACTTTTGACTCTTTCAGGTTTGGTTACTCGAGAGGTCCTCACAGAACTCAAAAACAGAAGAACTGAGAGAAAACGGCGCAGCACTGCCAACCCCCACTTTCTGTATGGAAGTATTTTAGAGCAGGTAATAAACCACAACACACACACATCATCACTGCAGCTTTTGGTTTCCCTTTCCAACTCATCAAAAAAATCATTTTGTTTTGAAATCATTTTATTTCTTTTGCAGAAGCGGAAAAGGACTTCTTATCTTGCCAAGAGCCCAGCAGTAGATGTCCCTTCTATTTCAACTAGTGGCTCAAGCAAAGCTAATGAAGAAGAAAACTCTCCGCAATCAGCTTGCATGTCCTGCACCTCTACTAATGGTGAGTGTATTGAAGGTGTCCAAATAAACAAATCTGTGTATTACTCATCAATTTCAAAAATTAATTTAAACCATTGTTTGTTTTTTTTTACATTGTAGGTTCTTTAAGTAAATGTGCAGTATGTCAGAAATCCTTCCATTGGATTGTGTTTATGATGCTGCAATCCCTGAACCTGCCGAGGGAGGAGTCCTCAATTGCAAATCGTGTCAGGAGGATAAAACCCATGTTGCTGATAATGTCCCTAGCTCATCTTAGTTTAATAGTGAACCCAAATGTTTTCATTTGTAAGCCTCAGCACTTTTCCTTTCCACTTTCTTAAAATAAGCCAATGTTACTTTGCTAATGTCACTTGTTGACTAATTGTGTTAGTTGTTCAACCTTCAGCTGGATTTTCAGTTTTGGTGTTTGTTGCTATTGGTCTCTGGAAGTAATGTAGGCTGCTCAAATCAGGAGAAGCCTGCTCTATAATTTTGTCTTCAGAATGAATGACTTTTAGTCAAATTTAATTTATAACTTTTTCCTTGGTGGAAATAGCTTTTGTGATATATTAGTAATATGTACTATTGTGAGAAGTTCAATTGGATTAGTAGTGTGGTTGCATGAAAATCCCGTTAATAAGTATTAGTATTGCTAAGCTCTTGTTAATGATGATGCTCAGTAATTGATGGAACATGCAGAGTAATGTGATAAACACTAAGTTACTACCTGTGTAGACCTTGTGTAAGTATGCTATCCTAATGGAATTGCACATTTTACTCTAAATTTGGCTTGTAAACTTTTTTCTTTTTCATTATTTTAAAATCTAAATCATAAGTTTCATACCTGAGGTTTCGCTATGTATTATGCTTTCTGAGAATTGCAACCTCAGGAGAGAGGAAGCTTCTTGTAATCTCTTTACAAGATTCACCTCCTTGCCATTTCCTATTTTGTTAAAGTAAAAATGTTTAAAGTCTAGCTGGGTGTTCTTATTATTCAGATTTTGAAGTTTATTTCTTAAAAGATGCTATGGAATGAAAAGTGACTGATTTGTAAATGGACTGCTCAATTGTATCACCACAATACAAAGTCGATAATTGAAGATAGTAGGACCTTTACATTTTAGAATGAAGAGAACTAGTTTTATTATACTCTTGTGAACTGTTTTTTGTTAATTGTTAAGATTTGCTTGTTCTGTTTTCTATTTAAACTGTCAAACTGGCATTCTTGGGAATTTGTTTGTTCCACTTAACAGATTGATTGTCTTTGCTGATGATAGTACTGTAATGAAGTTGCAATTTCTAAAGTCATCAGCTCTTCTCCTTTTGTGTGTGTGCTTTGTTTTGTATTCTTGAGTTTAAATAGTTTGGCAGTATTTCTTAAGAGTGAATTTTGTTTGCAAGTGGATTCCCCTCTCAGTAGACATTAGTAACTTACTAACGTTGTTAAAATTTCTTGAAAATGTTGTATTTTTACCCTCCAAATACAACTTGTTTCCTCGTGATTGTATCTCCGGGAACGCAATAAAGGATTAATTTTATTTATTTGTAAAGAAGCCGTGGAGTCATTCCCCCTCCTCTCTCTTAGACACGGTAGGGAATACTCCGCGCGAGAGTGCCCGCAGGCGGCAGGCGTGGAGTACCGCCGCGCGCCTCTACCCCACAATGTATGACGTCACGTTCGTCACTTTTCTGCGTGAGCCGGGTCCCTTACCTTTTCCCCTCCCTTTTTTCCCGGAGCTCCGAGCCGACCACGCCCTCCTGGGCCCTTCGGTGCGGCCCGTCGGCCCGTCGGTGCGGCCCTTTGCGCCCTTCCGGCTCGCTGCGCTGCCGGCAAGCCCTCCCCGCGGGGCGCGCTGCACACCGCGCACGGTGGCGTGGCGGGGACAGGGGACTACGGGGACGGGCAACGAGACTACCGCGAGCAAACTTGACCAAAGCGAAGTACATAGAGGCAGCGACGCTGACAGTGCGGAACCCCTGCAGCGTAGGCAGTGCCGCCATGCCCGCCTGTCCTGCGGGAGTGCCTACCCCGCGCTCCGCAGGCGGCAGCACACTGCAGCACACAGCGACGCGGCGCTGCAGCGAGCGAGGCTGGAGCGCGGCGTCCTTTCGGCAGAGGGGTGGATGGGCTGTCCTGGAGATCTCAGTGGCGTAATAGTTTTCGCAACATCGACCAGCAAAGCCAGGAGCTATGACAAACGAATGAGTGGGCTTCGGGCGGACTGCCTCCAAGCGCCTACCCTGGCCTACCCAGAGGGTGGTGGTGTCATCCCCAGGCCGCGCTCCGCCGTGCCGCCGAAAGGGCGCCGCCCACACTGCGGCCCGAGAGTCGTTTCCGTCGCTCTGTCTCCCTCGCGCCACGGGGCGCGAGAGACAGCGACGGAAACGACTCTCGGGCCAGTCTGCAGCATCCCGATGGCGCCGTCCCGGTCCGTCCCATCCGCGGCGTCGCGACGCCATTCCCCGGGCTGTCCGCCTGTCTGCCAGAGCGCGCGGCTAGCGGCCCTCCAGCCAATGGCGGCTCGGCTAGGCGCGGCGTGGCGCGGCGCCCGGACCAAGATGGCGCCCCGAGCGGGATGGGGAGGCTGCGCGGCGCCGCCGTGGAGGCCGTGCTGGCCGCGGCCGGGGCCACGCCGACGGGCCGGCCGGGCGCGGGCCCCGTCCGTGGAGCCTCGTGTCAACGGGGGCGTCGCGGCGCGTCGCGTCGCGGCGTCGATGGCGGCATGTTTGTACACCTGGCAATCGGGCCGCATCTGTGCGCCCCGCGCCGCGACGCCACGCCTGGCGACCCAACGGGCCTGCGGCTCGGCCTGCGGCGACGACGACGGGGAACGGGGCCCGCCGACAAATCTTGAATCGCCGCGTTGTCTGCCTGCTCGGTCTGTCCGTGCGTGCGACCGTCCCGTCCGCCCCGTCCGCCCATTCCGTCCGCGGGCGTCACTGTCGTTTGCTGACGTGGAGCGCCAGCCCCGCCAGCGCGGCGCACTGGGACTGGGCTTCTTGTGTTGCATGCAGGGGGCAGAAACCATGGCAGAAACGCCGCGCCGAGCGGTCGCGCCGCTGCCAGGACCCAAAGCTATGCAGCGGCAGCCCCGGCCAGCCCAGCCCAGCCGTGCCGACTTCCGACTCGCGTTCCTCGCGTTTCCCGCGAATCTAGATCGTCCAAGCCACGGCTGTGACTGGCAGCGCCTCCGCCGGCCGGGGCTTGGGGCCCAAGGCTTGGGGCCCAAGGCTTGGGGCCCGGGGCTTGGGGCCCGGGGCTTGGGCACCAGGAAGCGGGCGCGACTTCGGCCTCATATTCCACGGTGCACTATCTGAGGCCGTCTATGCATGGCGGTGGCGGGTCAGAGGGCCAGGGTGCACAGGGCGCCGAGTAGGCCCGGGTCAAAGGGGTGGGTGGGTGTCCGCACTGCCGAGTAGGCCGCGGGTGGGACGGCGAGGGTGCACCGAGTAGGCCCGGGTCAAAATGTCGAGTGACAGCGCAGCCCTGGCAGAACAGGACATGTGTGCGAGTGTGTGAGTGTATGGGTGAGTTTGTGTGTGTGTCTGTGACCGTCGATGTGGCAACGCGGCGGGACCCGGCAGCTCGCGGCTCGGGAAAAAAGTCGAGTGCGTTCGTGTTCGTTCACTTTGGCGGGAAACGCGGCCCGAGTGTCCGTGCCGTCCGTGAGTCCGTGCCGTCGCGGCGCTCACTCGTCGCGCGCGAGTAAGCCGCGATCCTTCCAAATTTTTAACTCATCGGCAGACTCGGGATTCCCACGCTGCAGAATGAACTAGTTAGGAATATTCATTCCAAGGGCGTCGCCTTCTAAATCCTCTTCATGACGCCAGCGTCGGAATACATTCAATTCAATTCATTGGTTCTATTTGTTGTTCTTTCGAGCTTGGTCCACCCGACATTGGTCATCCTTTCCTTCCAAATGCACCCGACATTAATAGGGCCCAGAAGACAGTAGCCCCCACCACCATCCCAAGCGTACCCCACCCTTCCTGCCTTGCTTTCCTCACCCCCCCGCAGCGAGCTAAACATTCGGCGTAGGGACGGCGCGGGTGGTGGAGGGTAGGGAGGGGGTAGAGGGGGACGGGTCCGCGCTGGGCAAGTCTTACTACGTTTACACGGGGGAGCTAGCCTCGGTCAACTCGAGGGGTGGGGGAGTGGAGGGGGTAGGTCTCGAGCTAGCCGGGGTCAACTCACGCGCATGAACACGTAGGTGGGTCAACGAGTTAGACCCCTCGAGCTACCCTGGCTAACTCGTTGACCGAGGCTAACTCCAACGTGTAAACACCACAGGGTCAAGTGAGGTTAGGTGTGCGCAGTGTTTTTGAGGTGTTGTAAGCCCATCTATTTTCTATTATTATGAATACACCTGTGAAATCGTTGGAAAAAACTTGGGAAGCAGTTTTCTGTTGTATGAAATCATTAATTTACTTATTCTATTTTAAGTAATTTTTATTGATTTGATTTTTACCACTTGTAACTGATTGTTTCTGAATAAAAATATCCATTGTCTATTGCGTAAAGCAAATTTCGACCTGATTTCGACTTAAATTCGAAATTGTTTAGGCTATCTTGAGGTTAGAAAGTCACCCCAACAACGCTCCACCGGCACCGCGTGAACACGACGTCTGCTAGCCCTGGCTGAGTGGTGTCTCCCCTCCACTCCCCCACCCCTCGAGTTGACCGAGGCTAGCTCCCCCGTGTAAACGTAGTATCTAACTCGCTGCGCGGGTGGTTGCGGGTTGGTGCGGTAAGGTGGTGGGGGCTACGATTCAGTGCCCCCACACCATGCCCAAGCAGTACCACCACCTTCCGCCTTGACTTTCCCCACCACCCCCGCAGCGAGCTAAACTTCAAAGGCGTAGGGACGCGCGGTGTAGGGTAGGGAGAGGAAAGGCACGGGCCCGCATGTTCTGGTGCTTGGGAAGTCTAATGCTGCGCGGTGTGGTGCGGGTGGTGCGGTATGGTGGTGGGGGCTACTGTCTTCTGGGCCCTATACTTTATGAAACCAGGTTGACCAACATTTCGTATGAACTCCGAACCGTTTCTACGCCTTTCAAAGCAGCTTTTACGTACAGAACATATTAGAAAAAGCATACACAACTTTCTGAGTGTTCATACAGTTTCATTTATTTGCACTTTCTCGATTATTGCTGACAAATGTTTTTGCGACATCACAAGAAAAGTTGCCTACCCTGCCACGGGATCCCGTCATCCCGACTCGCAAACCCCGCTGTCCACACTGGGTGTCGCTCCATATGGCTTCGCCATTTTATTTTATTTAATTTTTAGTTCGTTGGGCGAAGCCAACCAAAGCACGTCCTAGAATGTGTGTACACATTTCACTCACCACTACATATCACAGACAACCGATTTGAATGCACTTACATTCATTCACTCTCTCCGAACACAACTTCTTACGTTTGGCGCCAAAGCAAGCCGGTTATGCGCACCACCAGCTCCATCGGTTGTCGACTCTCTCACAGTATCCAGGCTACATGCGCTGCCGTTATTGAGCAGAGTCTCTCTCTCTCTCTCTCCTCATTCTAGTCCGAAAATGTGCAACTGTCGAAAGACACTGTGCAATACAAAGCAGTGCACGTGTAAGAAAACGAGTGCTTTTTGCTCAGAGCAATGTGGATGTCCCAAGGAACTTTGCCAAAACCGACCTGAGGTGAGTGAGAAAGCTGTTGTAAAATTAACTAACTAATCCATTCTTATGGGTTTTTATAAAATTTAACTTAACTTTGAACAGGCTGAAGATGCATCACAAAATGAAGAGGCTGGTGCATCTGTGAAGGCTCTGGCTTGGGCGGATGTTTGGAAGTCACTCGATAAAGAAAGAGAGCTGCTTCAATTGCTATCTCAATTCAGAGTCATACCGAAAAGACTTAAAGAGATCATGGAAAAGAGGAAAGGAGACTTTGATGAGATGACAGCGTTGCTCGCAGAAATGGTGAGTTTATGAAAATTTTTGCTGCAGTTCACCCTAGTTTGTAAACACTTACGCTTTTCCTCTTTATTATAGAATGGCTTAACAATGGCAAATGCAAATGCTGAAGAACTCACCGAAGACGAGTGGAAATCATTTGAGCAACAATTGGTGCAGTGCTCAAAATGTGAGCGCAGGTTTCATCCGGAGAGGATTGAGAAACATGAAGGCATTTGCCCGAAGAACGTATTAAAAAAAACAGTAACGTTTCTTCTGTAATGTTGTAATAATGTTTCTTGTGGATTTTGTGCATTTCTTAAAAGAAAATTGTTTTGGTTTTTAGTATTTTTAAATACATTTGGCAAATTGCAGCATTTGTGTGGCTGGTAATGTGCACCGACCTTTTCAAAGAGGTGACCAAAAGTGTACAGTACGTTAAGGTTAAAGTCACTGTCTAAAGGAAATGGCAAGTGATTCGTCACGCCACATATTTTTCACCATACTGGTGAACTCGATTGTGGTGTTCTTGGCACTGCATGTTGGGGGTATCCATAGCTTCTTTTCTCGCATGATACCTGCTTTAGGCCAAACAATACCACTGCCAGACTAAAGAAATTGATAAAAATATATCAATCTTGAATGCTTCACCCAGTAAACGCAGAACTTACTGTTCATGTTTGACTCCACATGATGAAAGAGCAACCCCTTTTTCTTCCTTCACTGCCAACAATCTGTTCCTCAAACTCGTCGAGAAGAAAGTCTTGCTTAGCATGGAGCCAATTTCTTCATCAACAGGTGGCGGCTCCTGAAGAGTGATTTTGCCATTTTGCCCTGATTCGCCTGATTCAAATGTGGCCACCCTCCTCGCGACAAAAATATAAGTTTACGATTCGTCTGCATGTTCTGCAGTGTCATAATAATCATTTATCAACAAATTTATTTGTTTATGAGGAAACGAGCATTCTGAGTTTGTCAAGGTTGCACATCAAACGTTGTTCTCATTTTTAGTTGTTCTGTAATCCATTATCGACGTTCGGTCATAGAACCTTGCTGAGAAGGAAACTGTAGTCGACAACACCAAACCAAAATACTTGAACTTGTCGAGGTTGTGCAGGTCGCAAGTCTTCAGAGAAGGCCTATACCCTTAAATCGGCTGTGACGTAGAGGGTCGCCCCAGTACTGGCAACCTAAAATAACTAACACAATGTTTTTGTTTCTTTTAAAGTCTCTTTGAGAAGCATTGAAGCCATAATATTTATTTTAGACGGCTACTGCATTAAAAGCAAAGATACTCTGAAAATTCCAAGCTGCAAAAACATGATGTTATTTTTGTTGGAAATGTAAAAATTTGGGCCCTCAGCAGACGAAATCCAGTAGCTAGCAGACGGATTTCACATTCAGTTCTTGTTTTCTTTCTGGACTTGGTGCAGATTGTCAGTGTATTCATTTTTCTGTTTAATCGATAACAAAATTGTAATCAACTAAACAGAAAAATGAATACATTTACAATCTGCACCAAGTCCTGAAAGGGTGTTCTGATCCCGGGGAGGTGGTCAAGAGGCGGTTGCCACGAATAATAACAATAATAATGAAAGATGATATCAGATCAAATAATACACAATTGTTCATGTAAATTAAATATATTTCACAAAATTGCACATAACACCAGCGTCCTTCAGGGCTGACCAGTTCGAAACTCTTGGCTGTGAAATCTTCTGTACTATTTTGGGCAAAGTCTTGCTCCGTGCTGACTCTGTCTTCTTGGCCAGCATAATTTGCAATCAAATTTTCTGCTCGAACTGAACCTGTCTCAACAGGCTCTTCTGCAGCAACACCAGGTACACTGGAATATGGCACTTCAATGCAGGCAGACCCTGAAGCAGCTTGTGAAGGACCCCTGTGAAAAAAGATATGAAGTCATGACAACGACAACTCAGACATTGGACCCATCACATTATCATTGACAATGTCCACAATTTTAGTGACATCATATCCTAATAACTCTTCCTTTTGCCACAGTTAATTAAATTTAGAAAAATGTAAAATGCCCAAACCAACAGATAACGTTGCAACACTTAGAGTAGGAGGCGTTTAAAAAAAACCCTTTCAATTGGTTTGCCTTTCAAGGTATTGCCTTTCGAACTTCATGTTCAGCTCTTAACTATGTTAAACTTTCTATTTAAAATGAATTTTAATAGTGGGATTCAATACAAAGAAAGTAACATTCTCAGTTTAAATGCATACAGCAAAGCAGACGCCAATGTTGATTCAAAGTCCTGTCTAAACAACTCCACACCCCCATTTCATAGAAAGCAACAGCTGAAACACAGTCTTAGAATTGTAACATTTTATTATGAAGGGAAATTGATTTGTTTGTTTGTTTATTTCATCAACCATTCTTTAAAGTACAGTATTGCGCACTTAAATATAAATTAAGTGATTTAAGAGAACATACCCAATTTGTCGGCCACCATCAGCTCGAGGGGGTGTCACGTTCCCAAGATATCAGACACTGCATTAATTATCAGACGTGGCATGGTGTTCTTCCAAAACATAGCAAGGGTGAAATGGTCTCAACGCACTTCCATCTTGAGTAATGCAATCTGCAGAATATTCTGAAGTTTGGGATTCCCACTGAGTCGCAGCATGTCGAAGCCATATGTAATACCTAAGACAGAGAGAAACGTCAGTAAAGCATTCACAAAGGAAAATAGAGATATCTGGTAAAATCGTGAGATGATCAGTTCACTGCATGAATGTCCACAGGTTTAGATTCACCGGAGAGTTCTTGAGCTTGTGCGTTTGATTGGTGCTCGCAAATCCACGAAAAGAATATTTTACGACAATAGCCATGCTCTCAGATACAAATTATGAGGAAAATACAGGAAAAATCAAATTTATGCACAGAACCAGCCGGGCCAGAGAGAGCAGAAAGGGACAACCAGGTCTATTTTCACCAACTTTCGAGGATAACATTTGGAATATTTCAAACTGCTATCTAGGTAAAACTCGGTCGCTAAGAGACTCAGTTTCAAACAGAATCATCGAAATAACAGCATATTGGTACGTGTTAATACAGTTTCCTTGGTTTTTATGTCGGAAAACTGGTTCGTGTTTTTCTTCCCGTTGTAGTGTAAGAATGGGGAAACCTTATTCGCGCCCTTTTTAGTGCCTACCCCCACCACGGTCTCTTTCCATACCCTGGTGCAGGTTAGGTTGACTAATACGTCTGCCAGGTCGAGCCGTTGTGAGCCTGCCCAATTTCAGGATACATTTACCGTCGCTGACTCGATATTCACTCGCTTGCACGTTCTGATTCAAATGTTCCCTCCTCCAGCACGTCACTGACTCAACATTGAAATTGATAGACAGATTCGCTTTCAGGTTCTGATTCAAATGTACCCGCGTTACCAACATAAAGAAATTACATTACAATGCGTTCCCGTGTGGTCGTGATATTTTAACGAACGAACTGATAGAAAACAACAATTTTATTCTGTTGCTTTGATTTCTTTGTCGATTCGTTTCATTTCTTTTCCTATTCTCCATTTGTTCGCTCTCCGACCGCACATTTACTGTTGTCTACATTGTCCCGTGTCAAAACGGACCGTGTAGGGCAGGCTCACATCTCGACAAGCGACGATCATCTGGGGATCAAAACGAGCGGGAACATTCAAGTAGTGTTCTCGTAATTAAGCATCGGGATGATTATTTCGTGACTTTAAATGGCGTTTTGTTGCTCAGAGGGAATACTAACGTTCGCAAGCACGCGTGCAAGCTGCCTAGGAGCGTCAAAATTGCTTCAAAACAATTTCCCCTTAATGAAAGTGGGGCCCGCAGTAGCAGCGTCCGCTACCAAGGCGCCCATAACCTCCAACCACATCGCTTTTATTTTTTCATGCGAAACGTTATAATAATTTCAGTGAATACGCATCCTAGGTAGGCGTTCATGCTAAGAAATACAAGGCAAGTGCATAAATCGATCCAAATGCCCGATAAACATCAGAAAAGAAGTCAAAATTCAAGCTTCCCGCGAGAATGATCCCCAGATGGAAGGGAACGTTGTTGGTCCCATCACCGCTAGTGACTCGCAGAAGCTGTTGTGAGCCTGCCCTGTTGACCAGGAGAATTATAAATGCCTCGCCTGGTGTTGACGGTTTTCAGACACCGTGGCTCTGACTCCAGATGGCTCCGCCATTTTATTTAATTTAATTTCTTTTCATTTCATTGGGCGAAGCCAATGACACTCTTCTTTCAAAACAAAGCGCCATCAGGAACTTATTTTGGTCAGAAATGCGACGCAGAGTCCGCCCGTAATATACTACTGACGTTTCTAAAAAGTTGAGAAACCAACAGTGTCTTATCTAAAACGGCGACTGTTTAATTTGCAGACTGATGTTCGCTGGCTTGGCTGGCTTGCCGGGGTGTGCGGCGCGCTTACCTGTGCTCGGCCCGGCCTGGGTATGCCTAAGCCTGGGCATGCGTGGGTATGCCTGGGCCTGGCTGGCGGGCTGGCAATACCGTACCGCCGGTTGTTTGAATAAGTAGGGTCGCACCACTGCCTCGCTTCGCCCGCCTTCAAGGTGATCCGTCAATGTCCTCGCACTCCGTGCAGGGGTATACGTGTCTACGAGTCTACATGGGCCCAGGAAGTACCAAAAATTCGAACTGCATTGCTGCACCCCTCGCAGTTTGCAATCGGAGAGCTGTCTCTCTCTCTCTCTCTAGAACACACCTACTCGCGTAGACACACACGACTCAGACACACACACACACACACATGCCCGTGAATACCCCTCCCCTCCCCCTGTTTTTCCACCGAAAGGCTGGCAGCACCTGTTGACACTTACAGGGGGTTGGCACGGTCGTTTCGAACCCGAGAAAACACACGTAGCACATCGCCACATCAGAGCAAAGGCAAACTGAAAGAAAAAGAAAGAAAACCAAAATAAGGCTACTTCGTGCCTAAAAAAATGAACAAAAATAAAAAGGGCAAACGGTTTTGCTGCCTGCTGATTTATGTGTGTCGGACGGATCTGTTTCATTTTCGGTTCCCAGCACTGTTGGGTCCCTCGCCGTCCGTCCATCCGTCCGTCCGTCCGTCCGTCCCCTCGCCCCGCCCCTGCCCCGCCCCTCTCCGCCCCGCCGCGGCCCATCAGGTGACAAACGTTGGTCGCGGCACTGGCGGCACTGCTGATAGTGCTGCCGGTTCCTTATCGAGATTTCGGCCCCGAGTCCCCGGCGGGGCGGCGGGGCGGCGGGGCGGGGCGACTGCCGGCGACTGCTGTTAGAGTGAAGTGGCGGGCGCAGCGTGGCGGGGCGGCGGCAGGTCGCAGGTTGCACGGGGTGCCGATCGGTGCCGATGTGCCGGTGGCATGCGGTAGACCGCGAACCCGAGCGACTTACTAATAGTACTTCGGTTTGTGAAGCGACTGTGACACCGGTTTGGTGATTGTGCCAGCAGACTGATTCCGAGAGTCGTTCTCATCGCTCTGCCTTTGTCGCACCTTTTAGGTAACGAACGCCCCATGAGTGCGAGGGAGACAGAGTGACGAAAACGAATCTTGGAATGAGTCTACTGAAGCGCCTCGCATGCGGCAACGTGACACACGGCGTGACACACGGCGTCACTCGTCGTGACGGACGCGGTGTCCGACGGGCCGTGACGCGTTATTGCTCCTTTGTGCCCCGCAGTGGTGTTCCGAGGCGTTCCGAGGCGCTCCGAGGCACTCCGTGTCCGTGACGGAAGGGTCACGCCCTGACCACCCCGCCCCGCCTGCCGCCCCGCCTGCCGCCCCGCCTTGGGGTGCCCGTCGTGCCATCGATCGACTTATGCAAACCAGCCCTCGCCGTATAACAGCCCTATCAATCTCAACAACAATCTTCTCCACGCAAAAGCTCAGCCGGACTCGGGCCCAGTAATAGCGCCAGGGCCACTCCATGGTCACCGCCTCGCCGCCACCGCGCAGTGATACGCTTTCGCTTTCGGCGAGCACCTCCCCCGCCCTCCCCCTGCCCTCCCTCGAGGTCGCCGTCGTACCCCACACCGCCACCGCCGCGCCGCCTGCCGTCCGCGCAGTCCGCGTAATGACTTGACAATTGAATTCCTGGGTTTTTAATTTCCCCAATTCATAACACTGGTGTGCCACGCTGTTGGGCTGTGCGTTTCCTGCTGCGGGCCCGGCGGCCTGGCGGCCCGGCGTGGCGGCCCGCCAGCTTGCCTGCTTGGGTCCGCGTCGTCGTCGTTGTGCCGGGCGTCGCCGCGTCGCCGGGCCGCCGCCGAACGTTTTCCGGCAGGAATGGAACGTGGAACGGGAAAAAGCGACTCCATGGGGGATGAGAGAGCCCCTGCCTGCCGCGCCTGACCCGCCCCCGCAGGCCCGTTGGGCCCGTTCAGCCTGCAGGGACTTCAGCGGCTAAAGGGCTCGTACGCAAAGGTGGGCGGGGGGAAAGAGTGGGGAAAGAAACGCACGAATGTGGAAAGAGACTCATGCCGAGATGGGGAGGAGGGGGGGGCAGAGGGGCAGGGAGGGGGTTCGTGTTTGCCCGCACTTTGTCAAGGCCCCCACTGTTGCAGGGCAGCGCACAGCCGCTTGGGCCCTTGCACTCCCCCTCGCCAGGTGTGTTTGTGTGTGTGCGTGTGTGTGGTGCGCCGAGCAGTACTTGTGCCGGGTTCATGACCACTGTGTGGCGACAGTGGCGTCGCGGTCTCCAAATGGGTCCGTCCGGTGCAAGAAAGAGGGGAAGGGGGGGGGGGAGGTCTGGTGAGAGAAAGAAGGAACACGAAGGAGGGGGGGGGGCTGGGCTGAAATGGTGACTCGCGCGCTCCGACGAGAATCCTATCTCTAATAATGTGGCTATTATTGATGATCTGCCTACAGGCCCGCTCCGCCCCGCTACGCTACGCACCGCCACCCCTCCAACAGATTAGATTAAAAGGGCCCACGCCGGCCCCGGGGCTTGGCAGCAGCCAGCCACTGGAACTGTGCACAGAAATGTCCTCCCATCCGTGCAAGACCGTTCTGTATCATCGAGCAGTGCGGCCGGGCTGCCTAACCTCCGCGAAGCGGACGGGGTCCGAGCACTGCTTTCGTCGCTCTGTCTCTCTCGTACGTGTACGGGACGGCCCATGGGTGCGAGAGAGACAGAGACGAAACGAGCCTTCGGAATGGGACTGCAGGCGCAGATTACCAGTGCGGCAAGTCAAGCCAGCATGCATAACGCATGGGGACGTCTGCGTCTCTGCGTCGGCCGAGTGGCGAGTCGGGCGGCGAGTCGGGCGGCGAGGAGTCGAAGGCGATGCCGAGAGATAAGTGAGGAGCAAAGAACCGGCGAAGCGAACCACAAAGGCCGCAAAAGCACGCAAAAGCAGCAAAGGCACGGAAACCCAAATCAGCATAGAGTACTTTTCGTGGATCCCTGACGGAGAGTGTAGGAATACAAATCCTTTCCACGCTCCGCACAGTACGTACACTGTACTGCGTACTCGGAGGAGTATGAGAATTTCGCGAAGCGGCAGCGCCGAGAAGCACCGCAATGAATTTCCGTTTCCGAATGCAGAGTAGTTTGTGTTCTACCCGCGGGTACCTCGTGTATTAAAAGTGTGCTGCCGCTGGCTCTGTTTGAACGCACGAGGCACGAGTAGTCGCTTCGTGCAGCACGGAACAGGAGCGGAGCGCGCGCACCGTTTTGACCAACTGGTCAAACAGTTTTTCCCTCGCTTTTTTCTTCTTCTGCTTCGCTCGTGTCGTCTGCGTTACGCAACATTGGCTGAGCCGCACGGGTGTGTCACGGTGTCTGCCTGGCTGCAGTGTGTGCGTCCGTCCGCCCGCCCGTCCGTCCTCGCATCCTAGCAGTGTACTACTCCGACTTGAATACGTCCCTAGACGATATTCGTAAACAACTCCGCCGCGTCGGTCCGCGTGTATTCGTGTACGCCCGCGTGCGGCCCGCGCGTGCGTGCGTGCGTGCGTGCGAGCGCTAAACAAAAGAACAGCTGTGGCTAAATTTACAGACTTGGGGCAACGCAACGGGGAGCGGGACTGCATCGCCAGGATTGAGTGAAGGCTCGAAGAGGGTCCAGCGATGAGCCGAAAAACTGCAGCCCAGCCGAGCGATTCAGAGGAGTCGTTTCGTCGCTGTCTCTCTCGTCGGGGCGTTGCTGTGGGTGCGAGAGAGACAGGGCGACGAAAACGACTCTCGGAATCAGTCCGCAGGCGTAGCAGGCGTAGCAGGCGTAGCAGGCGTAGCAGGCGTAGCCCAGGCGTAGCAGGCGCAGCCAAGGCGCAGCCAAGCGACAGGACGAACCAATTTACGACCAATGCACGACTGCGGACGGGACGGCCAGGACGGCCCGGACGGCCAGCACGGCGAAAGGGAGTCCCGGGGGAAGGGGAAAGGGGCCTAGGGGTGTCCACTTGGAGGCGGTGGAGGGGGCAGCCGTCTAGGGCACGCTGAGATGCGCTCGATGTCGGACTAGACTCGACTCGACCGGTAGGCTCGGCGAGGCACGACGCGCGCTTCGCGTCTTCAACGGGAAACTATTTCGAATTTTAAAACCTGACTCGACGGCCCGGAAGGGTCAGGGATCGTGAGGCGAGGCGACGCGGCGGCGGCTCGACACGGCCCGGCAGCACGTCGCTCTACTGCGGCTAGTTCGCGGCCCGAGTCCTCGCGCCTCGCGGCCATGGAGCACGCCGAGCAGGCAAAGGCTTGCCAAGGCATCCCTTCCTTCAACGCCCCGCGGCTCATTGACCTCTTGTTGTATCGGTGGTTGTTGTTGATGTAGTAGTTTTTGTTGTCGTGGCTGTTGTCCGCAGCTGGCCCTTAGTGGGGCTGTTGATTGGCAGGTGGGACGGCTCGTCTGTGGGTCAAGTCCTGATTAGAATGAATGGGAGCTCTGGGAAAGGGGAGGGGGCAGTGTCGCGTAGGGACTGCGACGTCCGTCTGGAGGGCCATCTAGAGGGCCAACTGGAGGGCCTCCTAGATGCCACCCACAGAGGCGGCCCTCGTGGACTCACCACCAACACGGGCCCCTCGTGCACCACCCTAGCCAGCCGCAGTGCCACCGAGCGACACCTGGCCGCCACGACGGCCACCTCGAGGCCACCTGATGCACTAGGTTGGCAGCCCGCCGCATTTATAGCGGAGTAATCTCCAATTCAAGGCAGCCCGGCGTGGCCGGCCCCAGTGGCCTGCCCGGGCCCGGCCCGCCTGGCACCAGTGGCCCGGCGTCGCCGTCCCCGCGGTGTATATGGGCGCCGCGGCATGGCGGCATAGCAGTGCGGCAGGCAGTCCCGAGGGGCCGTGTGTAAATTGGATTCGTAAAACAGCCTCGGCTCACGTTTTATGACGTGTTCCGCCCCCAACCTGCCGGCACCAGGCCCTACCTGCATGAGCCGGGAAGGTACCGGACAGCGGGCCAGTGCGTTCAAATCTCTGCGGAAATGTGACGAAAGCAGCGAACGGTGGCGCGCAGGGTTTGGAGAAGGTCGCGCCGATTCGGTATTCAAATGGACTGAGGTTTCATTCCGACGTCACAGAAAACCGGAAGCACGGCGCGTGGCGTGGCGCGGCGTGGCGAGGCCCTGTCCAAGTGCATGAAGGCCTCGGCGGTCGCGCGGGGGTGTGCGTCAGTCCGGGCGGCGGGCTGGGCTAACTCCTGGCGTGGGAGCGATTGCCAACAAGAAAGCCCTACAAGAAAAACGGCGGAACCTTCTCGACATCGACGCAATTCCGTCCACGTGGTGATCGAGCGACGCGGGACGCGCGGGACCCAGTTACAGAAACTGCAGATCGACGGCTGAAGACCAGGGCACCCCGGGCCACGCGATGACCCCCGCGATAGCCTGCAGGTCGGCATCGCAGCGTGCGGCAGCGTGTTACGTACAAGACGGGCACTCGGCGCATGCTGCTCGCTGGCCGCGCGTGGACGGCGAGGACGGCGAGGACGGCGAGGACGGCCTGGCGGGGCGGTGCGGCGACGCGGCCTCGGCGTCAATAACAGCAACCTTTGTTTCCTCCCTTCCGGCTGCCGACCATCCCCGCGGCCCTCGGCGAGGCCCTCGGCGCGGCGCCCTTTCGCCTTTTGGGCGCGGCCGGGCGCGGCTGGAGGGCGTGAAGAGGGAGCGGCCCGCAACCCCGCGAGCCCTTCCCCTCCCACCCCCACCCTCGCTGGGCTCACCGCTCACCCCGACGGACGCTCCCCCTCCAGGCCATCCTCCGGCCACCCCGCAGGACGTCCCTGGACGTTCCTGGACGTCCCCAACCCCCGCCGCACGGCGCCGGGCCCCGCCGGGGGAGTGGTTTAGAGCCCTGCCACGCCCTGCCACGCCCCGCCACGCCCCACGCAGGGAGCACGCATGCAACCCGCACGGCCCATAAAAAGTATCGACCTGCGGGGCCTACCGTCTGGGCGGGGTGGGGCGGGGCGGGGCGGGGCCACTTTCATTACCAGCAGCCGCGCTGGTGTCTCAAAAACCGAGGCTGGAATGGAAACTATTCAGCACAAGTCACCCCACAGCCAGCGTGGTGCACTAGCGACCAGGCGGACGGCACGAAGCTCAAGGGGCTCAAGCCCGGCCGCACGGCACGGCGGCAAGGCGTCCGCTGTCCCACAAGGCGCTGCCTCGCTGCCTCGCTGCTTTCGACTTTCGAGTGGCGGCGCTGCAGCCCCCCATACCAGTCCCCAGTCACCAGTCCGCGATGACACGCTCAGAAAAATCGGCCCGTATGTGTGTCACCGCGCGCATAAGCCGCGCGACCCGGCGGGGCTCACCCCGTGTTCACGCCGCACGCACGCACACGCACGCGCACGCAACACGCACAACGCACGCGAGCTGTAAATCATCCCCTTTTCATGGCACGCCTCACGAGAGGGCCCTTCCTACTTGCCAGCTTTTGGTCACCGCTTTTTCTCAGCTACAAAATTGTTAGTGTTGGCGGTCGGTGGTGGTCTCTGACCATGTTGTGGTTTGGAGCGCGGCGGCCTGTGGACTGATTCCGAACAATGTCTCTGTCTCTCTCGCACTCAAGGGAAGTCCCGTGAGGGTGCGAGAGAGACTGCTGGGCGCGGCCGCGCGTGCAGGCCGGGCTGGCGTGTCAGCGGGTTAGTGGGCTGCAGGGCGGTTCGCAATGACTCTTTGATGACGGCCTGCCCGGCCTGCTCGGCCTGCTCTGATTGGAAGGGCCGCTTTTTATGATGTTTTCCGGGCCGTTTCGAGTTCCATCCATCTTATCTGCTCTCGCTCGGTTCAAAGGGCATGCCTGGGCAGCCTGGGCATGCCTGCACGGAACAGCAGCGCCTCGCCGCCTTCCGCCCCTCGGCACATCATCACCCTCGTCGCCCTCGTCCCACGCCACGGCGGGCCGGGCCGGGCAGGGCCAGGCCGGGCAGGGCCACCTCGGCGTCTAAAAGCGCCCCCTTGTTGTATTGTAATCAGCAAGTCTTCGATAGCATCGCAGGGCAGGCCTTGGGTGCCTTGGGTGCCTTGGGCCAGGCACAGGACGTGCGAGCCATTCAGGCGTGTGTGAACCAAAGCGCACAAAAGTCGCTGTCTTCCTTCCTGAGGGGTGCGCCTTCCTCGAGGCTGGGCTCCGGACACACTCGCGAAGGTCTAGCGGCGCGAGAGGGACAGACTTTGAGACACGGAGCCGCCGAGGCACTGCAGTCGAGGAATTGGCCAGCCTTGTTGTTTTTGACAGGGCGGACAGGGCGGCGTCCTCCTCGGCGTGCTCCGCGCTGCGCGTGTGTGCGCGTGCGTGTGCGTTGCGTGCGCGTGCCGGCGTGCGTCGGGGACCTCGCGGCGCGCCGCTCTCGCTAAACTTAGCCCGCGGCAGAGCCGGGCAGAGCAGCACTGAGCAGCCCCCGCTCTATTCTCCTGCCTGCGCCTTCTCCTGCGTGCCGCCCTGCGCGCCCTGCACGCCTCCACGGGGGCCGTCCCTCCCTGCTTTCTTCGCGTCCTAAACGCCCGGGATGCGGTTTCGCAACGCACTCAAACACCGGCATCGGGCGCTCTACCATCGCCTCCCAGGGGCGCCACGGCGGCCGGAATTGGGGTCTGGGCGCTGTCGCGCTGTCCACTCCACGTCTCCGCTTGCGCGCCGCGCCCCGGCCGAGGCCCTGGCCCTGGCACACATCGCCGTGCCCGGTGCGGGCCCGCGGCCTGGGGCCCGGCCGGCGCCGAGCCCACTCCACCCTGATGAGTGCGGATAGCCGCTGGACGGCCATCGGGGCGGGTGGCTTGTTTGACGGATCCTTGTTGGTTTTCGCATCACATCACGGACCCCGCGAGGCCCACGCCCACGCCGCAGGCTGGCCATGCTGGGCACAGCCGCGGTGGGGTCGACGACCCGGAACGCAGCGAGGGGCCGAACCCCAACCCGCCGGAACCCCTCAGGGTTGCCCCACAGGTTCAGGTCAGGCGGGCCGTCCGCGAGGTTCGCCAGGTTGACGTGGTTGACGAAGTTGATGCAGTGGCCGCGGCCATGGCGTAGGCGGTGTAGGGGTGGCTGCCCTGATCTGTGTGCTCGCGCTCGCACCGCGTCTCGGGTAATCGAGTTACTCTAAGCCGATTGGAGGAGAGGCCCGTGGTGGTGTTGCCGTGCGCCTCGTGCGCCGTGCGGTTGCCTTGGGGCCTTCGGGACGGCGCCGGCCGCGTTGCAGGGTGGTTCAAACCCTACGAGTGCATTGCGCGGCGGGGGCGCGGCAAGGGGTGGGGTGACATTCAGGCCGCCCTGCCCGCCTGCCCCTCCGGGCTCCCCTCCGTCGTGTATACAGCCACACCCAAGCATCCCATGGGCCTCTAGGGGCGCCGCGACGTTGGCAGCCCTGCCGGCCTGCCTGCCTTTCCCCGCTCGAAATGATGACGCTGCGCTTTTGGCGCCACTTTCGCACAGTGGCCGCGCTGCCGCCGCGCCGGGCTCGGATGCCGCGGTGTTGGCAGCCTTGGGCCGGGTCCCTGGGCCGGGTCCCTAGGCCGGCCAGGGGAACGGGGAGGGCGTTGCCGCCAATCCGTTCAAGTCGATGAGCGTTTCGGCGTTGATGAGACCAAGTTCTAGGTCGTTTGGACGGCCAATTAGGAGGCTGCCGTCCCCGCCGCCCTGGTCGCGCTGGCCGCGCTGGCCGCCCGCCCCCACGGCGCGCACCTCAAGCCCGCGACGCGACGCCCTGTGGGGAGGGGAGGGGGCGGATATATTTAGAAAGTCTGCGGCCAGGGCGGGGCGGGCCGGGCGGGCCGGGCCGCGGCCGCGCGCTTCGTGGGCGTGGGGCGGGTGGGGCGCTGCCTGTGCGCGCCCTGCGTGTCAGCGTGTGGATACTCACCCGACGCTCACCTCTCCTCCACTGGACACGCATCATCGCCGAGACGGTGGCGGAGATACTAAGTTCCGTCGATCTCCGTTACAGCCGCAGTTGCTGCTCGCCTCGTTCGGTTTGTATGGTTGGCACCTCTTGTGGCTCCACCACGGTTGCAGCAATGCAGCTCCCAGGCCCGTCGTACGAGCTCCCCACGAGCGCCACAATTTATTTGACAGTGGCGCGGAATCCAGGTCTGGGGGGCGCTTGCTCGCCCGGCTAGGGACCCTCTCTGTCAGAGATGCGCACGCTGGCCGCGAATCCGGCCTTCTGATTGGGCGAGAGTAAACTGGGGAAAAACCGCCCGGTCGGGAGCCTCGCAGCGCTAGTCTCGCACGGGGCGAAAATCGCCCGGATTACTCCAGCGGTCGAGCGTGCGCATCTCTGACAGAGAGGGTCCCTACGCCCGGCCCGCCCGGCCCGCCCGGCCCGCCCGGCCCGCCGTACGGACGGACGCATTTCGAGCGAGGCAGTCTAGCTGAGCAGCAGCGCGGCGACTCATGTGAGGTCCGGAGGTTCCTTATCTCTGATTATGCAAGGCGCGGCGTGGCCCGGCGTGGCGCTGGTACACCGCCAACAAGAAAAATAGACTTCGGAACAAGGAAATTGTAATAATGGAAAGGAGAGATCGTTGTTCTGGTTCACGCCCAGCGTGGTTTGTCGCTGGGCAGCCGGGGCAGCCAGAACTGTAGTGGTATAATCGCTCGCAATCATCTGTCCAGTACTTTCAGGTGCGGAGGGTGGCCGACGAGGCGACGAGCTA